GCCCCCAGCCGCTTCCCAGTGCCCCAGAGCCGGGTGGTTCTGCGGGAGATCTCTGTGGTCTGGCATCTCTACGGGGGCAAGGACTTCGGCGGCAAGCCCGTGTCCGTACATGCCCAGCACACAAACCGGTAACAAACACGACAAATGTAGTTTGTCTTGCAGTATGTTCATCATTGGGCATGAGAGCCTTCCACTCGTGTTTGGTCGCTGCTCACTCTCTCTGTTCCCCTCCCTGTAGAGCTCGTTCAGTCCCTGCTGGTGTTCGTGGGTCCCCGTCTCGCTCTGTTGCTCCTTCTCGTCCCCAGAACTCGTGGCGCTGGGCTGGAGGCAGCGGGCGGCAGCATACGCTGCTGATGGAGATCCAGCTGACCAAGGTATACATGCATATAGATGCATGACTTCCATATTCCTTGTAGAAAATATCTTTATCACTCTTGTAGGCAGATTTTCTTCCCCTCTGGACGGAGCCATGCCAGCTGTTCCTCTCCGTCAGTCTGCAGCTTCACCAGCACCCACCTAAACATATTTAACACCATCTCTTTCAACGCGTTCCCCCCGTTGTGATCCAGGTGTCCTTCCAGCACGAGTCCTATCAAGCGGCGGTGGCGGGGCCGGGTGGAGAAGTGCTGGTGGCGGTCGGTCCCGATGGCGAGCAGCCTCTCTCCAGGCAGGTGTTCATCGTCCAGGAGTTAGAGGTTCGAGACCGACTGGCCTCCTCACAACTCAACAAATTCCTCTACCTCTACACCAGCGAGAGCATGCCTCGGAGGGCCCACTCCAACATGGTGAGACAGTTGAGAAGGAGGGACGGGGACGGGGACTGGGAGGGCGGACACAGGGAGACTTTGATTCATTCACTTCCCCCATAGTGGGACCAAACCGTCGTTTCTATCGGGACGACTTGGCTATACACCATTTAATAATAACTTGCTAATGATGAGATGTTAAGTGGGAGTTTTCTTTTTGTAGCTAACTGTGAAGGCGCTGCAAGTTTGTCCAGAGTCTGGCCTCGGTGGACCCGAGTGCTGTCTGCGAGTCAGCCTGCTGCCTCTACGACTGAACATCGACCAGGTAACTGCCAGCCCACAAAGCTCTTCTGAGGGGGCTTCAGTCCTGATACAAGTGGCAGCTACTTCCACATCTAACCAGGCTTTTGTTTCTGTCCCTCGTTCAGGATGCACTCTTTTTCCTGAAGGACTATTTCAGTAATCTAGCTTCCTTTGTTAACCCGTACCTGCCTGTGGACCCTGCAACTGAAGGTGCGGCCACCTTTAGCTATTTTTTAAGTTATTCTATACTTCTTTGTTGCATATTTCATCAATTGACTTCAAACCTATTATTAAGGGCTTTCATCAAATTTTCTGTAGTTAATGTTTGAGATTTTTATTTCTCTATATTTTTTCCCATCTATTTTTCAGTGAAGGCAGACACGTCCCAGAAGGCCTCTGAGGAGGCGGAGTCCGCCGCCGCTCTCGGTCCTGACCTCACAGCTTCTGTAGAAACTACCTACAGCGAGAAGAGCTCCTCTTCTGCCGGTTCCACCTCTTCCTCCGACCAGCCAATCTACTTCCGGTACGCTAGCGCAAATTCACCGGAATGCTCGGCCAAAGTCTGATTCTGCCTTTCCAGCCTAACAGAAAATGAAACTTATGTGTTACAAACAATAAAGCTTCTTTGTGAAAAGTGGTATGATGCTACCAATGCTATTTCAGGGAGTTCCGATTCACCTCTGAAGTGCCTATCTGGCTGGACTATCAAGGCAAACATGTCGTCATTGAACAGGTGAGGTATCACTCAAATAGCTCATCATCACCAAACGCAATCTGTAGGAGCTCTGTGGGTGTCATCATGATCGCATAGGCTGACTGTTCACACTCCTTCTGTCCTACAGGGAACGTTTGCAGGGATTCTGATCGGTCTGGCCCAATTAAACTGTTCTGAGTTGAAGCTGAAGAGGCTGTGCTGTAGACACGGGTAGACACCTACACACACACACACACACACAGTCACATGCCGTTGTTTTTTGAGACACAGCGAGATACAAAGTCATTTGATCATCATATTTGAATTGCAAACCAGTTTTCCAGTTGCAAGTTCCTTACTCTGTCTTCTGAAACCCCGTCTAGTCTCCTCGGAGTGGACAAAGTGATACAGTACGCCATCACCGAGTGGCTGACGGACATCAGGAAGAACCAGCTGCCGGGCATTCTGGGAGGAGTCGGTCCCATGCACTCTGTTGTCCAGCTGTGTGAGTCTACACAACCCCAAACAACTTCCATTATCCTGTTTTATCTGTGGGTTTATTTCTTTCATAACTCTCTCTCTCTCTTTGTGTCTCTCCAGTTCATGGAGTGAGGGATCTGTTCTGGTTGCCTATCGAGCAGTATAGGAAGGATGGACGCATTATTCGAGGCCTCCAGAGGGGGGCGGCATCGTTCGGCACCTCCACAGCTTCAGCTGCTCTGGAGCTCAGCAACCGGCTGGTGCAGGCCATACAGGTACTCTGTCAGTGAAGGGCTCTCGGTGTGCGTCACGAGTGCGCCAGGCCTGATGTCGGTCTGCGTCTGTTACAGGCCACGGCAGAGACGGTGTACGACATTCTGTCTCCAACGCCGCCCCTGAACCGCTTTGCCATCACAGAGGGCCGGGCTCCCTCCAGCCGGCCCCGCCGAGCTGCTCAGCCTGCAGACCTCCGAGAAGGTGTGGCCAAGGCTTACGACACCGTCAGAGAGGTGCGTCCCCAAACTTTCTCTAACCATTTTCTTCAGACCAGACAATTAATAGATCAATTGATAAAGTATTTCCTGCACAACCGGATCCACGGTGCTCATAAGTGCACGTCCATGCACACTATGTTTGGACTAATCTCCCCCTCTGCCCTGCAGGGAGTGATTGACACGGCTCTGACCCTCTGCGATGTGGCGTCCCGGGGCCACGAACAGAAGGGTCTGCCCGGCGCTGTGGGCGGCGTCCTGCGGCAGATCCCGCCCACTGTGGTCCGACCATTAATAGTGGCCTCCGAGGCCACTTCCAATCTGCTCGGTGGCATGCGGAACCAGATCAAACCCGACGCCCGGAAGGAGGATTTCCTGAAGTGGCGCACAGACGACGGTCAAGAATAATGACGACCTTTTCTGTGTAAGAGAGAAAGAGTGAGAGTGAGAGTGTGTGAGAGTGAGAGAGAGAGTGTGTGTGTGTGTGTGTGTGTGTGTGTGTGTGTGTGTGTGTGTGTGTGTGTGTGTGTGAGCGTGAGCGTGAGCGAGAGAGTTATGATTTTGGTCTTAGTTAAGGGAGCAAATCCAGGGTTTGAATGTGTATGCATGTGTGGATGGACTAATGAGCTGCAACGCAAAAACAAAGCACGACTACTGCAGTTGTTGACACCCAGTGTTTTACGAGGCTCCGTCACACTGTCACACAGACTTCACCAGATTCAATCCTTTCTGTTTTGCATTCAGCATTCTTCCCTTCTTGTAATACACCAGTCTGCAGATTCTCTGTCTTTGCAAACATATCACTGTCACTGGCTTCATTTCAGTCAAACCAAGGATTCTGGGCACTTTGTGTTCTCTGAATTGTGCTTGTTGAAAATGTATCATAATTGGAAGTATGGATTTCTGGTGGCATTTCAGCTTTATCTAGTCTATGGACGGAGGTACAAGCAGAGGAGTTTGAACTTTCCTGCTTTCTCTGTATTCTATGCCGTATGTGATGAAATGACTCATGATGTGACTCAAGCATTCGTCTATTTGTTGTCCACTTTAGCTCTTAATAGAGACTTGGGAGAATATTTAAATGAAGTGTCCTCTGCTAACTCCTCCGGATGGATTTCAATCCAACCTCACGACACCGCGTCACTGGTTCAGCTTTGTCCCACTGTGCACCTCAGCGCACCTCACCTCTTTTCGTGCCATACACCCTGCCGAGTGCCCTTTTTAATTTACGTGTATCGCCTTCCCCGGACCTCCCCCTCCCCGCTACTGTACGAGTATTCCACATTCTGGCTCGTTTGGATACACACCTGACTGAGAAGAAGTGTCCTGACTGAGTTGTGGTACGGATTAGACGAAGCCTCTAAACTCTGTAGCACATAGGATATTTTAAAGCTTTGCTGAGTTGGACAGCCGACGTCTGCAACTCACAGTACAACATCCAGTGGTTCCTCCTGCAATACAGCTCATTTGTGCTTCTGTTTCCATGAAGAGTGAGACTGGGATCTAAATGAACTCACTCTGTCTTCAGAATCGCTTTGCCCTTTTCTATAGTTGCCTTCCTGCATTTTTTTTAATGTTTCTTGATTTGTTTTTTATTGTTAAAACATGAAGTATTGTAATACTCATTTTCAGAATTTGCTTTGAGTGGATGGGAATCTTGTGAAAACGGAGAATGAATAATGGAGGATTTTACATGTTTGTTTAATTATTTTTTTGTTTAATACGTGTGTGCGTGCGTGTGTGTGTTAGAGAATGTTTTGTGTGCGAGCACAGTGCTCGTGTGTGAGGGTGACAGGCTGAAACTGGTTACATCTCTTGTGTGTAATTACTATTCACTATATCATACACTGTATGAATGACTTGTATAATACAAAGAGGATGAATATACAAAATTAATACAAAAATAAAAAATTTGATTCATAAAATGTTTTGTCTGACATAAATAAAATCAACCTACCATTATAATCTAGTTCAATATCATATGAACAAGAGGGGTCGTGTCAGTTTTTAACGAGTTTTAATAAGGCTGAAGAAATTACATAATTTGTCTTAATTATAGACCAAAACAGGGACTCAAAATCTGCAGCTGATTGAAAGTCATGAATTAGGATATTTAATAGAGCTGCTGATTATTGGAAACATCACCCCAAAAAGCGGTTACAGTATATTACAATGGCTGTGAAATAATCGTTTCATAAAGATAATTAGACTGAAGGGAGAAAAATAAATATTAACACTGTATTTACTAAAGCGAAGTGACTGCGTTTACCAGGGAACCAACGGTCGCGCGTCAATGTTTCGGGGAGCTGTTTTAGCGGTGCAACAATAGTACTTCCGGCTCACATATAAACCCTTCTGCGTGATTTACAAGTTAAACGTACGTTTTAGACTAACTATCTGCGTATATTTACCGGGAAACTATCGTTAAATCCGTGGCAGTTGTTTGTCAGAATGAAGCTGCTCACGCACAACATGTTGACATCGCACGTGAAGGGGGTCGTTAAAGGATACCCGCTGCTCATCAAGGTAAACTGTCAACACGCGAGCAGCTAGCTCACGCGACATGCTAATGCTATTTTGATACCACCTTTGGGCAAAATAATACTGCGTTTTTGCTACCTATGGGATTGTATTTTCCCTCTGCCATTTAATTTGAGTTTGGGAGTTCTCGGTGTTAAATATATTTGACAGTAAAGTAAAGTAAGAGAAAGCTTGTCACACTATAGTGTACCTAGTAACCAATAATGTGAGAAAAATATCAATTCTCTGGTGCTTCTAGAGTAAACTGGATCACAGGTATTGTTTTTATTTTTAGTGATGGCATCCTGAAGAAATGACAGGTGAAGTGAAGGAGGACGGCTAATGTTTGACTACCCTTGATTTGCACACTGATTGTGTTGTTTCCCCCTGGTGTGTTTTCTTTGTGCAGGCCACCGAGGTGAAGGTGAATGAGGTGGACTTCAACCCTCAGTTTGTCAGCCGGATGATCCCCAAACTGGAGTGGAGCGCTCTGGTCCAGGCTGCAGACGAGGTGAGTCCGACTGCAAGAACTTGGAAGATCTCCCATTATAAACACGAGTACCAGTACAACTTTTCAGAGCATTTCAGAGACGTGGCGAAGCCATATAAGCTCTAAGTAGCTTGTATTCTTTGGAAGAATCCATCAATTTGAAAAAGGAACAAGTGATGTAATGTAACAAATCCGCAGTTATTTAGCTATTTCCGACACATTTGTGGTTATGACTCCTCTTAAACAGCAGCCAGGAAACTATTGCAGATTACTAACCAGCTGTTATATAACCAACCACCACATAATATAAAAAATAAAAAAATACTAAAAGCAGTACCACGAAATCATGGAAAGAAACGTATCATTCACATTCACATTGCAACAAGATACGTTTGACTTGGATGGAAGAGAATGTCCTTGGAACAGAGAGCGTAAAACATGTTACTCAGGCACAGACATCTCTCTTTACATTTTAATTTCTTTGGGTATATTTGGTATCTATTTTCTTCGGTTGATGACCTAATGTGTTTGTTTCTATCCCAAATTTCTCCTCTCCATTGTTTTTTTTTAACTGTTCACTGATTTGCTTCAAGATGTTGTATTGCGTTGCATTATAGATTGTATTAGTTAACTTAAATTGTAAAACATGTTCTGAAACTAATCCTTTTGTAGGACTAGACGATGGAGTCCTGTGTGTCAACAGAAGTGGTCGACCAATACGGCACTTTTAATGTGCAATATTTAGAGCGCAAGGCGGGCGGAGTCCAATGCAGATCTTGTAAAAACAATTAAATAGATGTTAGCGAACATTTCATGCTCTCTTCATTCATAGCGGCCCAGTTTGAACACCTGTTACCGTGTCTCTTCCCTCTCTAGTTGGGTCAACGGGAAGACCTGCCTGGTGAGCTGGTGCCGGAATATGAGAATAATGAAGAATTCCTGAAGAAAGTGCACAGAGTGCTGCTTGAGGTAAAGAGCTTACAGGGTCTCCTCTTCAGCATCAGATACTCTGTAGATTGTTTTGTTCATATTCTTTACTAATCTGTCAGTCGTAAAGTGAAAATGTTTTGGTTGACATCGTCAGATATCTTGTTTGTAGGTTCCAGCGGTGTTTGCTGCTGTTGTTCCACTTGACACAGTAAAGGCATAATTAAAATAGTTTTGGGATGTCTTCAGTAGAGGAAGTAAAATACAGACTCTCGGTAATGTAGAAGGGTTCAGTCGCCACTTCACATCCGGTTTCTATTACTGGCGATCGCAGTTAGCAGCAACGCTTTCATGTGGTTGTTTGCGACGCGTAGTCTTGGTTTTCGTAACTGCTCCTCCTCCATTGAGCTATTTATGTAGAGATCAAGCACAGGAACTAAAATACTTTATTCCAACCCCAATATTTACACAGCATGTTCTCTCCCAAACATTTTCAAAGTCATTGGCTTTACGGTCAAACAGACGGCACTTGTATGGTCTCTCTCTCTCACACCCTGATGGTGACGGAGGAGCCAGGCGTCGCACCGGCAACCCCGTGATTAGTGAACGATGCGCTCTGCCTCCAGAGCCACAGTGGCCTGCTACGTCTATACTACTATTTCACCTCTACTCACTACTATCTGCCTTTGCAGAATCGTATCTTTTGTCCTTTTTAATTGGTCTGTAAATATTTTTTCATGGCGGCATTTAAGATTGTCTGTGATTGGATCCGGCCTGGGACGACCCAGAAGGATTTGCGAGTGTCCGAACACTTTGCTCCGCGCTGACATCCTGTGGCGGCCTCTCACCTCCCGTCTGGGTTGTTTTGTTTTTTTCCGCAGGTGGAGGTGATCGAGGGCGTCCTGCAGTGCCCCGAATCAGGACGAGAGTTCCCCATCTCCAGAGGAATCCCCAACATGCTGCTGAACGACGACGAGGTGTAGACGGCGGCTTCGCGGAGCCAGCAAGTTCCCACGCGCAGCCTCGCCCCACGCCGTCACTCAGATGGGATTATGGGTATTCAGAGAGAAGAGAGAGAGGTTGGACTTAAATTGGTGCCATGAGAACCGCACTGTTTGATTGTTGTTATGACATTTAAGAGGCTGATGCTGCCAATGGAGGAAAAAGATGGAAACGTTCCCAGAGCAACCCCCAGTGGTTTTATCTGGATTTATATTTGTTACTGTTTGGGTTTTCTCTTTTGTTTTTTCTTTTTCAATAAAACTGTCCCGATGTCTATGAGAGCTCAAATTGTCTTCGGTTTTTGTGGGAAATATGGATCTACTTGTATTGCAGACATACAGCTCTGATCCCCATCCCGCCCGCTCTCAGTGCTGAGGCCAGATGACGTGGCAGCGCCTTGTCTAAATTTGGCTTTGAGGAAAAGAAGCTGAAAAAGAAGGCTGGCTGGAAGTTGTTTTTGAGGAAGTCAGTCTTTTTTTTTTTTTTTTTTTTTTCCCCATCATCGTCACACAACGCACGCACACGTAAAACAGTGATCACAGCGTGTCTGATATTTTTAAGACACCTGAAGGAGTTGAAGTCCAGCGAGGCGGATTAAGTTTCCTTCTTGCGTCTCCGTCTGAGGTGGTGCAGCAGCAGCAACTTGGAACAGGAGCCTGTTTGTTCGCAGGTGGTGTTATCTCATTTTTAGAAACAGGGCAGATGATGAATGGGGGCTGGGTGTGGGGGGGGTTCACTCTGACCAAAAAACCTTGAGGCAGCATGAGTCTCTCCTACCTTTCCCTTCTACTTAGAGCAATTACAGGCCTCCACCCGCAACTATAATAATGGTATAATGGGATGGCAGCAGAGCAGCAATAAAAAGCAACCCTGACAGATTAACAGTCCTCTGCAAGTTCTGAGCTGTAATTAACAAAGGCACCCAAAGAGGAGCCGGGAGGAAAGAAAGGACCCAGATTGGAAGCTAGAAAAAGATAAAGCCCTAAAAGGGTTGTGGACTGATTTTAATAAAATGAGAATAAGCCTTTAACTGGGATGAGAGTTTAAAATCCAAAATAAGCTGCATTTTTAAATCACTGCCATAAACTAATAGATCATCCCATCATTTATTTTATCATTTTGAGGATTTGGTATTTTGGAAAATATGCTTCTTGCCTGCTGTGCACTAAATGTTGGGCTTCTGCTGATCGTCTGTTGGCTTCGTTTAGCAAAGCGTCTGTGATACGCCGGCTTTGTTCAAATCACATTGTCTAAAATAAAGCTTACTAATTACCAACAGGTGTATCTTCCAAGGCATAATTTATCATTATGAAATAAATGTTTGTTGCACAATGTATTGGCCATGGATTAATGACACCTTTCGGCGTTTAGATTGGTTCCCACAAAGCTACCGCTCAAGGAGTGAGGATTAAGGCACCAAAGCAAGAAATAATAATACAATAAGCCGAATGTCACAATAAGCAACACTTCATGCAAGCCAGTGTGGTTCTCAATCCTCTGCACAGCGCAGAGACACATGCATACTGCATGCGCCAGTGTGTACTTTGTAAGGGCGGCTTTGGTACGTCCTAAAAGTAAAAAGAAAGTTTTAACTTTTTTTTAACACTGTCGGTGTGTTTTGTAGTTGCTAAAGCGAGTTGTTGTTACAATAATAAGCAAACCAACGTACGAAAAATTACAGCTCGACATTAAGTTTGTAATCTTCTCATCTAAGAAGATGCATAGTTACCAAACTACTCCTCTTTAAGCCCGGCATGTCCTCGGGGGATGTTTACCTGCGGGGGGGGGGGGGGGGGAAAGCGCTGCATTTTTGTGGGGAGACCAAATTGCAAATTGGGTGTGAGATAGAAAAATGTCTCTTTCCTACATAATCACACACTGCCTTCCCTTTGGTGGGAAACCGCCCCACCACCACCACCACCACCTCTCTCACATCCAGTCCCTCCCTCCCTCGTCCTCCTCCCTCTGTCTGGGCCTCTCTCACCGAGGAGCTGCACAGTAATGGAGTCCCATCATGCAGAAGGTCTCCGTGTTCTCAGCACGGCTTCCAGGCTGGCGTTCATGTTCATCGCCGATCTTTAACTTACTGTAAAGTTTACGCTCTTTTTATTTTTTGTTTTCATCCTCAGCACAAGGACTTCTTTCATACATTTTTTTTTTCTGCGTCAAGTCTTTTTCCATGTGTTGATGTTCATATGAGGGGGACTGTTCCAACATAGATCATCAGTTTCTGCGTTTCAGTGCAAGCTGCTTTCTGTTTACACGCAACCCGCAATGAGAGGACCTCATTGGGCTTTTTCCTTTTTTAAAGCTGCAACTGTATCTCCTCTGGAACTTGGTATGGGCCGTTTTTTTGCTCCCCGGATGGGTCTTTGGGAGGTGGAAGCACGTGAACCTGTCTGCAGCAGATAGTTTAGTGAGCTGCTGAGGTTTTATTTTGAAGGACCTGCGACATGGGCTGAGCTCCTGTGCTGAGTATTTATTCTCCTGAAAGCTGTTCAATATTCCGAGGATGGACAACGGGAAACGGGGGACGGATGGCACTTAACTCACCGGTTGAACTCTAATTTAATATCCTAACGTCTGCCAAAGTTCTCACGCGCACGCGCACGCACAGGCGCGAGTGGACAGCGGCGCGCGCCCCGGTTTGGAGTTGAAGCGTCGGGCCACTTTTCCGACCATTGAACCGCGAGGGCTCGCGTTTAGTGTGACGTCACCTGGCTATCTGCGGATTCATTCCTCATTTTAATAAGTCAAATCTCGATTGTGGAATAAACGACAGTCTGGTGTTAAAAGACGCAGGCGCATGTACGCACAATGTAAAATTGTTGTAAAAGGGTCAAGTCGGTGGATGTGGTTTTCCTTTCCACAGAAAGTGGTTTCCACCCAAATAGCCTGTTAGAACTGCACGTCTGCACTTTTTGGGGGACTGTACTTGATGCCAGTAGTTCATCAGAGGGCATCGGTTTGACGTTTGACGGGACGCATCTCTGTATTATTGCTTTGGAGATTCAGCTTTAGCCCCCCCACCTCCACCTCCAGTGAACCCCATCACTTCAGCCGCACCCCCGTATCCATCATCACCACCACCACCACCACCACCATGTGGCTGCCGCGCGTCGCGCTGCTGCTGCTGCGCTTCTCCGGCGTGCTGCTGGTGGAGGGCTTCAACACGTGCCACTCCATCAACCTGGACGCGCAGAAGTCGCGGCGCATCGAGGCGGTCCGCGGGCAGATTCTCAGCAAGCTGCGCATCCGCAGCCCGCCGGGCAAAGACGCGGCCCCGCCGCCGGGCCTCGTGCCCGCGGAGGTCATGCTGCTCTACAACAGCACGCGGGAGCTGCTGAAGGAGCGCGCGCGCCTGGCCGAGTCCGCGTGCGAGCGCGAGAGCAGCGAGGAGGACTATTACGCCAAAGAGGTGCAGAGGATCGACATGCTGCCCCCCCGCACCGACACGAGTGAGTCCGTCTGACGGGGGGGGAGGGGGGGGTACCACACAATAAACATACATGTGCACCGTCATCATGGTGTTTCCCCCTCTTGGATTGTTTTGTTTGAAGAAGAGGTGAAATTGCACATCCAATATAAAGTGGAATAAGTAGCCGCAGCGGTCCATGAGGTCCACTTTATGCTTTTCACTCCATAACATAATTACAATAGAACGCTCAGACTAAATGGGCTCCTCCATCAGTAACATTTCCCAATTGTTTAGTGAATAAATATGATAAACACTATTTTACAAGTGAAATGTCAGTTTGATGGTTAGAAATGGCAGAGTAAAATGAGTAAAGAGGTCGGAGAAAGTCAAGTTATCAGGTGTTATCCCCAAACAGCTGCTACAGAAGACTTTAAATCCTCGGTTGTCTTCATCACGCTGCTCTCATGTAGGGAAATTTAGGGAAACAGTTTTATGATGAATGTCACATGATAACATAATAGTGACGACGTTTCATACAGTTAAACCTATGAACACAACATTATCCATATTAATCATAATCCAGATGCGTTTACTCGCTGCCCCCAAATCATATCAGACATTCGCAGTAATTACGAGACAAATGCAGCGGCCCACGAAGCTTTTAACCAATACTATGAATACAACGTTGTCTGAGATTGTTGTTCATCCTTTCAATGTTTTTTTTTTTTCAAGATGCTGTACAGCCTGCGACCCCCGACCCCCATTACCGAGTAGTTCACTTTGACGTCAGTGGGGTGGACCTGACCAACAGCACCCTGTTTAAAGCTGAGTTCAGGATCTTCAGAGCTCCAAACCCGCAGGCCCGGGCCTCAGAGCAGAGGGTGGAGCTCTACCAGGTGTGGACCACCTTTACTTCAGCAGAACCCCCCCACCTGGCATCACAAATATCACCCAGAGATTTCCATCTGTCCTTTTAAGCTTTTACATTTTCCACAATTATGAAAGAGACCCTGCGTCTGCTCTACTGCACTAACAAACAGGGGGGCTGGATTCAAGGAACACGGGCGTCAGGCCTACAACAATATTATTACATTATTACAATACATCAAGACATATCTGTTTTTTGGTTTGAAGGAGACATTTCTAACCTCACCGAAATATGTCTGCCCCCGAGGAAAGTGATTAAACATAATTGAAACACCCGATGACAGATTTGCAGGTTGTTACGACGCGCACTGTTTAAGCTCTGTAGAAAGATGAACGCACGGGGTAAATCATTATATTTACTGAGAGTCTGCACGTCAGCTGCATCACTGTCTGTGTGTGTGTGTGTGTGTGTGTGTGTGTGTGTGTGTGTAACAGCTGCTGAAGCCAGATGAAGAGAGCACCTCCACCCAACGTTACATTGACTCCCGCACCGTTCAGCCCAAGGAGAAGGGATCCTGGATCTCTGTGGACGTCACCGAAACCATTAAGGACTGGGTGTCGGATCCAGGTGGGCGTCAGCAGCCTCCACATGATCATTCATTAATATACATACATATATATTCATACACAAACAGCTGATCTCAATGTGTGTCCCTCTGCTGATCAGAGAACAATCTTGGCATGAAGTTGGGCGTCCACTGTCCCTGCTGCACCTTCGTCCCGTCCACCAACAACATTGTCCCCAACAAGAGTGAAGAGCTGGAGGCTCTCTTTGCAGGTTTGTTGCACTTTAGTTTTTCTAGTATTCGTACTCGTATGTGCAGAGTGGACTACAGCGGTGAATGAAGCTTACACTTACTCAAATAAATGAAAAACCCTTTTTTTCAGCAGTTATTTTGAACAATCACTATTGATTGTTGACTATTTTAGATTGTGGCTCAAATGTAATCGAAAGTCAAACAAATACAAAGACACACGTGACAGCCGGCGGGTCAAAGATTGAATCGTTAACAACGCCTCCGTTTTATATAAAATGTCCAATGGGATGTAAAATAGAACAGGTTGGTCATAAAAACCTTTTCACAGGCATTAAAAGCACTTTTTAAAGATTCATCAGCACAGCAATAATCGCACGGCGCCTCCAAAATGAACAATGGAGACACTGTTCTTCCACACGCTGTAAAGCTGTCAAAAGGTCGTCTGTGTTGCTTCATTTAGGCCCCAAATTATGGCCTTACTCCTCAAGAGTGGAGGAAAGTCAGTTTTTATATGACCGGGAAAAAACATATGAAACTAATACAAGCGGGGGCTTGTATTTAGCTCAGAAACCCCCCCAAAACAGGCAGCCTCGTTTAGGAAAAGACCATATTTATATATAAGTGTGTGTGTGTATTTGTAATACCACTGATTTCAGAGGTGTAACTTGAACCCTTAAAAATGAAGCAATGTCTACTCACAAACCCTTTGGACCACATTTCATGATTTAAAAATGTCCACTAAGATTATAAAAAACAAACTCTCCTGCATTTCATTTTGTGTTGATCACTGCGTGACCCTCCGAGTAGGTCTGGATGACGAGCAGCTCCGTCAGATGAGAAAGCCCGGTCAGGTCAAAGGTCAGGCCGACTTCAGCACCAAGACGCCGCACCTCATCCTCACCGTGCTGCCCAGCGACAGAGCGGACGACCCGGCCAGGAAGAACCGCAAGAAGAGGGCGGCCGCCACGGACACCACGACCTGCTCCCGGTAGGCCGCCGACCGGCCGTGTCTGTCTGGCTGACCGCACGACATGTAGTTCCATCATTCTGAAATCTAGTTGTGGTGGGCGGCAGATGTTTTCCTCCCGACCCAGAAGTTTGCAGATCATTGTTTGGCAAAAAAACGAACGATACTGAGCCTGTGTTTAGACTGCGGGCCGAGCAGCGTTTTCTTCAGAGCACCTCCCCCTGCGGGGGTGGAGGGGGAGTGGGGATTGGGGGGGAAGTCGGGCGGACTTGCATTGTCATTACCTTGTGGTCGGCCGGCTCTCCACCGGTGACCCGTTGCCATGGGCAGCAGGATGGCGGTCTAAACGTTTGCGCCGGTGTCTGTTCCCAGCGGCTCGGACCAGGGCTGCTGCCTGCGCTCGCTCTACATCGACTTCAGGCGGGACCTCAACTGGAAGTGGATCCACGAGCCCAAAGGCTACAAAGCCAACTTCTGTGCCGGCAACTGTCCGTACATCTGGAGCGCCAACAACCACTACAACATGGTGAGCCGGTGCCACTGTTCCATTTCTGTGAGATCAGATGCGATGAGGAGCACGAAAAACTGACTTACTCTGTGAAAATACGGCTGTGTGGTTAAAGTGAGGAGTACAAAGTGTTGTGTTGGGGATGTTATGAAAAGTCGTGGATTGTTTTGACACTTGTACCACAAAATGTCAGACAATACACCAGCTTTACTCCGGACGCACAAATCCCTTGATGTGTCTGGACATTGTGCCAGTAGCTACATATATATCATTTAAAGCGCACGAGGCAGCTGTGAAAGAACACAACGGAAACATCCGCTTTAACCACTCGCACTAATTTTTCCTCACGCTTCACACTATTCATACACCAGTAAAGTCACACAGTCAAATGGCTCTTTTTGGTTGCTGCCTTGAGACTTGTGGCCTTTTTTTTTATTGTTTGACTGGAAAAGGCCCTAAAAACTGAACCGTTGGTACAAACAGGTACAGAACTAAGGCAACTCCTCCGTCTCTCCAGTGAAACACTCAAAATGAACACATTAGGTATTATTTATGTGCGTCGTTGGCTGCTGCTTAACTAGAAAATCCAGGATGCAGAGATTACTCTGTGAAGATGAAGCTATCGCCCATTTCTGGGCTGGAGACGGGTAATGACTGTAAATCCTTCCTTAACGGTTGCATAACCGCGCGAGGGGACAACCTCACGGCGTCCATCGCATTTCCATTCAATAGTTGTTAAATCACGTTGTGTGTGAAATGAACATGACATCACCACAGAGGCCAGACGAAGTGAAATAAACCCCCCAAACTGCTTTAACGTCGCGTCCGTGCAGGAACCCCTGCTTGATTATGTCGTTTCCCCGGTCAGATCCTGCCGCTGTACAACAAGCTGAACCCCGAGGCCTCGGCCTCGCCCTGCTGCGTCCCTCAGGACCTGGAGCCCCTCACCATCATGTACTTCATAGGCCGCACGCCACGCGTTGAGCAACTCTCCAACATGGTCGTCAAGTCCTGCAAGTGCCGCTGAGCTTATCGGAAGAGGCGAGGGAGGAGGAAAGACTTCTGTTGGATCTCTCACAGCAGACTTTTGAGGTATTATTTTTCTGCTCAAGTATGTGCATCCTCTGGGACTTTGCGTTTGCTAGAGGACACTGTTGACAACGAAGCACAGCTGTATTAAACCAGTACTTGGATATTAAAGGAGGCGTTGTGTGATTTGGCCCACATTTGGTCTCCACGGAAAGGATTCTTTTTTACCGGGACTTTAATTCCACCTCGGCCGTTTATAGGCCTGCGGGCAGCAGGGCCGAGCTCGACGTGTTTGTTTTAGGTTTTGAAGGTGTTGATGGGGAGGTGGTGGCGTGGAAAAGGTTTGCAGACGGGGATCTTTAGGCGGGGGAGGCAGGGAGCAGATAGAAGAGAGAGAGAGAGAGAGGAGCTGTGTCCAGGCGGAGGCCCTGCCAGCTCACTGCGGTTCCAAAGGCTGAAATCTGCCCGGCGTAAACAGGATGTGAAAGATTTCCAGACACCGACCCGACCACTCACGGAACGCTAGATTTAAACGCTCCCCTCATCTCCTCTCTCTCTCTCGCTCTCAATCGCTCTCTGCTGCTCGAGGTTCTGGGATTTGTGGTGGGAGGAGAGAGGGAGAAAAGAGAGGCTTTGGAAACGAGACCAGGGATGAAGGTGGTACTTTGCAGCCGTAGCAAATTTGTACCTATTTGGGTCTGACTCAAATATTCCGTAATCACACTCTTATTGTCCTTTTCTCACTGGGCACTTACGATCTTATTGTGAAAACACTATTATTACATTTTGTCATACCTATTTTCCACCACACACACACACACAGTCTCTCTCTCTCTCTCTCTCTCTCTCTCTCTACACCCAAGTATCCACAATGACCACTTTTGACCAAATGTCTAAAAGGCTGAAAAAAAGAGAAAAACATCCTTAGGGCATATTTTAAATATAGTCTCCGGTATGCCAGTGGTTTGGTTTCTGTTTGTGTGCGTGTGTGTGTGTATGTGTGGGTGTGTGTGTGTGGGCACAGAAATGACTCCCTGGCTATCGTTGTAATTTGAATTATGTTTGTGACTCGGGGGGGTTTCTCCCTGCGAGTGAGATTTCTTTTCTTTTTTTTTAGGACGGAAGAACTTAAGGAGACGCAATAAACTCGATGTGTTAAGTTCTTATATTTTTAAATAAAGAGATAAACAGTTCTCCAGCAATCGCAGTAAAATAGTTGCTTCCACGCCGCAGCGAGAATGCAGCCTCCCACCCGAGTCAAGCAGCATCTGTTAGTCCTTTCCACTTAACTACCCCTTGCTATATCCAACCTGTACTTATCCCACGGTGCAGCGCCATTGCTCCGTCTCACACGGAGTCCTGCTGTCCTTCAGTGGAGAGTCGATGGACCCCCGCTCTCTCACACACACACACACAATAAACACGTCTGTTAAAAGCATGAGTCACGGCTCTGGTTCGTCCCACGCTGACCTAAAAATGATGCCTTGATAACGGTTGTAAAATGTTCTTGAGGATGACAGAAAGCCTTTTTTTTTTCTTCTCTTTTTTCTCTTTTCTTTATTTGTCACACAACTAGATTGAAGTCGTTCCTGTTTATTTCTGGCAGTTAAATTAAAATACAGCTCTCTGGGCAACAGGGCACCACAAACACAAAATGAAAAGTTATACAAGCAGCAGAGCGATAATGAGACCGATCTGAGGTCGCAGCATTATTGAAGCTGAGACCTCGACTTGAGGCCCCGCTGGAGCAAAACAGCTGGGGGGCGAACGCACAGAGGCCCGGCTGTTCTTTACATTTAAAGTAAAAAGAGGCATTACATCTTATTTGGTGACAGTTGTCTGTTTTATGTTGAGTTGGGTTTTCTGACCATGGAAGTCATATGAAATAAACAATGAAAAAAAACCTTTTTACTTTGTCAACTGTACTACATGTGATACCATTATGTTTTATTAATACCTTTAAATTAATTGTCATGACATACTATATAAGGAGTTCCTATTTATTACCATGAGATTTAAAAAAAAAAACCTTATTTGGTCATTAAGGCTCACAATAGTGAAACATATAATGACTTTTTCTTTTTTTTTAACTTACTCTTACACTTTAAAAAAGCAGGTCAGGGGTCAAGTGGTACCCGCCGCTAACGGGTCCCGCTCGGCTCGGCGGCGTGTCGCCATGTGGATTCCTTTCTCCTTCCAGCCTTCTGTCAACAGTTGACAAAGTAACCGAATCGCGGTGCGGATTCGGCCGGCTACTTATTTTGGCGCTGGCGGAGGGCAGAACGCCACGACGGCCTCTTGTAGTACTTCCTGCTTCTGAGTAAGCAGAAACTGAATGTTTGTCTCAAGGCCCGAGTTCACTCAGGACTTTCAGGGTCATTTCAGACCTCCTGCTCCCCGGCGGTGAGAGGCTTGGGATATTATCATCATCATAGAGAATCGCAGGGGGAAACTCTAAAATATCCATATTATATACTTTGTTTTTAGAGGCTGTATTTGGAGCTGGCAAATTAAAGGAATGGTTGGGAGACGTGTAGCATGAAGGGTGAACGCACTCAAAAACAGCTTGGAGTTTGTGAACAGTAACATCACTAAAGAATTGCTGCTGCCCAAATGTATTGTGTGTGTCCTTGAGTTCTAGCAGACGTGCTGAATTCTTTACAACCATTTCATCTCCCTCACAGACGTCATGAGGCATCAGGGTTCAAAGGAGGACAAATGGTGTCGTACTACAACACCTACACAGCTGTTGGTGTGGCAGAAGGGTTCAGTCTTTCAAAATAATAAAACACAAACCGGAGGAATGAACCAAAAGCAGCATCGAAAGTGATTTAAAGAAACTTGTGGTGTTAAATACCACAAGCCTTAAAGTAACCTCGGTGTTACTTTGATAGACATGAACACTTATATCCACGTTGAGCACACAAAGATGCTTTTCATGGTGTAAAGCGCACAAAAGCTTCAATAAAAAGCCGTAGCCAGGAACTTTGACCCTTTTTTTAACCCCATTAAAACATTCAAGAGACCTTTGTGCAGGTTTTAGTCAGCGGCTTCATTCCTCGTAGTAGTTTACGTTCGTAGGTTCTTCGTCCTCTGCAGACATTTTCTTCCGGGGACGTTTTCAGCCGAGGTGGTAAGTCACCCGGGTCCCGGCGCATTGAGTCTTGTGATCAATTCTGATTATAGACGTTGTCCCACACACAAAAAAGCCTTTGCTGTGTAAAAAGCTCTTGGGCTCGTGTCCCCTGTTCCTCTACAACGTTGTATTCCAAAGAAAAGGTACTATTTCTTCTACGATTGCTTAATTAACAATTCAAGGTTTTGAAAGCAAACATAAATCTGAGAGGTAATTGTGAACATGTCTGCAGACCATCTTTTGATTTCAGAAGCAGAAAGACAGATTAACACGGAAGATAAATACGTGAATTGATGTCAGGATAATGATGGTCTCGTGACCTCGTACGCCTCAAACTGAGCAGTTTACTCACTCGGTGTGATGGATATTAAAAGGTGTAAAAGGCCCCTTCATACGTATCCTGGTAAAACGTAGGCACAACATGGCAAAGTCGTTCATCCACCGCTTTGGCCCAGACTGAGATGTCTCAACGACTTCTGGAAGGATTGCCATAAAACAAAGCGATGGTTCCCAGATGATTCCTACTTCTCATGCTTTGAGTTCCTGATGCATCTCCGTAGCAGTGAAATATCTCTAAACAACTTTAAATTGCATTGCTGCGTCATTTTGTACAAATTGCTATGTCCTCCAGCACGATTGGAAAGGTCCTAGAAACCACTTCTGTCGGACACGTTTCTGGCACTGCCTCGGTGCCCACTGACGCCGGCTTGGAGATTTATCAGCTTGCTTGCTTGATAAAGATATTGAATATATATTGCAGATATTGCAGCACATTTGAGTTCAGATTAAGCCTCAGTTATATTCAGATGTTTGTTGTTCTCTGGAGCAAACGTCAGTGTGGAGGAGGCTGTAGGGATATTGTGCCCCAAGCTAATTTACCCCAAGTATAAAAAGGGTTTCTGGTGTTTCAACCTCGTCAGCTCACGTGCAACAAAGTAGAATTAGTGGGCTGACTTTGTGAGGCCAACAGCAGTGTTTGTATTATTAGTGATTATATTGTTACACAATATTCTAGTGGTCACAGAGCTGAACCCACAGCTTTATGACCGATATGTCCCACCTCTCCTCGACACGCTGTCAGAGGGTCGGACCCGAACCCGCCTGGTTCTCTGATGGTGGCGAGTCTGAAAGAGGGGATTCTGGGGGCGGTGTGGGGGGATTCGACGGTGGCCCCATATCACTGTTGGGCCTCCTCACTTGCAAGGGGCTCCACTTGTGCGACAGCTGCCTCCTGATGCTCCTCCTCTTCGGCTTTCGCGGCCGTCTCCTCCTCTCATCGCTCGCTCCCGGCTGGGCGCGATCGCTCAGCGTGTCCGAGGACTCGTCAATGTACGCCAGGTTCTCCCCGAAGAAGTCCAGCAGCTGGCAGGAGGCCGAGGAGGCGGCCTGGAGGGGAGGCGAGGGGAGGAAGATTTGGTGGCGCGAGGGAGGATGAGGAGAGAAGCGCGGTTGCGGACCAGGAGCAGGAGCGCGTCTTCGGTCACTCGTTGCTGGAATCAGTTTCTCTTTCTCCCTCGCCGCGTTCGCGGCTCGTGCTCCCCCCTCCTCCATGCGGCTGACCGTGTAGCAGGGCTGCAAATCTCGCGGCGGCGCCAAACCGCGGCACGAGGAGGTCTGGGAGACGTCCGACCTGGAGTCGAAAGTCGACTCGGATCCGGAGAGGGATCCCCCCATGGCGGCAGCACCCGCCATGTCCAGCTCTAAGGTGGAGCGGGCCACGGGGAGGGAGAAGGAGCGGGCCAGCGGGGGGGGGAACGGCCTGCCCTCCACCTGCAGACGCGCGGCGGGGTCGACTCTCAACGCGGGCACCGTGCCCGCGCCGCCGACCCGCGGCCTGGACCTGGCCGCCCGCGCCCTCTCCAGAGACAGGTGGGCGTGGAGCTGGCTCATGGAGCTGGACAGGCCGGCCCAGCGGTTCGGCAGGTGACCGTTCTCGGAGCCCCCCCGGGCCAGGTGCCCCAGGGTGCACTCGCCCCCCCGCCGGATGCGGCGCCGCTCGCTGCGTTTCCAGCGCCGGCGCTGCAGGAGGAACGGGTCGTTGAACTCCAGCGGGTTTGGGATGCGGAAGTCCATGGACATGTTCTGGATGTTCTGAGTCCAGTCCGTGGCGTGAGCCCGCAACTCCTCCATCTGAGGGAAAGAACAGGGAGACGAGATTAGGCCACGCCCCTCTTCTCACGGTGCACATCCAGTACCGTCTCTCACCTCAGCGCGGGTCCTCTTGGACAGCACCTTCAGCCAGTTCCCGATCATGGTGAGGATGGAGGCAAAGTAGGCGAGACCAAACACTATCCACAACCACACCAGAGGCTTGAAGAACCAGCCGTCCTCGCGACCACCTGGACACGCACGGAAAGTGGAAATGGACTCGTGTTAGAGAGATGCAGCAGTCAAAGTCTCACCAGAAGTCATTGAATCGGGTGAACTTGTTCGCCTTGACCATCATCATTTCCCAGAGCCCAAAGTGACGAGACGGCAGAACGTATTTAATGCATTGAGGTGAATGATGGCAATTATTCGCATTTGAGAAGCTGGAAGATCTCTAAAAGTATCTTTGATTAAAATCAGTTTAATTGATTATCAGCAAGGTTTCTGAACATATTAAAGTAGATCTTTCCACTCCAGGTGTGTCTACTGTACATATGTGACTTTCACTTCCATCCACATCAACTGAAGTTAATCTAGCAATCTAATAAAAAGTATTATACAAGAAAATCCAAAGAACTAAAAGGTTTGAAATGAACAGTTGTTGGTTAATGTGCGCGTCGGTGTTGTGTGCGTCAGCACCTGGTACGAAGTCTCCAAAGCCAACGGTGGTGAGAGTGATGACCACGAAATAGAACGACTCCAGAAACGACCAGTCCTCCACTTCCTGGAAGACAACTGTGGGGACGGCGAGGAATATCAAACAGCCAATCAGGATGGAGAGAATGGCCGAGATCACGCGCACGGTGGTCGGCCGGACCTTCCGCTTCTGAGACAGAAAAATGGCGGCAAACACAGAGGCAATTTAGTTTTTGTGCCTTTTGAGGATCCAGCAGCTGCTTTCTTTTGAATTTCCACATTTGTTTCTTTCCGTTCGGGCAATTTGGAGCAGCGGTTCACATTAGGTAGGAGGTTATTTAGCTTGGTTCTTAACCAGGAAATCACACAGATCATTCACTGCAACAAATTAAAAATAAAAGGTTTGAAGCTGTGATTCCCACAAGGTGTAAAACAGAGCTCCTGGTTCCTGGGCAGGAGAGACCAGTCTCACCATTAAGAGGGTCTCCATCTTTGCCACAGCCCTCCGCAGCACCGTGCCCATGTGGTCGCCCACTCCAGCCAGCAGGATGCCAAACATGGGGATGCCCACCAGGGCGTAGCACACGCAGAACAGCTGGCCGTACCACGTCAAAGGAGACAGGTTGCCAAAACCTGTTTGAAGAATGCAAGGACCTCCAGTTAAAGTGAAAGCTATTTCAAATGTAATCATAAAGTGATGGCATACGAAGTTTTAAAAAGTTTTAGTAAAAAAAGTTAAAGAAAGCATAAAAACCATAGTATAATGTTGCTAAAAAAGTCATCATATAGTTCATTGGGTAATAAAAGTGAATAAAAGTCACAGGGGGGTATGGAGGATGCTGGCGTTGGATCTGCAGCTCCAAAAAGGTATCGAGACGGAAAAGTATTAACGAAGGAATTGTTTGGCATATTTAAAAGTTATTCAAAATTCATAAATCATTAATAAAGTCATGGTATATTACTCTTGAGAAAATATATAGTGTTGTATGTCAAATAAGTCTAAATAAATGTACAAATGATTAGAGAATGTCAGAAAAAACATTTAAAAAAGCATTACAAATGAAGTCCCAGTGTAGTATGTCAAAAAAGTAAACCAAAGAAATCATTTAAAAAACAATTACAACATTGAAAAAGCTGTAAAAAATGTACACAGCAGAATGTGTAAAAAACGGCCATTTTTTGTATGTCTGAGATACGTTAATATAGTACATTGAGGAGACATAACAAATAAATGTTTATTATGTTGGAAGAAAGTCATGGAAATTATTTTTGGTTGAAAAAAAGTCAGTGTAGTACTTTAGTAATATATGTCATATTATTGTATGTCAATAAATAACATAACAAAAGTCAGTATTCCAGTATATAAATGTCACGTTAGAGGCCGTAGTGTATCAAAGAAAAAGGTCATAGTACACTGTACCTATGGTGGTAATGATGGTACCACAGAAGAAGAAGGCGGAGGCCAGGTCCCAGCGGGTGGAGAAGTTGGCAGAAAGGTTGTTCACATCCAGTCCAGACTCCACCGCAGACGCCACTCCCTGCAGGTGAGGTACGTCATTTACTTACTAAAGCAGCATTTTACTGCCGGCGAGGATGATATTTTGTTTTCTTTATATCAGGTGAGGTAGTTTAGTGCAATGTTTCCAAACTGGGGCTGGGCCTCCTTGAAGGGTCACAAGATGATCAATGGGAAGGGAAAGAAGAAAACAAAGTTGCTGCTTTTTAAGCTGACTTTAATTGAGATCAAATGCTTCCTATTCATTTTTCTGATTCATGAAGATTTTAGATTGGTAAATACATCAGATTAACTGAAATAAAATAGACTTAAGTGCTTTAACTATCAGTGATGATATTAAGACACTTGTGTGTTGTGTATAAAAGGTAAATCAGAAGGAGCAAAACAGAAAAAGCAACTTAAACTACTTAATTTCTGTGTTTTTTTTGAGAGAGTGTCCATTGATACCTTCACAAGCTTGTAGAAGTCCAGCTCGGTGACACAGGAGTTGTTCTCAAGGAAAGCGTTCTTGGTGGCGAGGAGGTTTGTGTACGCCAAACTCTCCCCGGGGAGCTCCAGGGTTCCGAAAACGAGCGCTCCCATCACCAAGTACAGCATGACCCCGATGAGCAGGGCCAGGAGGGTGGTACACCGCATCTTCTCCCCGTCGAAGCCCCCGGCCCCTCCAGGGTTAGAGGGTCAGAGGTCACAGGCCAGGCTCTCCGCCAGGATGCACCGGGCTGCAGCTGGCGGTAAACAGGAAGGTCCTTCCGAGAGGTGTCGCGTGTGTGAGCGCGGAAATAAGCAAGTGTTCTTGGAAGGCTGACACGCACGCACACGCACACCCTTTATTTATACATCTGTGCGTCAAACCAAGAGACGGTCCCGGCAATCAGGAGCTGACAACGCTTTTCTTGAACCTTGAGCCGCTGCACTCAGTCCTGTGAGTCTCCGCTGATCAGGAGCAGCAGCAGAAGGTCCAACTCTCTTCTTTCTTCTGATTTCAGCCCTCACACAGGTCCCTATGGAGTCACAAAGAATGTACAATTATATATAAATGACTGCAGAAAAACGTTTTCAATATACACAAAAATACTTCAAAACAAAACAAGCTTCAAAGTTAAATTTCAGAAACACACACGAACGTTTCTTGTTTTAAATAAATCAAAACATACATACATATATTTTATCGTATTCTAAACTGTGTCTAAACCCTAAAATACACATGTGATCCTTCTGTATGCATCCATTCATTCTGACGCTGATCCGGCCACCTGAAAGTCACATGGTTGTGGATATAAAGTCCTCGGCAATATTGTAATACTGAAAGAAACTATTCTTCTCGCTCTTTTATGATGAATACTATTTTTTAACCGAGTGGCTGATAAAAACAGAACCTCAAGTCACTGAGGTCTGGAGCTCGTTCCATCGGCTCCACGGACCAGGCGACGGAGAAATCGCTCTCCTCCGTGTCGCTGCTTCTCCCGTCGTCAACGACAACGGCCGCAGCATCGCTGGTCCATTTCCTTCAGACTTTTAACTCCACGAACTGCAGAAGTTGTAAATGCAGATGGGAGCTTTGAGTCGCCACATCAACCAGTTTCTTTGTTGCAGAAGCGTGAGAGTGGCATTAATCAAGCGTTCACACTGGGGAGACTTTGTCATAATAATCAGGAAGGGACTGACGCAGACCAGGAATCACAAAGGATTACACTCCAAACATACGTCTAGACATTAGCTGAAAACACGTTCATCGCTTATCCTCCGTACGGCTACTAATGCGTTCTCTGAACCTTGTTTACTTTCTCTCACACACACACACACACACACACACACACACACACGGTTGCCCTGGTCCTCTCCACATGGACCATGACAACGTTCTGACATTTCCCAGCAGACTGTCAGCATCCTGCACTAATGGACCCACATATCGTTAGTTATCATCACTGTCTAAACCGGCACTGGCATATTTTGATATTTTGCTAAGATACTAAGTGAGAGGGGCTTAGAAAGAGCCGCGCCGAGGCAGAGGGGCGGTGATCTAATCCCGAACCAAACAGTGGAGGCAGGTGAGGATATAAATCATGAGGCGAGCTGTTTGGAATGAAACACACGATGTGCATTCTTTCTATTCTCAAGTCTGCATATAATGCAGGTGTGATATCTGACCAGATCACGATAATATTTGAAAAGGAAAAAGTGCCCCCCCTCCCTTTCACTCAAACAGGAGCTTTTGTTTAGTGTCACTTGAGCGTCTGGAATTGAATCAGCACACATTTACAAACTGGATTAGTGACATCATCAACAGTCACGACCACCTCCTGATGCGGCAAACTTTAATATGGACAATATTTGTGAAAGTTGACATTTTAATTCTTGAGTAAATGTGTGAAAAAAATATCATTGAAAGTATTTTAAAATGTGTGAAAAAGATGTTGGTGTATCGTAAACATTGATTTATTACCTCCTTACAGGAATAGAGTCTGTAAAAGACCCAACTCAAGTTTTGTTTACTTGTTTATTCACAGCTAATATAAAATATAAAACCTGAACTTCAGAAGGAAGAAAGAAAACTGTAAAGCGCTCACTGGTGTAGAGACTACAATCTAAGAGAAGGCCGATCAAATTCATGTGCAGGAATCTTCTCGTCAATCCACCGCTCACACGCCTCTTTAGTAGAATGCTTAATATCTCCCCATGAAGGCAGAAGCTCTCGTACGTTTCCTCTGCAGAGAGGAGGAGCTGAGGCTGACGACCGCTCTCCCAGTCTTACAGTATTTGGGAATTATGCCACTCGGGCTTTTAGCAATTCCACTGTTTGTACAGTGAACCAGTTAAACACAAAGAGGTCCATTTCTAAATGTGGAGAAAAGTCCCAGACCGTCATCAGGGGCGACAAACCTACAGAACTTTATTTGACAGCGGATGAGGACGTAGCATCTGCTTCAGAACAAAGCTTCTGTATATGTCGCCCCCCCTCCGACCCCCCCCAAAGGCTTCGGGGAGCAGACACTGACGTCAGAGAGAGATCACAGGTTGGAACTTCTGGCTCTCGGGGAAAGAATGATCCTCGGCAGCAATGATAAGATTGTTTGTGCAACGGAGGTCGCGTAGAAAATGCAGCCGGTCAAACCCCCCCCCTCCACCCCCAAAAAAAATAATACTCCTGATGAAATGCTCCTAAACACACAGATGTGAAGGATTCTTAAAACACAGTGCTGTTCTGTACAACGGCAGGAATGTTGGAGCAGGGCTGATCATCTCCCACCATGCTATGTAACGTAGAATTAAAACCGCATCAAACAATACGCATTTCCGTTTCCACAGTAACAACATACAACCAGCGGTCTCAGCACCCCCGTCACCCCCAAGGAATGAAAAATGATTGTGCATGTCTTACCTTGGTGTTTGGAGACTGTTGCTATCCAAGTTGGACCCGTGCAGCATGTGCCGTTCCCTCAACATCCAGCCAGGAGCTCTGTGTGACTGTTATGAAAGTGCATGTGAGTTTTCTCCTTGGAAGGTGTTTCCCGTTCTCGTGACCCTGCATCACATCGAGCGAGGACAGCAGATCGGAGGAGGAGGAGGAGGCATGTGAAGTCCATTACAGAGCAGCAAGTGTGATTAAGTGCCGTCTCTGCAGAGGAAGAGCAGAGGGCCTCGGAGTTTCCTGAGCTGCGGGGGTTTGGGGGAGGGGGGGGGGGGTCTCTCTAAATCCTTGCCTTTCCAACCGCTGTCTTTTTTGGGAAGTAAAATGAGTCACTTGTTTCTTTCAAAGTCAGACTTTATGTGCAAACACCATTTTTCTTGCACTTGAGGAGGGTTTTGATCGTGAAACAAAACAGCCCGACTCCTCCGTCGTCGCTTTAGTTCTTTGATCAAAGTATTGCTCCTTTTCAGCTTCCAGCATCTTCTCCACAGTGTGTCCATGACCAAGAGCCAAAGGGAGAGGACTTTGGCAATACTTCACCAACATATTCCACTTAGACATTGAGGCACTCCGTTAGACTGAAATGTCGAGCTAAAGACGGCAGAGAGCGAAGCGTCTCGGACCCAAAGTTGCTGAAAGATGAAACAAATCCACAAGAGACAGCCGATAAATTATGAGCCTTTTATTGAAGCCGCTTACACAAAGCAGGGAGATTCAAGTGAAAGTGTCTACAACAGAAAATACACAGCGAGGTCTTCACTGGAAAAAGACTACAGATCCCAGAGATATGAAGGCAGCCGATAGGGAGGGGGAGTGTGCGAGTGTGTGTGTGTAGCATGGCAAATAAAAGGCAACGGCATCGGGTACACGCTGTTCTGACTGAATTAACAAGTCGGGCCGAATGAGAACAACTTCACCACAAATAAAGTGTAAACATGAAGAGATGGATAAATAAAACTATTCGAGCCACACTCATCACAAATATGTCAAAAAACACTTAAATAATCTCTAAAAAGGTACCAATAGAAAGCTCAGCAAGGCTTTAAAGAACGTTTTCACTTCAAGTACGTTTCAAAACAACACACACAAACCGATGTGTGTTCACAGATTTAATGCTCAGTATAATTTCAGTGTTTTTGAATCAACCCACACTTCAGTTTCCCTCCATCCAGTAAACACGGACTATTGGTCGGTTCACGTTCATCTAAAGTCCGTCCTGGTGGCCGATGTTTGGACGAGACGCTTGTTTGTACCTTCTACTGTTGTCCGATACCTGCATTCAGCGAATAGCGACCCAGCTAATCGCATCTATTGTCACTTCCTTGCTACAAAATCCCTGCGAGTCACTACGTCACCAAACTTCTCCACCAAACATGTCGCTGCACCACCGTCCGGCGTCAACGGGGATGAACCCAGACTGCTTACTTCTCATATGAGCCTCTAACCACTATTGAACAAACAAACCCTATTAAACCCTTTAACTAAAAGGGACAAATCTTTGAAGCAAAACAAAGTGGTGCGATCCAAACTCCACGCGCACGTACAGTGCACGTGGGCTGATGTCGTCTATGGCACAGTAACAAATGTGCAAGAACCAAAAGCTGTCGCTCAAATAAATTAAAAATAATAACGCCAAAAAAAGCTTCAAATGATTTGTGGAGTAAATTCAACTACAGAGTTCTCCTCAGTGGAACACAGAGGCACAGCAGGAGCAGGAGGAGGAGGAGGAGAGGCAGCGCCGTGTTTCACCGTACATGGAGCGGAAACCAGCACAGGTTAGACTGAGTCATAGACGTCCGACGATCCCCCCCCCCCTCCCCTCCAAAACACACACATATACAAACGGTAACGTCAAGATGAGGAGACGCACACACACACGTCTGTTCACAGCTAATTCTCTCAGACACACACAGCTTTCACACGGTTGTTTTTGTAAATATCAGCCTTCAAACAAAACCCATTCAATCCATAAATAAACCTCGTCAGGGATTGAAAAGAAGAAAAAAAAAAAAAAAAACATAGATCACATTTTTACTAACAGGCCTCTCTTGGCTTCACTCTTTTGGAAAACACATCAAACTTATCTTGACAAGCACATGTTTGGAAAAGCGTCAGCTAGGCACCGTTTCAGTCAAAGTCTGAAGCTACAGCCGAACGTTAATGCAGAGACACTTGGAACTAAACAATCCCTTTGGAAAAGTGGTTGTAAACGTCAAATAAATAGCAAAAAACATCCCCAAATCCTTCCCTCTGTGCCTAAACAAACACGGGGGTGTACAGGGACGACATTGTGACGGACAGCAACGGCTCCACGCAGCAGTGAGTGGACTGACTGGGACCATTAAGACATTTCACGTCCACAGTGGAAGTGTTTATTCGGTGCAGTTTGTTTAAAGCGCTCGAGTTGCTGCGACGTCCATCAGTGAGGTTCTTTGTCCCGCTGCAGTGATTTGGTCTTTCCAGCAGATCTGCAGCGGACAAATATACAAAAACATGCAAATGTAAGACAATACTTTGGTCATAGCGTTGAGAATGTAACAACATAATACAATTGAAAACCGAAATAACTAAAAACAATACTTCACCGGTTATCTGACTGAGTGTTTGTTGAAGGATGCGTCTGTATATATATATATATATATATATATATATATATTTATTTTGGGTTGGAACCAAATCCTACCACAACGACAAAGAACTGACCCAACTAACAAGAACAGACGCACTGTTGTATGATGTAAACAGACCCAGTTGTATTACTTTGGAGAGGTACTGTGCTTTTTAGCGTCTGTGATAAACCACCAGTATTAAGTAGCAAGGCTACAAACAGCAGCTCCTTTATCCTGAATGAAATGATCTAGTGTGGCTTTTTAAAGTTGATATCAAACTAAATAATAATAAATCATTTATAATAAATAAATGAAAAGTTAAGTAGAATAGTTAATCAACTTCTAATACATTCTAATTTCTTGAGAAATAAGAATCTACACCATAGTCTCTGGAGTTTACCTGCTGCTGTACTTTAATCCGTCTCCTCCTCATGTCTCTGGTCTTTCGGAGCAACGGGGACGACGGTTGTCCCCAACAAGCCTCTTCTCACAATGTAGGGACACGAGGGCCCACTGGGGATATCAGCAAATCCTGCAGGGGAGGGGGACGGAGGGGGACGGAGGGTCAGGGGTTTGTGGGAGAGCAGAAAAATGAAGAGCACATGAGACAAAACAACAGCAGGAAGAACCAATACTCATATTCACACTATTGATGGTACTCAATCACAACATCATTAAGATTTACAGCTGTGGATCATCTTCAGGACTCGGGAGGTGAGAATGATGCTTCTTGTATTAAATGTTAGTTCATGCAAATGTATTCCTTTTTTTTTAAAACACAAATCCGGTACCTTTCATGACAACGTCCGGCAGGCCATAAGGTTCATACTCGGTGTCGTCAAAGGCGGCGGAAAGCTGAGTTCTGTTGCGACGGATTCTTTCAGCCAGACGGGCCGGATCAGCCGGGATGGGGAAGGAGCCCAAAAACACGTCTCGTAGCTCCGCCCCCTCCGATGATGCGGCGGCGGAGACCGGAGGGGGGTCCACTAGGTCTTCCTGCTCGTTCTCCTCAGTCTGCGTGTACGCACAGCGGAGGTCAGAGGTTGTGGGAGCGCGGCGGGGAGACAAACTCTCCTCCGTTTGACTGCCGACGCTTCTCATTTCCGTCCGGACGTCTTTGTCTGAAGAATCTCGTGTTGGTTTGTGATCATCTGGGGCTCTGGGGGCATCAGATACGGACTCAGGACTTCCTGTGGAACACTCGGCCAATTTGGACTGCTTTGGTCTTGAGACTTTGATGGAATCTTTGGTGGCATGTGGTTGACCGGCTTTCTCAGATAACATTTGGATAACTTCCGTGTCTCTCTTCTCTTGGAGCGTTTGACAGGTATTCAACTGATGCAACACGGAGAACTCGTGGTTTTCTTTTTCTGATTCCTGAGTCAGAAGAAACACGTAACAATTAAAGGCCGAACAGTACATGTGAACAAACTTGTGTGCCCAATAAAAATTATATATTTGTACGAGCACAAAACACATAGTGATTGACGAGAGAGAAAACTAATCACCTGGACAATCTGATCACATTCCTGAAACGTCTTTTCAGACGGATTGAGAGTCTTTTCTTCGGGGAGTTTGCTGTTCTGAAGTCTTTTGGTAAAACAAGAACAACAAAAGTTAATTCGAAACAAACTCAAAAGAATAGAAACCAGAATTTGATAATATGATCCACAGAAACCAATAAATACAAACACAGTGTTTGCTTTACATGTGCACACAAACACCGTAGACACATAATTGTACGCGTCCAACACAAGCTTTTCATGGCTTCTCCAGCCCTGGTGTGAGTGTGTTACCTGGAGGACAACAAGCGGCCCTGCAGTGTGCCGGAGGAGCAGGAGACGAACAGCTCATCTTCTCTGACCACTGACACGATGCCAAAGCTCTCCTCAGCGGTCTGAGCCCGGCGCCGGTTCTTCTCAGCGGCCGGCCACTGGTTCCACTGGGGCTGCGTGACGGCAGGGATCTGGTCCCGGGTCTCATTCTGGTTGTCTGGGTTGGGAAGCGACTGGTCGAACGCTGGGGCCGGTTGGGCGGACAGTCTCCACCTGACGAGCTCCTCGGCCTGCAGCTCGGTCTCTGCAGAGAGAGACCGCAAGCTCCTCTGCAGCTCCTCCACCTGGACAGGAGGGGAAGCACAGGACAGACACAGATGGTACCAATGAAACTGAACATGTGGGTGAAATAACGGCACTACAGTAATTCAAGAAACGTTCATCTACTTTTCTGGCATTTGTTAGTTTCTCCATTATAGATTTATTTAACAACCCATTTTGTGATATTTAGAGGTGGCGTGACGTCACTACCTGCTGCTGTAGCCGCTTGATCTGAAGTTCAGGCACCGACTCCAGCTCTTCTTCGGCCTTGGTAGTCCTCCAATTTTCCATTGCTAAATCTCCTTCATCTTTCATCCTCCCCACATCCTGAGGCAGCGGCTGTCGTGCGTCAGTGCCGATATTATCCGGCACACTCTGTGAACTTCGCTCCGCAGAGCAGGACAGAGCAGCACTTCCTGTGTTGTGGCTCTGCTCCACCGAGTCTTCTTGTTTCCCACTGTCTGTGTGTAACGCCGGGGTCCCGGGGGCTGAGGGGCCTGAGGGGGCCACGCCCCCCACCAATTGCTTCAGCAGCCGAATCTCCTGTCGGAGGGCGAGGAGTTCTGCATCCATGTCTGCTGAGGCTGCATCTTCAGCAGAGCTGTGGTTGCTGAGAGTCCTGTCCTGAGAGGCTGGACGCCGGTCCCCTGTCCTTAGGGCTTCCACGTCTGATTCGTTACTAAAAGGCTCTGGTATTTCTGCGTCAGCTGTCACAATCTCTAGTTGACTTCTTTGTGCATCATAGCCGCTGTCTTCTAGGGAGTTTGCAGTGAGGACTGGGACAGGAGACTCTTTTTCCTGCATTGACTGAAGCCCTGGGATATCCACCGTTATCTCATATTGTGTCACTTCCTTTTGTTCTCCATCCTCCACCTCCTTAATCATCATTTCCTCCTCTCTTTTCCTCTCCTCCGCCTCTTTATTGGCCTTGAATGCAGCCAGCTCTTGCTTGTAGCGCTGCAGTTCCTCTCCCTGGACGAGGAACGCACTCTCCTGCCCTTGTAGCTCAACTAGAAGACCAGAGATGTGCTGACTCTGCTTCTCAAAGGCCATGGTTAGCTGCTTTGTCTGACGTGTCACCTGTGAGGAAAATAAAACAGGACTGAAAGATGGAGAAAAGAGAAAGAGTGCCTAGTCTCAAACGTCCTTCAAATATAATACCTAAATATTAAGATGCCGAATGGTTTTCTTTGTATCTTATCAATATAATCTATTCGGCTGTGGCGGGACAAACTTAATGTACCTGGACTGTATTTCCACCACCTCTTACCTGGCTCTGCAGACCCTCCAGCTTCACCTGGTACTGGTGAGCACGTTCGGCCTCCTTTGTCTTCTCATTCTGCAGCCGCAACACCTCTTTGGCCAAGTCCGCCGAGGCAGGCTCCACCTTTTGGAGGTGAGGGAGGGGAGACCCTCCCACGTAGTTCTGTCTGTCAGAGGTGATCACACCGGTCTGCCCGTCGTCTGACGGAGAGGGGAGCTCAGGATCCTGGACTAAATCTGCTGTGGCCTGAGAAACGAGCATGTTGCGTTGGTTGGTGGACTGGCAGAAGAGGAGGTGCCGCTCTGGGGAGGGGAGGAGCTTGTTGTCGCAGCGAACAACGTTGGAGTTGAGCTCGTCGCCGCGGAGGTCAAAGTATGTCAGCGGGCTGTCGGCAAATGGGCGTTTCTCCTCTCCCAGTGAGCATTCTTCTCTGCGGCTTTTCAGTTGTTTCAACTCGGCTTTAAGATCTTCCAGTTTCGTACTCTGCTCTTTCTTTACGTCGATGTCCGTGGCCGTAACTTTGTTCCTCTCCTCTTCCGCTCTCTTTCGCTCTTCTTTCTCTAAGGCCAGCTGTGCCTTTATCTCCGCCAGCTGCTGCTTCATCTGGATATTCAGTTCTATCATTTCACTCTCCCGGTTTTCTAGTGCATTGTTTTGCTCCTCGCTCTCCCTCTTGTCCCGTTCCTCCCATCCTCTTGTTATCTCCGCCTGCAAAGCAGCCATGGCCTTCCTCAACTTCTCAGTCTCCGCCCTCTCCGCCTCTAGCTGTGCCCTCCATTCCTTGTCCTGCTCCGTCTTCTCAACAGCCGCGCTAGAACATTTGCGGCCGAGTTGTTTCAGCCGGGTCCTGGCTTCGGTCTCGGCCCGTCGTTGGGCTTCCAGGTCCTGGAGCCGTTTCTGCAGTTCTTCGCGTGAATCATGTAGCTCTGAGCGCAGTGCGGCATTCTCCCTCTTGAGGTCATCAGAGGCCTCGCAACGATCACAGACCACAGACCTGTTGGTGGGCGTGCTGGCAGCAGAACGAGAGGAAGTGGAGAGCACTTGATCAAGTGTGGAGTGCTTGTTTGTCCCAGAGGTGTCCCCGTCTGTGCCCTCATTTCCACTTCTATCCACCGCCTCGTTACTTCCGTGTCCTCCCCTTGGCAAACTCTCAGATTCTGGGGCGATACGGTCAGTGACGTGTTCGGAGCCTTCTCCCGGCTCTCGGTCAGATGGGTAAGATGCTGCCATCTCAGTCCTCCTCTTATCCACATCCACGTCCTCTTCGCCCTTCTGCTCGGGTAGCGCGGTGACACTGGACCTCTTGACGTGAGGTGAAGGTTGAGAAGCAGGAGAGTAAGATGGTTGAGGGGAGAAACTTTTCCCAACGGGGCACAACTGGACAGGCTGTAGAGGGGCTGCTGGGACGGCTTTTTGCTCTGGAGTTAAATAGGAAAGAAACACAAACATAGTAAAAAAAAGGCTTTTCTTACAGACCGTACATGCACCAAGAAGTCTTTGGCTGAAGGACAAGCAGAGGAGTCGGGGCGTGTCTCTATTTCTAAATATTGGCTTAAAGGCTGGCGCATGCTTCTGCGTTTGCGTCGTTGCGTCAACGCACTCGTTTCAATTCATGCTTCTAAAAGTCTTGCGTGTGTTGCAGAGCATTTCACCTCCAGAACAACAGGCGGAGTAACGTGTTTTGTTGAAGACGACCTAGAGAGTCACGTCTATTTGTTTATTTATGTATCATAGACTTTATTGCCCCGTGCATCGCCACTGCTGCTTTTCATCGCGGACACATTTGTCCCGTATTTTCCTCCACAACTTTGTGCACCTCTCAACCGGCAAACTGGCGTTTGCGGCGATCTCTTCCGTGAATCCAACCCGCTTCTACAACCCGCCAATGACGGCTTGTATAAGCGGTCATATTTGCGCATTTCTTCCGACAAAAGTAAAAAAATAAATGGAGGTATCGGGTTATGAAAGCGGTGAGACTCCGTAAAGGATGTAGTTAGCGGACCAATCGCAGCCTTGTGCGCTGCGGGAGGCTTGCGTTCATTGCGTCGCTTTCGACGCAAGCCTAGAAAAATGGCTCGACTCACGCAAGGACGCAAGGAGGTGTGAAAAGGCACACAAGGGACATGCAAGGGGGTCTTGCGTCTGCGTCGCTCTGAAAACGCAGAAGCATAAACTATGCTTTAGTTGCCTGCGTTTTAATTTGAGAGAATTGATGGCACATGAATGACCAGCAGGGGGCAGCTCTGAGATGAGACTTTTGCATTAGAGGGGAATTGGCATGGCATTTATTATAAATCCATGAACGTCTAGCAGTCATCAAGAATGAACTTAAACAATGAATATACCTATATGAAATCCTAATTAATCATCACTTGCCCTGCTTAGGTGACATTGGGCAAGACACCAAATCCCAAGAAATGTATGATTGCTTGACCCCCTGTAGATGCAGTTCAGGCTTTGTCCTCGCTCCTCACCCTGCAGTTCTTTGATGAGACGGAGGGCGTCGACTCGCTCCTCGGCCAGCGTCCTCCCCACCTCCTCCAGAGCTCGCTCTCTCTTCCTGCTCTGCTCCAGAGTCACTGCCACACCCTCAGCCTCCCGCAGAGCTTCCTAATGGGAGGACACACACACACGCACACACGTGAATCTAGCGAAAGAGGACTTCCAGAGGAGTAACTTTGTAGGAGCTGTATATTGATAGCTACATAAAATCATAGCATCACAATAGCAACAAACCAGACAAACAGGCTACAGATAAATGCAGCCTTTATGCTGACGTCGCTAACTGCTTTACATGTGCTGAATACACAAACAAACTCTGGAGTGTTAAAATGAGACTGTACCAAGCCGTGGTCCAAGGGTTCCAGTTTAAAAAAAAGCTTTCTTGTTTGCAAGTTTAGCCATTCACCACCGAGCAACATTTAAAGTTGAGTGGGCTTTTTACAGTAGGATATCAAGGCTTATTTCTAAGTATGTAATAACTTGCCATAGAACTGTGAAATGTTCTCCAATCCTTAACCTTTATATAAAACACCATGCGGCAGCTGGGTGAATAAAGAAGCCACACTTATCATTTATTAAAACATTAATACATTTTTAAACATCTTAACATGCAATATTTCAGTTTAAGATGGGTGGAGTTTACTGTGCAGCCACTGCTTGGACTCTAATGAATAATTAAATCAAGTGACTAGCTAGACGCAGGCCCATCCCTAGTGTGTATGTGTGTGTGTGTGTGTGTGTGTTACCGTCAGCTTGGCTTGTGTCTGTGCCTCTTTCTTCTGGCTCTCCTGCAGCTGTCCCTGCGTCCACTTCAGTTTCTCTTTCAGAGTGTCCAGCTCTTTGTTCAGCTCCTGCTTCTGTATGGACAGCTGATGCAGAGTATTAGGACTCAGTTACTGATTAAAAAAAATAGTCTGCAGGCGCAGTGAAAGGAACAGGGAGCTGGAGATCAATCAGATCAATAAGGGGCACGAGCTTTGTCTAATGTCCTCAGTGGGCATCAGTCTGTTAAGTCCTCCTCACTTTCCCCACAAGTGTATTGATTATGTTACTAACAGAAATAAACAGGTTACTTTGCTCTACCTGTTTGGATGAATTATGCTTGTGTCTTATCATCGTTCATGTTGGAAACAGCAACACGTACAGTATTAAGTTATGGAGAAGCGGGTAAATAAAAGTCACAATGGGTTGAGAGCTTGATTCTGAGGCAGGAACGATCATTTTACTGTATTAAGTTCATGTCAAATGTAGTGTAACCAGTTCAACAACTTGTAACCACTTTTCGCAGGACGGAGTTCAGTACAAATGAGAGACGTAGCAGAGAATGTTTTACACAACTTAACAGCTCATAAATTATGTCTAGTCAGTTTTTAGTCTTGAATGGGATGTGCATTTACAAACTTCCATCGGCAGCTGAATGTGCCATTTGATATGACACAAACTGGGCCGCCACTGTGTGTTTACTCTCTGTGGCCTTATCAGATATCACCAGATAACATCGGTGTGGTTTACAAAGGGCTCACAGCTGAATGCTCATTGTTAGAACACTTTTTACAACGCGTCCGAAAAGCATAGGGGTCGGTTTCAATACGGCGAAGGATTCTCCCAACTGAGAGATAAAAATGTGTATTATTGTTCAACTGATTAAAAAAAACTAGCACGGCATTCTTTCATATTAAGAAAATTTAAGTAAAAAGAACAAAATGAAAACACCACATCTTCAAGCACACTTTTCAGTCATGCATCTACCTCCACCTTCGTCCCGCAGCCATGCCTTCACGCCACGCCGGCTACGAACTCTTTTGTTATTTCTCACACACAACTTATGAGATTGTTTCACGCGGCCATGGCCAAAAAGCATTCTACACGTAGTCAAACGTCGTCACACGGTCGTTACCTTCGAGGCTCAACCTTTCCAGTGGGGAGAAACCGAGAGGAGGGCGAAGCGGAGAGGACAGCGGGAGGAAAAAAAGAGGAAACAGAAACAGAGGGCAGGAGAGTGAAACGGAGAGTGAAAGAAATCAACAAGCGTAAGACGCAAGCGTGGGGTCACAAGCCAGAAACGTCCATGGGCCTTTGCTCTAAGTAATACAAGTCCCAGGAAAAACAGGAGAAGGAATTGAAACCAGGAAGGACAAGAAACAGGGAATAGCGGAAAATACTGAGCAGATATATCAACAATGTGAACATAATCCTCTCATAATAACACAGATCTGAATGAAAGGCTTTATCTAGGTACATGTAGTTGTGTGCCTCATTCAAGTGTATAGTTTGTCTACACGTAGTTACCTTGTGTGCGGTTTTACCTTGTCAGCCTGAGCCTGCAGGGCGTTGTGCAGCGTCCTGGCCTGCTGGAGCTCCACGTTGAGCTTATTCACCTCCTGCTGATGCTGCTTTTCCAGACACTGCCTCTCCCTTTGAAGCTCTGTCACATCCTGGACACACACACACTTGAGATTGAGCCACAATCCTATTCTTTTTTTACGAGGGTTGAACAAAAAACAAAGTCTGATAAATATCTGAAATTCTCCTCCGAGCATCATCTTTTTATTTCCCCATCGTTCATCCGTCCACATCCTCCATCTCACCCTCTGGTGTTGTTTCTCCAGCTCCTTCCAGCGTTGTTGGTGTTGCAGACGGCTGCTCTCTGCGTTTTGCCTCTGACACTTCAGCTCCTCCAGGAGGTGCTTCAGCCTTTGCTCTGCTCCTGACGCCTGCCACACACACACACACACACACACCAACATTGACAACAAACTTCTTTGTTAAAATAAAGGGCTTAAGAGTGTGCACCCTGCTGACGAGTAGTCACATAAACACTTATTCTGAAGTAGACATTTGAAAAAGTGTGGGCATGTTTTTTTTGTATATTTCCAACTCTAAACCGGTTTTATCAACTTGCATTTACGCAATTTGTTTTAAGACATTTGTAATATTGTTTTCAATATGAGATCTGCATTTACATTCTGACCCAAGGAAAGCACCAACACTGTGAGACCAGATCCTCTAATCAAATGAGACAATTGTCAGCCTCTCTTTGGAATTCTCCAAAGACTAAATAGATTTCAAAAATGTATATTATATCAGTTTGATTATTGTGCAGCTCAGAGCAGAACAAGAACACGTCACTCCAGCTCACTCATTTCAAAAGGAGCCGATAATAACAGATTGTGAAACATGTTTGTTATTTTCAGAAAAGTCAGAAGTATTTTACCAAACACATTCGCATCGCAGTGGTATGAAAGTGTGGTAGTGCCTGTTTTTACCCGTTCGCTCTCCTGGGCCACGCGTGTGTGTGCCATGCTGAGCTCATGGCGGGCTTTCTGAAGGCCGAGCTCTTTGGCCGCGAGCTCCGTCTTGCTTTGCACCATTTCGCTCTGGATAGACTTGAGCGCCCCAGCCTTCGCACACAGCTCCGCCTCCAGAGCAGTGACACGCCTCCCCGCATCCGCTAGAGATGCTGCTGGACCGGACACACAGGAGACATAACGGTTAACACGCACATCAGCTCGCAGTGTTGTAAGTCTCAGCAGGGGACAGTCGTGTAACCACATACAAGGAGAATAGATATTTTTTATATAAACATACAGATATCTTGTAGGGCCTTAAAGAAACGTATCAGTGTAACTAAAAGTTGGCTCTTATTTATTAAAAGTGTAAACAGCTTGCATCCATCCCATCCATGTTCAAGAAGAAACAGCAGTAAAGAAAATATTGAAGTCCCAAAATGAAAGGGACTTGAACGGGTGGAGAGCAGCAGAGAGCCAACAGGGGAGGATAAGAACATTTTTGTAATTTGTAACAATGTTTCCCTCAAAATGAGCATCGACATTATCACCAAGAAGAAGCTTGTTGTCTTACAACAGTCGAAAACACAGCAGCAACACACAATTCAGTAATGGGGTCAATCCATACAGACCGGCTCACTGCTGGTGTAACGCTGTGTGAAAAAAGCCTGTGGATGTCAGGCTGCTGATTTCAGAAGCCAGTTATGAAATCAATGTATTTCCATTATGTTGACCTGGATCTTTCTCCTTTCTCTGAATTTTACAGTACTACAAAATAAAGTTTAGGATTATTACCCTCATCACTATTCACAGAAAAACATCTAATAAAAAAAATGTTTTGTATAATTGTAATGTGTTGTGATTTAAATCACAATTTGTTGTACTACTACTAATATAAAAACAACCTATTCTTCTAAGATTTACATTTACAAAATGTACACTTTACAAAATAGAACCCGAACAAGCAAATCTGGATAAAATCCTCCAACCTGTATGAAGCATGTGACTTTAGACACGACTGTAGAGCATAATAAAAGCACGCAGCAGCCTAATGTAAACAGCAACCCCCCCCACCACCTGTGTCCCAGCAACTAAAAGAAGAATTTATTGCTTCACATCGAACAGCCCCCTTCCTCCTCTGAACAAACATTCTGAGTGGAACAGAGAGAAAGGGGGTTATTCCACATATCACAATAATTAAGTGTACCGAGAGTCCCTGTAAATCATGAAGTCAATCCTGCTGTAAACTATTTTTACGTAACAAGTGTTGAGTTTACACCAAGTGCATGAGATTTGTTGAGGTAGTCTCAGTCGTTTACTTTAGTTAATTTGGTGTCCCGAATAATAAACCCTCGCTTTAGGAGACCCGTCGCCGTGTTGAGCTGTGTGGTTGAATTTGCAACTGTATTACCATGGAGACCATTTGACATCACTCACTGTCTGTCGCCGTCTTCTGGTCCTTCTCATCCTCACAAACACTCTTCTCCGACTGGCCCTGACTGATGATATCCGTGCAGGGTGTCTGGGGAGAGCTCGGCGACAGTCTCCTGGCCGCTGGCCTCGAGTCGTCCTGTTCCCACGGAAACACGGCAGAGGGAGTGGAGAAGACGTCCGATTGGCCAGACGCATGCCGCTGGGGTGTGCTCTTGTGTTGCGGTCGTGGTAACGAGTTCAAGGCCTCTTCGGAGAACGGGAGCCGCTGCAGAAGGGAGGAGAAGGGGAGTAACACATTTTTCTTAAAACAAATCAGTGGGTATTCCCATAAGCATTAGCAAAATTATGATATTCTGAAGAAGTCTTCTTTAGTTAGTATGTGTTTATTATGGGATTCCTGATTATTATTATTCTTTTGAACTTTGACTGTTTGTTTCAATCTCTGAAAATGATTTCCTCACAATGATAAATTAAGATATTGAATTGTTGCCAGCTAAGCACGAAAACATTGTGGTTCTTACTCGGATATGAAATCCCCGGCTCTGTCCGTCATCTCTATATCCGGGTCTCTCCTCCTTTCTACTCACTGCAGGGGAAAAAACACAACATATGGATTGGACTTGGTTCCGAAATTCCATCCCGAAAGCTTAACATAAAAGGATTGAAGACAAATGGTTTGCTGACATGAGAAGAAAGAGAGATACAACGGTCCTGTGAGAGAGAAGGGTTGGGACAGGATCTAAGAGTTAATTTATGAACTGTCTTGTGCTTTAATTTCCAACATTATGCAGTCTGTCAATGAACAGTTAGATACAACCAGAGAGAATAAACACAGGTGCTGCAGGACTGTACCATTGTGTTCCCAGGGCAATGTTGTGTTCCAGCCGGGTGAAGATAACGGCGTAGTATCTGCTGATCTGCTGCTGTTCTGCAGCTTCTCTAGCTCTGCCTCCAGCCTGCCGAAGAGAACAAGAGAGAAAACTGATTGCAGCTTCAAGACATCTACAAAACCTAACCTATAACATTGGAAAAGATTTGATTTGTGTGGACGAATGTCTTGTAACTGGTCCTAACCTTTTGATTTCGAGCGTTAGTTTGTTGTTGAGGGTGCGAGTAGCTGCGACCTGACCCTCCAAAGAGCACACCTGGGCCTGCTTGGTCTGAAGGTCCTGGGCGAGGCGCTCGTTGCTGGTCACTGCTGCCTTGCACTCCCGTTGAACATCCCGGAGGTCTCTCTGCTGATACTGGAGCTCCCCACGGATCTCCTCATACTTAACAGGGAAAAGGAGGAGGACGAGGAGAGGGAGAGGTATGAAAATGTCAAATATTGTCTAAGATGATGGACTCTCCCCAAGAAGGGAACGATTAGACAGGTTATCAAATACGTATACAACATATCATTGTATAGCATTACTCACAGAACTGTTCAATGATCATGTAAGTGAGCATGGCTGCCTGCTTGTACCTTCGCAGTCTGTTTCTTGAGGCTCGTATGGAGGTTGTCCAGCTGCAGCTGTTTCTGCTTGTTCTCCCGGGACAGTCGCTCCTGATGGACCTGCAGCTCCTTCACCTTTTGCAGAACCCGTCCAGACAGCCCCACCGTCCAGTCCTCCTCAGCCCAACTCATCGCTCTCTAGACAGGGAGGGAGAATAACATCAGCGCCAAAAAACAGATCCAGAATCAGACGGTCCCTGGAGCCACGGGAGTCTGTAGCTGCAACACACTCAGTCTGAAACAATGAGGAAGTGCAGGCGTGTTAAGTAAAGGAGAGCTTTCGTCAATTTGTGTTGGGGCAGATGATCCAATCGACCTCACGTACACAAACATGTTTCGAACAATGGTGCCTATGGCTGGGAGTCCTGTAAAGAACATGTTATGTTGCTACGGTTTTGATCCCTTGGGGAGACGCTGGTAGTCACGGCTGGGAAGCTGTGACTCAGCTTTTTCCAACACACGCTGCCTGCAATGTACCAAGAGCTCATCAGGTTGAAAACATCCATTATACGCCTACTTACTAAATGAAAATGTTCAGGTCAATGCAATGGTTTTCAAGCTAAATCTGCAACCACTGTATTAACTGCAGATTTGCTTTTGAAGGACTCAACGCAAACAAATGAACACAAAATGAAAATGTAGGAATGAAGAAGCGTGATGAAATCCTTGGCCTGATCAAACCTGTAGTAAATTCTGAAGCCAGCTTTGACAGGCACTCTATAAACACCAGTTAGTTTCTATTATAGCGCAAAAGGTTATTCCCCCTGAATTATAGAGTGGCAGAAAAACAAAACTCGACTGACCGATGTACTGGTGAAATAAATACCCCTGTATGACACCTGGAGGGGCTACAAAGACTGTAAAATGCTAGGAGAGTGTATGATTACACAATTAAAAACTCAACTCAATTTCACCAGAACATCAGTTGTGGTCAAATAATAAAAATATATAAATCACATGAATAAAATAAAACATTAGCAGATTAGTTTGAATATTTTTAGGAATATAAGCGACCAGCCACTGTTCCCTTTAGGGAGGATGATCTGCTCCCTCTATAAATAAAAGGAGGGCAGCGATGTATGACGACCTCGGTCACTTTTAAAGTAAAGACCGAGTCGTGCCTCCGTCCTGCCCGCTGAACTGGGTCAACGGCAGGTTTGGTTTGTGGAGGAAACTGGGATCCAGACGTTGAACCGCGCGGCCTGTGCGTTGCCAACGTGCGATCACGAGGTTCAACACACAGCGAAACACTGACGACAACTTCCACTAAAAGTGTCACTTAACTGTAACACCGCCGGTGAAATAGCGTCAACGATCTCACACACAGCCACACACGCACACACCACAGCGTGACTGACTGAGGCGGACTTTAAACTGACAGCTACCACCTAGCAGTGATGCTACTAGCGTTAGCTGCCTCCCTCCCGCACCGCAACTACTCACCCTTCGGGTTTAGGGAGTCACAAAGGGCGACGGTTCACACGGACCCGTGACGACAGCCTCCACCGAAAAGCAACACCCGGCCTCCCGGTTCTTCTTCCCCGCGCGCCGCGGGCCGACCTGTGTCTGTGAACACGCAGGTAACCCAACTGACATCACACGGAGCCGCTTCCCTCTCTCACCTGAGACGAGATGCCGCGCGCGACCCGCGCAGCTGACAAGCCAACGGAGTCCTTGTGGAGCGCGCGCGGAGGGGGGGGGGGGGGGGGGGTTGACGTCACGGGGAATCGTTTTTTGGGAGAAGTTCCGCCGGCGGTGTGACGTGCTCATGACCTCTAGCGGTCACACGTGGGAGCGACGCCGCGGCTCTCCCGTCGAAACGTGTCGCTTCTTTTGGTTTTAGATGACAACAACGTCACAGAGCCTCCGCCATGTTGTCTGCAGTTAGAACATGTAAATAGACCTTTATTTAAGACTATCAAGGCGCACTAAACTAAACTAGTATTTAAAGATCCACAACGGTTATTTTGCCAACAATTTGATTATCTATCATTTCTTTGGTAAAATTGGAATAAGAACAACTCTTAAAATAATAAAGGCATAAGTCAAGTATGTTTAATTACCAGGAATTTAAGGAATGTCCCGTGGAGTTTTCCCAAGTGAAAATCCGGCTCAACCATTTCCTTTGTGCTGAGACTGTGCATACATGACTTGTTCTTTCAAATTTCACAGATCAAAGTAGGAGGTAATAAATGCTTCAAGCTAGACGTGCAGAAAGTGGAATAACACGTGACTTCATACATCATTTTGTTTGTGAAAGGAGTACAGTGTCCCTAAAACACTTTATCAATATATACTAGATGTTCACATTCTTGATAACGATCGAGGTCACTTTGACTTCTGGAAAAACTTTTTAAACTGTTCGGTGCCAGGTTGTTTAAGGAACAATGTCTTGCTGATAAAAGACAGCATTTTCACATACGATTTTAACGGACATAATCCTTTGATGATTTTTATGCATCATATTGCAGCTATTGTGCAGAATCCTACTATTTTTAACAATTAAACACATTTAATGAGCAAACACTGCTGATCATTTACAGTTGTTGTCTATTTACAGGAGAAAAAAAAAGGTACAGCATCCAAGCACTGCAGGCTACTGTAATTAGATCATAATAGTCATTATAGGATTTGAATGTAATCTGGGATTTGGTGGCTCAGTGCTGAGTGGTGCGGAAACCCAGGAACTAGTCTGCAGTTACCTCGCACACGAAACCATTTGGTAGCCGGTGGTCCAGACGAGAGGATGTACATGTGTTAGAAAGAGAGATTACTTATGTAATCTAGTGCATAACAGTCTGGTTATTACAGGTGGATTTACATGGATTAATTGCCTGCGAGCCGTGAGACGTACACTGTGTTATTTTCAAGGACCGAGTGTGATGGCAACAGCATAACAGCTTAAAACCAGAAAGTATGCTGGTTAAATCTTCATGACATGCCCTCATATATGTCTTCCAATGGTAAAGTACATTTGAGCAAAACAATGTCCGGCCCTTTTGTGTGAGTGAGCTAAAATCTTCTGTTTATAGTTTTAAAATTGAACATATTCAAAGTCAAATTAAGTGAAAATAACTCTATTTGCCAGCTATCACATAAACAGCCCCCAAGTGTTTGCAGCGGTACACTCATGTGAGGTAAGCTCCTCTCATCACTCGCTCATTAATACAGGATTACATTTATTCCCAATCCCAAACTCACACACACACACACACACAGTCCCCGGGCTCCTCACGGAAGTACACACCCCGTCTGCCAGGGGCCGTAAATGGTAGCAAGGCAGTCAGGTAGCTGGAGTCTGAGGAGCTTCCCCCTGATGGAGAGCTGAGGTTCATCGGGCTGCTAACGGAGGCTTCGCCAGAGGAAAGCGGGGTTTCTGTTCGACGACAGCACACTGCGGCCTGGTAAACACAGCTTTCATGGCGGTAAGGCTCGGTGATACGATTCCTCCTTGAAAAAACATAGTTTGTATAGATCAGCTGTCAGTGGTTTGGCATTCACATGATTAGGATTCCTGTTTCTGGTGGAAAAGGTTGTGCAGTGTTCTGATATCTCCGTGTGATTATGGAGAGTGTTGAGTGTCACATATTCTGCCCGTCCTGTGCAGATGTTTCCTTGGTCAGCTGTTTTCTCCCTCGAGCCCAAAGTACCCGGCCAGCGCAGCCCGGAGGAGTTGGTAACCAACACCCTGATGCTGGAGCTGGGGGCCATGGTGAAGCGCACTGAGCGAATCCGCCTGGAGCGGGCGACGGAGGGTCGACGCCGCCGTCGCAGCTCCTCCTCCTCAGCGGCCGACTACAGCTGGCTGGCCAGCGCCCCGACCCAGCAGCCCTACGAGCTGACCCCCAACGACCTGCTGGAGCTGCAGGGCCTCTGTGTCAAGGTGCCGCCCGCGCAGTGCGGCCCTCTGATCGTCAGGTGAGGCCGGCCGAAGGGCCTGTTGGGACACTCTCGAGTTTATCCGCGAAAGCAAGCCGGTACTCTCAGATCTACACCCATTGTTTAAGAGACGTGACATGATGTCCCAACCAACAAGTGCTTTTTTATTACAGATGTTTAACACTGAAAGTATTTGTTTGTGAATAATTCTAATCAATAACATTGTACTGTTTTGTGTTATTCGCTTTTTACACTCTGTTTGGTTGAGTCACTCTGTGTAAACGCCTCCCGTCTGATGTCAGGCCGTTTTGAATAATAATAATAATGATAACGGCTCCCGCCGCAGGTTCCGGCGGCTGGTGTCGGAGATGGAGCCCGACGTGCACGAGGTGCCGCGCGTGTTCCGCTCGCTGCTGCGCGAGTGCACGGACGAGTCGAGCGGAGGGGAGGACGCGCGGGCGCGGGCCGGCGGCCTCTTCGGGAGGCAGCAGCGCAGCAAGAGCCTGTCGTTCGTCACCTTCCGCAGCAAGTTCCGCACGGGCCAGCTGTTCAGGGGGGGCGGGGGCGGGGGCGGCTCCAGGGGCAACCTGGACCAGCAGGTGGATTGGTCCGACGAGGAGGACGCCCAAGGGGAGGAGGAGGAGGAGGAGGAGGTGGAGGCCATCAAGGCCCGGGCGAGGAAGGGAAGGAGCAGGAGCATGCCGGAGATCAGCCCCGTGGAGCAGAGTGCCCAGGGGTGAGAGAGAGAGAGTCAGAGGGGGAGGATGCAGAGAGGATGAGGGGGGAAAGAGAAGGAGTAAGGGATGGAGTAAGAGGTGGAGTAGGGAGATGGCGGCGGCTGAATATCAGTATGGAGAGCAGAGCTTCTTTTTGTCTATTCAACTCATCTCTTCTCATCTGAAGAGAGTTGCTCTTGGCCGCAAGATTCTGAAACACAGTGTCGACCGCTCCGCGAGGCTGTGAGGTCGTGTCATGTTTACCACGTTCACCCTCTTAGCTTAGCGTGTGTTCCAATATTCTATAATTTGCACTACACACAGCGTGAAGCTCTCTAATGGGAATGTTACTACTTATGCACGTAGCTGGACCAAAAGGCACGTGACGGCACTATTTTGTTGACACGCGGAGCGGAGTGATCAGGTGTGTGTGGTGTCAGTCTCAGTGCTGTGCTCATGTTGAACTAATAAGGTTAGCCATGATACAACACTACACAATTAGAACGTGGAAGTGAAGCAGTTGGTTTGTTAGAAGGTTTGAGGATCATTAAAGTCTCTGGGATGGATGTTGAGGACCTTGAATGTCTGGAATCCATCCTTGTGTTGGTGTTAAAGAGATAGAAATAGCCAGAGCCACACCAGCTTACTGATTTAAATGTGTTGCATGGGGGTTAAGTAGCGAAAAAATTGTTTGCTTTGTGGACCTTCACATAACAAAAGCTAAAAAGCACAAATGCCTGTGAACTGACCCTTTAAAAACATGTGATGCAACAGCCAGATCAGCTGTTATTTGCAGTAGATTGTCTTTTTTGTTCGTATGTATTGTTTATCATTAGTGCATTTTTTAAGTCTAGAAGCCTTTTTACAAAAGGAATGCAACCCACCTTACAAGGGACTTTATTGTAAACGAGAACTATATAAATATGTCTGGGGCCTATAAATAAATACAAGCACAATAAGCCTTTCTGCTGTAATTATGTTGAATGTGTCACAAAGCTGCACCTGCTTAGCTCGTCTGAGAGCTAATCAGAGCCTCCCAGCTAATTATATCGCTGCAGACTAATCCTCTAATCCCAAGAAAATCGCAGCCACGAATGCCAGCACCCCATTCTCATTTTATTAATATGCACTTTATCAATACATCGTTATCACTATTTGCACTTTATACACTGAAGTCAAGGCATTTGGCTAAAAAAAAAGAACAGACAGGGCAGACAAAAATAAGAATGTTGTCTTTTAAAAAAAAAGCTATGGTCATTTATTGTAACATCCGATGGTTTAGAAAGATTAAAGATGGGAAGAAACTACAACAGCGGCATCCAAGCAGACACTTCCAGGGAACGCGGCTGATTGAGTCACTTCGTTAGAGGCTTCACAACCAGCACAACCCCTTCATAAGCACTGATGTCAAACCCGGGTCATTTGAATGCTGTGTGCAAGGTTTAAACTCCTTCAACCCGCCTAAAGGTTTACAACCAAAACCGTTTCACATAAAACAGTGTGGTGAGATATCTTGAGGTTTTGCACAGCTTGTATTGGAATACCAGCAGCGACAGTCCTCTCAGCGGTCTGTAGCTGGAACGGTGTCTTCAGGACACAACTCGTGTCACAGCGCTATACGAGTAATCATTTGGCAAGTAAAGCTTGAACACGTAACAGAATAAAGAATATCATTAAATGACAAATTGTTGATAAAGAAGGGGCACGGTCATGCTCTTCAACTGTAGCAAAGTAAACTAATTAGCAAAATGATCCCAGGATGAACTTCAGTTCTGTTGTTAGGTTTTGAAATTGTAATATTGTTATATCATTATTACAATAATAAATCATAATAAACGACACCGGGTAAACAAGAAAATCAAAGTTTGCAGAATCAAACCATTAAATTATAGCCATTTTGATTAAATGTTCATGAATAATTGGTCAAAGTAAAATACTGAGCAACATGTTGCTCTCTGTCGCTCTCTATACAAAGTCGGGATTTTAGATAATTTATTCTTTCATTGGGACAGAATTCAACATCTTCCTTCTTCACTGAATTGACGAATTGAGCTCAAGAGTCTGCGGCTTGGTGACAACCGGAAAGTTTGTATTAATCGGAGCGGCTCCAGCCTCCGGCGAAGCGTCACTTCCAAAGTGAAGTCTGTCCTTCAGATACGTTGCCTGGACACGTCGTCTTGGTCCAGCTTTTAGTTTCACTTCACCTCGTTCGACGTGCTACTTCCCCCTCCACCCGCACGCCTCTCGGCGGCTTCTCTTTTCTTCAGGCGAAGAAGACAACAAAGACGATGAAGAAGATGACAAGGACGAGAAAGATCTTGATCATCAGCCAGCGGTTGGAGGAGACTGACTGGAAGTATTTGAGGATCTCTGTGTGGGCGGACTCCACGTTGAGCTGGGTGTCCTCCACGTTAGCGTCGATCCTATGAGAAGGAAAACGGGGAGGTTCAGCCTTTAAACAGATTAAGTATCTTAACGGTCATACTTTTTCCTTTCAGATCAGTCAGTTCTGGGGAAAATGGAAAGTCAGAAGCAAGAGACATCTGCAGGAAATGATTTAAGATAGTTGCGGTATAAATTATTGCAGCAAGTCCCTTCTCTACCCCAATTCTTGCTGCTTCTAACCTTTGGATGGTCTCCTCTTGCTCCTTGACCATGTGTGCCAGCTGCTGGAATATAGAGCCCAGCTCCACAATGGTGCTTTCAATGTTCTGCATGGTGTCTGCGCGGCTCTGGATGTACGAGTCCTGTAACGGCACAGCGAGATCTCACAAAAGGGCCACATTACTGCAAAGATGCACACTTCAGTCTAATATTTATAGAACGTCTGATAAGTGTTGCAGCAATAGTGACGACAATGCAAATGAACTCATTTAGGACAATTTGTGCCGGCACATGAAACACACACATTCCTCTGACTGTGAAAAACATGCAGCGGTCTACCTGCTCATCAATAAGCTGGAGTTGCAGGGGATTGGTCTGGGAGTCCATATCGATGGCTACGTCGCCCATACTCCGGGACTCGTCCTGCATCAGGACCGAGCTCTCTGAAGGGCGACAACAAGCAGAACACACACGCATGTCAACAAGATCAGACAGAGCTCCTCAATGGTAGAGGGGGGGGGGCAGCAGGCACATACATTAGCTAGTTAGACCCACTGGGAGAGTGAAGCGTTCCAGGGAAATACCTTTTAAATTTGAGGTGGTATTGCCCTGGTAACCATTGCGCGGCTCACGAGCTGCATGCGGCTCCTGGGCCCCTTTTTTGCGGCTCCCTAAAATATTTTTTAATTTTTGCATTATAGATTACCAAATACAATAATAATCATTCACAAGGACTTCGATCAGTTCCCAATTACAACAGCTGTTAGAAATGTGCACTGCAAAATCCTTCACATCTAAATTTCAAAACAATTTGCTGGCAGTGTAAATACCCCCAGAGGAAGCAACTGAGCTTACTGAAGGAGCACACCTGGGTATTTGTTTTAAAAAAAAAACGGTAAACTGAGCAGGACACAGACATGACGATTATTGCCTCTGAGCCAAACCCAATCCTCAATCAGAAAATGAAGTGTGTTCACTCGATTACTCTTCGTGAAACGGCCAGCCGACTCGTCTTGTACAGATGACGAGCAAGCGATGATTTAGCTAAACTTTTTTTTTTTTAAAGCGGCAAATGCGAACCCTTTTGTCTTTTCTTTAAGGGATCATTTTTCAGTTGTGATATGAAGGAGATACTTCTGCGTTAAATGTTTTATCAGTACAAAACGTGGCGGAGGCAAACCAAACAATAAACGGTAAAGAGTGAGCTCCAAAAGCGTGCTGCGTTTAACCGTTGGTGCCGTTACTTTACTGTGAGACCAGAGTAAAAATCCCAGTGCGTAAGTGGGGACAAACTTACTAAAGTTGTTGGCCATCAGAGGAGAAGACGAGACCGGGGGCTGCGAGAACTGCTCTCTCCTGCTGCGCTGCTGCTTCAGGTTCTACAGGAACAGGGACAAACAACGGAGGAGGTGAACACACCTGATAAGTAGCCGGACCCTAATTTAAAGTCTTGGTAAATGGTTAAAGTATGACAAACACCCCTCACCTCTGTTCGGACTTCTAGGACTGACTTGAAGTCATTGGACATTGAAGCCAGTTTGGACTGAGGGGAAGCAGAAGATTCCGCAGGGTTCAACAAAGTTGATTCGTCAGAGTACGTTCGGTACAGAGCACCAATATGTGAACAAGAATTCTAGGACCATTTTCTGATGTTAACCCCTTTTGAATATACCTGCAATGACACCACTATGGTGTTGGAGTGGGTTTGGATGTGTCGGCCACCTGGAGCCCCGCGGGACCTCACCAAGTCCTGCAGCTGTGCAATCTGTTTGTTTAGACTGTTGATGTCCTAAAAACATTAGAGATAGAAAACAGGGTGTGAGGTTTTATCCGAAAATTCAGGATTAAATGTCACTGCACTATTTACAAATAATGAACATGTTTTCCAAACCATATTTCATGGGATTCTAACAATTCAACTCACTTGTTTGATGATGTACGTTAGCTCCTCGATCTCCACCGCCTTGTCGTCAAATAAAGATTTTCTTTTTGCCACTAAAAAAAATCATAACAGAATATATAAATCTACACTTTGTACAATATCACACAAAAACCAAATATTTATGAAGAAATAAAATGAATGGGAATCTTACAAATAGTGAGCTTTTCCAATTTGGCAAACGTGTTGCTCAAGTCTTTTCCAATTCTCCTAAAAAGGAAAGAAATTAACTTTCTTTGTCATGCACATCCTTAATGGGGTACTTCCACATTAAAACACGCTTGTTGGATTTTTACAGGGAAGAGGAGAACGTTAACGTTATCTCTATGCTCTGCCTCCCTGCTTACCGCTGCGCTCTGACAAACAAGCTCTAAACCGAATTCCAATCTTCATGTTGTGTAAATGCAAATGTCGAACGACCAAAATCCCTTCATAACAAGTACGTTTAGTAAATATGTAAGAGCACACGGACTATGAAGAACTTACTTGGCCATAACAGTGAAGTCACTGCGCTGCCGGAGAGCGCTGAGCGCCGGTTTACTGGGCTGGACTCCATTCTGCCAAGAGAGGAAGAGAGGAGCAAACATTAAAGTGAGAGGCTGACGGAAAACTAAGAAATTGCTACATAAATCCACAATATTGAGAAGTGATACATTGATAAAGTGACTGTGAAATTATTATTCCAGCTGGTTGACCAACTAAAACATTGTAGTCAATGTTTTGGTGAATATCGGCTTCCTTCTGATACAGGATTACAGAGGAGGAGACCAATGAGGACATTTCAGGGTTTACAACCCACATCTGATAATCGAGAAATTGGCCAAGTAACATAAAACAAGTTTAAGAAATCCCCTTGATTGTCTAAGAGACAAAGATATTTTACATAACGGGGTTCGTTGTTGTGCTGCGATGAGTCGACGTACCGGTCTGCTCTGGAGAGATTTACAGGCTGACTGGAACTCGAGGGTCCGATCCCGGCACGTCATCTTGATGCCGTTAAAGTGTCACCAGCGGGGGACAGCCGGGGTCCCTTTCCTCTGGGACAACCGGGTCCTTCTCCTCTGCGCGATGGATGAATCTCCCAAAGCTCACATCCAAGGCGGGGTCTCCTTCATGGGCATACGTACACACATGTCTGCAGTAACGGGAAGATGTGTGTCAAAACAAGTGGTTAACTGACGGTTCGAGCCGTGTGTTGAACGATAAATGAAGAGAGTTTGAGGTTGACTGTTACGTTAACTTAGTTAGCCGTTAGCTTTAGCTAACATAACAGCAGGGTTCCCTGACACCAACAACACATCGACTAAACTACACGAAACAGACAATAGATAGCAAATAACGGACCTTCCCCACAAATAACAAACAGGTCGGTTAAATACTAATATCATTCGATAACAAGGGGCAGCTTTCTCTGAGAAAAGGCCGCCTATCACGACGCACAGCTGATCACGGCCTGACCGGCTAACCACAGGCTAACGTTAGCTTCACAGAGCTAACCGTACGTTCCCTGCCGCTATTCTTCGTTAAATTCGACCTAAACTAATCACGTGAGGTTGAATCTGATTTAAAAGAGAGGAACCGATCAGACGTTACTCACTTGACTCGATATTACATCATATTTCGGGAGCACTCGATGCTTCTGCTTGAAACTAATCAACCCAGGAGTTAAAGTTACGATCCGGGTAGTTTCCGGAACTGACGTCACTGCCACGTCTACTTTACCGAGGCTGAAAGTCCGTGTCGGAACAACACGTCACCGCCCGGGGGCGCCGCCCCTCCTGTTTGGAGTTTAGTTTCATCACGAAGTATAAACACGATTTAGTCACATATGACATTAAGAAAACAGAACGGTACGTTGAAATATGGAGAATACAAGAACATAGGCTGCCAGCTGCATTGCGGACGTCATATTACTAGCAAAACAATCATATAAATAAAAAAACTAAATGATCATCAATAAAGTAATGGACATTTCCAAGACGTATTCCTGCAGATATATAGATAGATTGCAGAAGTCAATTTGTCAGCTTCCTTCCTCACCTCCAAACAATTAGCTCCAGATAATAATCTTTTTCTGTCATCTCAGAGTTAAGTGAGAGATGAAATATCATCCCCAGGATATAGAAATCTCTTTATTAGTAAATAACAAATAAAATAAAATAATAAAGCATACAAGGATTTTTGTGTTGTCATAGCTGTCTACAAAACACACATGTATTTACCCTCTGATTTAGTATCAACAGAAAAAAGGTGGCCACATTACTACGACTGTAAAACTATCAAATTAGAATTTTAAGGTTGTACAACAGCTTGATGTTACTTTTGTTAAATTGAAGGTATCCTGCTGAATCCTAATCTCGTTAAGAGACTAAATAGCTTATTACTTACTGAAAAAGCACCATGAATTCCACGAATTCCAATTGAGTTGATGATCTCTTACACGGATTTCGTTCATCTGAAAAGCATGCATTGCATAACTTTGCCTCATCGGGGTTTACGTTTCTCAGGTGGTCGATTTGAGAATCCTCCACTACGGGAGGATAACCAGCCTGTTGGTGGATCAAACAATGAACAGTAATCGGTATGATATCGAACCTGAATTATTACCTAAGAAACACACAAGTGCTCTTACAGAACAAGAGGAACAAAATGATTAATCGGTCACTTCAGGCTGACGCCTGCCGCAACCAAAACATACAGCCGGAGGATGTGATTGGCTGCTGGCCCAGGTGAGTCGACCTTCAGGTATGGTATTGATGGAGAGATAACATACAGCAGCCTCTCTGATCTCCTCCGACTCCTACTGGTACCTGCATCCTCCGCCTGACAGGCTCCGGCAGGCCCAGACCACAGCTATGGACCCCTGAGCACAAAACCCCTCCACCCGCCCCGTGTGCCCTGCACCACCCCGCATCTACGCTCCCTTTCACCTTTTGCAGCTCACTATGATCCACCGTACTTATCTACACCCATACCTCGATGCTTTCACACATTTTTGATCTCTTCCCTGAAAATCAGGACAGAACAGTTTGTCATTTGTGTCTCTTTTCTGTGTGCACATGTGCCTTCAATCAAACCTCAGTTCATTCTTTATTATTATTTATAAGTCTATTCATACTGCTTTGTCGGTTGGTCGGACACTTCACTAAATGCCAAGAAACGTAGTAAAGAAATGCATATCTGCCAGAGGATGAACCCGACTGATCCTCGGACGTTTCTTCTAGCAGCACTGTGAGGTTTGTGCAATTGAGTGACATGTTTCAACAACTATTGGACGGGTCGCCAAACACACACCCGTCAGAATGATTAGTTTTACCCTCTGACTCCTCTGATTTATCGCTAAAGACCTGGAAAACTAAAGCAGGTTCAGGAGCAGGTCAATCAAGACATCAGCTGTTCAGACCAGCCGGTCTTTTTTTTTTCCAATAAGCACAACAAAACAATTAGATGGTTTGCCTGTTATCTTCTATCTGACCCTTTTACAATGACTTTATCCCTTGTTATTTATCAATAATAAACAATACTCTTTTTTAATCTGACATGTTTCTCCCGATTGAATCGGCCTCAGCTGTGCTGTGTGTTTGGAGGACACTGTGAAGCCAACGTGGGCTTCTCAACATTGTCACTGTGAACATTTCCCAGCAGCACGTTGACTTCAGCGTTGAGCTCAAAGCACAGAGCCGCTAGCGAGGCGGACCCTTTGCCCCGTTAATGATTACATCATGCATTCCAGCTTGTTTGTGTCAAAACTATTTGTTGTCTTGTTTTTCAAATTCTAAATTCTTACATTTGTGAATTTGGAACAAGCACGCTTTGGCAAAAATATACTTAATAATGTTTGTGAAAATAGAATAAAACTATTCGGATCTCGTTGTGACTTTTCTAAACCTGTTTCCCATGTAGTAACAGGAGCCGTATATCTTTTATCAAGGTTGATGTCCTTCAGTGGACGCAGACAGACGAGGCCGGTGGATCCATGTTTCGGTCGTAGATAACACTGTTTGTTTATTTTGTAAAATGAAATAAAAAAGTTCTTTGTATCCACACAAGGCACTAAAAAACATGCGCTTTCCTGTCAGTTTAACAGAAACCAGCACACGTATTATTACTTTGCAGTGCACATATTGGACTGTCTCTGGTCTTTTACCTCCCTCTCTCTCTCTCTCTCACAGACACTCACTGATAACATCTAACAAAACACACTTGCAGGCCAGATAGCGTCCAGTACCTGCTTCAACACAGCTGCTGCTACAAAAGCAGGGAGGACACCGTGGCTGCAGTTATTAGAAAAACACGGCTCTGAACGCCGAGAGAGCAAGGTGGAAAAATACAGGAAGTCCTGATACAAGTGCAAAGACTGAGAGGTGCAGTGGGAGATGAATGAAGTGTAAAGAGGTGTGGAGGGAGGGAGGGAGGCGGCCTGACATGTAAGCTGAAGGTTTAATATACACACATATGAAGTGAAATCACTGCATGAACGATATGAGAACGTGCTGATAAAGAGACCGATTTGTGTCTGTGCAGCATGTCTGTCGCTCCATTTCTATTCGATTGCATATTTTTGGGGGGCTTCTGACGTGCTTGTAGCTTTAAAAAGCAGATTTTGGGTAGCGGCATCTTTTCAGTTTCGGGATGGGTGACTCACTGTGTCCTTTTCTCTCTCTCTCTCTCTCTCTGTCTCCCTAATCTCGCAGCTATATTTAGGACTGGCATGATGCCCTTCCAGACAGAAAGGTTGGCAGCAGCATTTAGCTCCTCTCTCCTCTCCTCTCCTCTCCTCTCCTCTCCTCTCCTCTCCTCTTCACACTCTCTAAAAAGAGTAACAATTGAACGGCTGCGAATATCAGCCATGATGATGAAAAAAATGATCATCAAAGCTTATCAGTTCTTGTCTATATGCAAGTCGTCAACTTATCCCCCATCCTCTGGTCCAAAGTCTGCTCTGTAACGTGACATGATAATTTGGGAACAAATAAGGTGTGAGCGTCATATCATCATCATCATCATCATATAACATGTATGTAATAGATATAAGCCACAGCGCCACAGACACTATCTTAATGTCCCAGATTCTGTATCTCTCACAGATACTCAAATAAAAGTCAAACTTTTGTTTTGTTTGCCATTTAACACCTTTTAAGATAAATGTAACTTGAACTGGTCATGTGTTTTGTATAAGTTATAAATAGTACGAGTAGCTCTAAAATAGATAAAAAGCACAATACAAGGCTCTAAAACGTATAGTGGAGTAGCAGTAAGTTCAAGTGACTCCTAACTGTAAATTACGCACACGTTGGTACCCGAGCAGCTTCTGACTCAGCAGTATAAACAAGGGGAGGCGAAGGAACAATATTAGCTCTCATAACACCACAACACACACGCACACTTTCTCCGTGCCCGACTCGCAGGGTGTCCCTGTAATCAGAAGTGTCTGTTTGCCTTTCATTATCGCCAAAGGAGAGATTAAAACAAAGAGATGGGGGCGATGACGTCAGAGCAGTGGATAAACAGCGACAGGAAGAAAAGAGGTTTATACGAAAAATAAGACATTTCCTTTAATAACATGTAACATCACGGCTGTATCCTGGTATCATTTTCAATATATTTGACATTGTAGTACAGACTTTTATGTGGACATTGAATTAATTGGCATTCATATACTAACACAACATAAGACTGCATTGTTTTCTACAGAGACGTCATATTAGGGCACAAATGGTGTAGCAGCAAAAAAAAAAAGAGTGTTTTCTTTATACGTAGGCTACAGTAGTACAATGTATTGGCAGCGTAGAGATTTATTGCAAGGTATAGCTAACACAAAGTCACAAATACATCTCTAGTATGTACTTAGGCCAAACACAAGGTCAGGCTAGAGACTATGAAACGCTATATAGTTTAGTCAGGGGTCTCTATAGGCCAAGGGAGGCGAGGACAGGGCCACCGTTACAGTACCATGTAGACTGTGCAGATACAAAGCACACTGACATCTAAGTAGGATATTAATACGTCCACGTTGTATATCTCAAAGAGTCGGGACGTTGACAAGATGGCAGGCGACTGCGACGACTGATGCTTTCTTTTTTTGAAGATGGTCTTTTGGGGCCGCAGGGCGGTTTCTGGTACACGGGACGCCTTCGTCTCTCAGTACTGCCGCTTTGCAAAGGGGATTTGCTGTTTCTGCTTTTGTGGTTCTCAACAGGAATTAACCCGACTGGCCGTGAAAACAGAGATCTCAGCGCAACACAACTCTTCAGGGTGGGATGTCTTTTGAGATGTCGCACATGTCTGCAAGAGTGGCGCTTTTCAATCTGACTCCCTTTGCTGTTTCCCCCAGCAGGCTCATGTAGAATGTGCGCTTTACGATCTCAAACAAGTGCAATGTCTACTGAGGTTCAGGGACCCTTCAACAGATCAAGGTTGGAGAGTTAGATCAGACTTGCATCTAGCGGTTTCCAGTCTTTACGCTAAGCTAAGTGATCGCTGGCTCCAGCTCCACATAGTACAGACATGAGTGTGGTCGAACTCTTCTTGTATAACAAAGGGAATGAGCGGATTTCCCGAGATGCAAAACTTCTAGCGTTTGAATCCGAGACTTCGACATCACCAGTAGTTTGAGGCTACAAACGCTTTGGGGCATCTTCTACTGTTCCACATAGTCACACAGTGTCTGGTCTGTACTCAGAGGACCAGTTTCTTTCTCCTCGTATAAAAAATGCTTCTCATTTGATTATTAAGATGCACACAGAAAACTCCTATCGGTTCTTCTAAACCAGTGATTCTCACTACAGATCTGCTGCAGGTCCACGTATCTACATTAGACTGTGCTTATTGCTAAATGCAAATAAAAGCATTATCTTAAAAGAGGTCTGAAATAACAACAAGGCTCTAATACTTGGTCATTAATATGGTTTGATATAGAGGTAGTGATTGAAGCATCGTTTGATTGATGAGGAATAACAAACACTTAACGATGGACGCAAGCGTGGAAAAATAATCTCATCTCAGGAGAGTATAAATACAGAGGTTATCACACCAGCGACGGAAACAGCTCACGGCTGACTCACAAATAATTCAGCCTCTGGACTGTTTTAATCGGCAGGATCGTACGAATCCTGGGAAGAGTGGAGACATTAATTATGGAATTTCAAAGCTACTGTTTGTCATGAAGATTAGATGCGCTGGTAAAAAATGTTTGGCACAGGACAAAGCGTCTGAATGAGTGTTTTCAAAAGATGGTATGAACTCCAGGAGCCGTCATAATGGGTCCCCTGAGCTCCGGCTTCAGCCCGAGCTGCTGCAGACCTCGTCCTTCCTGGAAACATTTAAAGTCAAAGCTCCCACCCATCGGCCCAGCAGCCACAAAACCAACATGGAGTAAAACCGTGAGATTCGGTCAGAATACAAACAGGTTCCGTTCCAAATGAATAATACTCTTTTCTACGGCGGCTCCCACGTGCAACAAAAACAGCCATGTTTTCATTCACTGCACTGGGAACGGATATTCGCTTGGTTTCTATGTGCCGCGGACAACACAACCCCCGCCAATTGTTTGAGTCACGCATTATAATGTATATAGTTTCCCCATTCGTGGTGGCGTGTGAGCCCTGCGTTTAAACTCAATACATTTGGGTATCGGTTGAGATGCTGAGCGTGTACATAGACGGCCACCCAGCGTGACTCTTTATGCAGCCGGATTAAAGATGAACGGACAAAGACTCACATTCTACAATAGAGCATTTTCAATCAACTTGACAGAATTATAATAAAATATAAAACAGAGGCATATAATACAATATTAGATGAAGACTTGGCAGTATATTGCAAACACAAACGACTAACACGTGTATATTTGCACACTTGATGTGGCACAAATAAATGCTTATGGCTACTTGCATTCACATGTGTGTGTGTGTGTAAATATGGATGTAAATATGAATGTATGCGCGCCTGCTATAAGCACAGAGCGAGTCAGGTTGTGTGTGTCGGCCTTTGCAGTGTCGTTTGTGTTTCTAGTATTATAAGCGCAAATGTGTGTGTGTTTGTGTGTGTTTGTGAAGCGGTGGACAGCCGCCAGGCCTCATTATTGTCATTCTGCTCACTGCCTAAAGGAGAGGCAAAGAGAGGCAAAGCGGCTGCTTTCAATCCGGGAGCCGAGGGAAGACGGAGACAAAGGACCCAAATTAAACAAATGGCGGAAAGCGGCTTGGAGAGCCGGCCCCGTGGTCATGCGCTTTGAATGGGAGAGAGACCGGCTGCAGGGATATCCCATCTGGGTCTTTCAGCGGGGGAGACCACACAGATACTCTCCATCCCGGCATTCAGCTCAGCTATAGGTCCACGCACACCGGGGTGCCGGGTCATGTGGACGGCCTGTGTGTCCTCCTCGTATGCGAATGCGGACGAGTGCGTCTGCAAATCTGTTGCTTCCCGAACCCTCCAGACAGAAATCCGCCGTCAACTTTTCGGCCTGGAATCCGCCGCGACAGGACCGCAGGCGTCAGTACGTAGGTTTTTCTCGCGTGCTCGGCGTCATTCGTCCGTTGTCCTCGTGTAGTCGGTCGCGTCTCCGCTGCTCGTATCAGAAGTTCAGACTTGAAGCACAAGGGCTCGAGCGATTGTTGTCCGCCGAGACAGAGTTTGCCATCAAGCTGCCTCTTCACCCCTCCACTCTTGGGACGTGCTGTTGTTGTTTTTTTGACTCTACGTGTCTGTACATGTGGAACGACACACAAGCTGAGCCACGGAAGCAGAGGAGGTGGTAAGATGTTTGGCTGCACATGCATACGTAGGTCTATATTCAGGCTGTAGTGTCGCACTTGTGGCTTAACTTAAGAGTGCTGCTACGCGTGTGTGTGTGTGTGTGTGTGTGTCCTTCAGTCTGAAGGTGACTGAAGCGTCTGTGCGCTCCATGGCACTGACGCTGAGAATGGCCGATGAATCAACAGGGGTGGGTGGCAAGAAGGAGGTGAAGAGAAAGTGAGTAGACGCATCAGGTCCTCAGGGCATCACACCTGGAACAGTCAACATTACAGAGAAGAAGGTTTTAGGTGAAACACTTTTTTTGTCATATTCAAGTAGGGTTGATTGTCCAAACAGCATTTCTTTTATTAATGGAATAGTCCCTCTGGAGGTAAAGTAAGGTTCAGAAGCTGTGGAATTGTCTGACTATGAAATGGAACGTGGGTTGGTTACAGCGGGTGAGCAATAGTCGGATACCCTCAATTGGGAACACACACCTTCTATTTTCAGAAATGACCCACTTTTCAGAGCTGTATTTTCCAAACACTTCACTGAACCGACCTGCAGCGGCGAGGGTTGAGCACCCGGCCTTTCCGTCCGCAGCTCTCGGCTGTGATGGTGCAGCGGCACCGGCACGACGTCGCATCCACAGCCCACTTCCTCCCTCTGCAGCGGGGGCAGCGAGGCCTCTGAGACGGCGACGGGGAGGGAGAGAGGCCGGAGGGCGGGTGCGACGGGGGAGGAGGCGCGGTAGGAGGAGGAGGAGGAGGAGGAGAGGACGGGGGACGAAGAGTTGGGGGCGCGTGGGTCCTGGATGGAGGGGAGAGGGGTTAGTTGCAGAATGTCCTCATACACGCAGGCTGTTCCTTGCACACGGAAAGGTCACGGGATCGAGTCTTAGGGCTTCATCCGCAGGGAACAATGGCTGTCTGTTCACCTCAGGCAATGCACACAAAGGTCGACACACCGACAACACCGACAATCCCCTCCCCCCGTTAAAGGATGCATACGAGCTCCAAAAGATTTTTGCTGCATTGATCAAGCACCACGGCGTTAAAGCGCGGCTCAGAGTGGGATGCGGGCCTGGTTTGAACTCGCAGTGCGTGACTGAAACGCAACCACACAATGCGGTGCGTGTGGGAGATGTGTGACCAATGCGGGATACTGTTTCCTTTGCCACCGACAAACTTTCTGTCGGCCCTCTGGTCGCCATGGCAATAGTCACATTGCCGCCTCCACCACCAGACGCCCTGTACTTTCTCCTGAGAAAGTCGCCTGCGTCAGTTGGTCCATTAACTGGAGCTGGTTCTGCCTCAGTCTTTAATGAAGTTACTTAATGAGGCAGAGAGGGGCGATCTTTGTCCGGGGACCCCGAAGGACCCCCGCTGGCGGCTGCCATGAAAGGAGAAGTTGGTATTGGGGGGCCAAATTCCACAGGATTTCACCCCCGGCAGGAGTCTGAATAAACCCTGTGTGAAGTACCAGAGGGGTGCGGAGGGACATCACACCCACATTGAGTCACTTCGGGGCCCCCCGGGGACGGGAAACGACTGCCAGCAAAGCGAGGAGGAAGCGGATGGGAGAAGAGAGCCGACTTTTTCATTCCTTCGCTCTTCGTGACGAACTCACAGGAATCACAAACGGAAGCAGACCCTGGTAGTTTAAACTCACTTTTTTATCGAAGAATGTGAAAATGACGACGAATGATGTTGTTCTTCAATGATTCCAACTGTTGGTTTGTGTGTCGTGGGTTTTATAACATGCAACACAACTAATCACAGAAACAAATAGCAGCTGGATACTAGAGGCGTTTGTCCCGGGGCTGTGTGTGTGTGTGTGTGTGTGTGTGTGTGTGTGTGTGTGTGTGTGTGTGTGCATGAGGATGACCTACGCAGCTCTGATGGCTCCACTTGTCTTCTGTCTGGACTTTCCTCTCTCCCTTTTCTTGCCCGTTCTCGTTGGCTTCACAGCGGGCCTGAGAATATCCGACAAAAATATATATATATTTCACACATTAAATGGGTCAGCAGTTTTATTTTTGACACCTGTTCAAATCCAAAAACGTATTTAGTGTACAAGCCGCAACAATGGAACTAAAATCAGTGAATATATTGAAAGTATCCTTAGATGAAGCCACGGTGTTGTCCTAGTCGAATATTTGATACGGTTGTTATTTCTTTACCTATTCTCTGATCAGACAGTTTATGACTTTCCCATCAGGAAAAGATCAGATTTCCTCATTTAGCGAGTTTTTATTCGTTTTTTTCTGACAATAAAACGTTTTTTGTTGAAACACATGATTATATTTCTTAAGGGAAGGAATCAAAGTGTTAGTGTTAGTGTTGGTACCAAACATCACGTTTCGTATCTGCACTGAGAAATGGAAGAGATGTCAAACAACGACCAGTCCCCATATATTTCATTTTCAAATGTTGTTTTCATAAAGTGCGCAGCTTTCAAGCAATGATCTAATCCAAACATATAGGCCTTCAAAAACACGATTAATCGACTTTTTCAAAACAGGAAGCTCAAAGTGACGTTCAAGTAAACTTCACATACTGCATGTTTCAGTGTGTATAATATCTGACATAATAAGATCTGTTGATCTGATTATTCTTTAAATACTCCTGAAGTATGCGTTGACATTTGTCTGGTCTGGACCTCTGCATTCCATCTAATTTGTCATATTACACCACAAGTCTGGGAGGCAAATAATGCATGTTCACTCCTACACATTTATTCAGCAACTTTAGTTAAAAGTAATTTTGCAAACTCGTTACAAGCAGATCAAATGTAAAATATCTGAAGGAGACACTTGTCCTGCAAACATTACAGTTACCACTGTTGCTTTTTTACGAGGCAGAGTCCACATTGCCAGATGTTTGCCAACCGCTGTGTTCCTTATCATTTCAAGTGCTTAGTCTTCATTGGGTGCAATCTGATTTACTTTAATGTATGCTGGTGCCCTCCACAACAAAGTGCATCTGCTCAGTGCTTTGATTTTAGTCTTTCCTGATTTCCTGATTCCTTCCTCTAATCTCATCAGCTATAAACCATGTTAACCGTCTATTAAATTATTAGGACGGTTTTTGGAGGCTTAGCTCTGTCAATATTAACTGAGTGGGCTGCTGCTGCTGTTGTCTTTGGAGCTGTAATTTACTATGGTGGATGCGTGACTCTGCTCCGTCGGTCTGTGAGAGCACATGGCACGGGAGATAAAATCATCGCTATGGTGACAACAGGATGCGGGCCGTCCCAGGGGATGCAGGGGGAGTCGCAGATGCTAATGATGGGCGCGCACACACACACACACTTAAACACACGGCAACACATATGCCCACACACATGAAAACCTCCATACACACAAATGTATACTAACACAAGTACACTTGTGCAATGCATCCAGAAATGTAACACAACAAGAGTCACACACACACACACAAACAGGGGGAAAGTAGAACAGTATACACACAAACACACATACATTGGAATCCTTTATTTATGTCCACATCCTAACAGGAAGTAGAAGACATAAACATTATAGATGCAATTATACGATTGTGTGTTTGGACCTGCCAGCGTGAGGTGCACAAACAAACATCAGGAATCCTACTGAAATGTTCCTTTCACAGTGAGCCGCTGTCTGTCCCGCTGAACCTCAACACGGACAACTTGCCCTATGATACACTTTGTCAGGTGACCATCGGGGTGTTACTTGTGTCTTTATTGATGCTGTGTTTAAGGTGCATTTTCCTCCACCGGAGTGAAACGCATCAACGGCCTGAATTGTAATCACTGCCCAAACAGGTGATTCTTCACCACGTTTATCCTCCACTACTTGTGGAGGTTTCAGCCACTGAATATCGTCCCCCCCTAATCATCAAATCAACAGCAGAATCCTAAAAGCATCATTAGTGAACATGGCTTCGCAATAGAGATGATGGAACATGACATTTCACAACAACAGCTCACTCACACACAATTTAAGAGAAGGAGAAATTATGGAAAGAAGCAAAGAGCGGGAACGGGGAATAATAACCTACTTTACATAAATACGAAGGATTTTTTGAAGAACAACACAATTCATAAACCACGTAATGAAAAAAGCGTTACCTTGTTGTCGAGGTCGGCTGGATTTGTTCTCTTAATCTGCTCACAGATAAAAACAGACGTGTCAGGATAAAGGTGACGTGAGGTCAATCAACAACAGGTACTCCCCGTATCTCTGAACACAGACTGTGTGTTTTATTACCTGCACTCACACTGGCTGTGCTCGACGACGGGCAGCTCAATGAGCTCATGTTGCATGAAGGAGGTTCTCATCAGCTGCACACACATCAGAAAAATATTCTGTTTTGGAACATTTACCATCTTCACTAAAGAGAGAATTTAGTGTGTGTGTCTGCGTGTTTACCTCCATGGTGAGTGTGTGCGTGAGCGAAGGAACACACTCCAGGGCCTCATCAGCGCAGCAGCCGCCACATCGCCTCACCGAGACGCAGGACGGGATGAAGAGATGGTGCGTCTCCCCCGGCAACTCCCGCCAGATCTCCACCAGAGTGTCCCGAGGCTCGCAGCCGCTGCGCGAATAAACCTCCAGCCACCGCCGCACTGGTGGAGGGGAACCGACACAGTCCTCATTTTATATCTTTCACCTCAGGCTTCATTAAGCGGTGAAGTGGGGGGGAAGGACAGGCGCTTACCTTCCCGGCCTTCTCTGGATTTTGGAGAGTCTGCCGGGCGCCAGTGGGCGAGCTGCAAGGGAGAAATGAAAGGCAATGAGCGCATGTGAGAAGCACCGTTTCAGAAGTTCAGTGTTTCCGGGTCAAGTTGACCTGCTGGCCGGCGTTCAGCTTTGCACTTTGGAGTCAGTTTTTGAAATCCACTGCAGCATAAACCGAGATGTAACAGTAGCCGGTGAGAAGATGGGTCCATTCGTGCTTTTTAAGACTATTGGCAGTTTGCATAACAGATGAAAGTATTTCATATCAATGACCACCGCAAAATGTTCCCACCCGGCATCTGAAATCAACCGTCTTCATGAATGCATGGAGGTAGATGGAGAGGAAGAAGCTGATACACACGCAGCAGCATCGACATCAAACCAACCCTTGTTTTCAGCAACGCGGCTGTACTGAGGGGACAACACGAGGTCGGGAGCTGCTGGTCTTTTGAACTGGTCGTACCTGCTACCTTTGCCCTGAAGTCTGTCACCTGACTGGTGTTTAAATCACATTCAGTAGCCACGCAGCGGAAGATAATGAGCGTGTCTGCCACTTCTCTACAATAAACTGTCACAATCTGAGTGGCCTTGAGTCGACGGGCAAGACACCCAATACTACTCCCCCCTGAAGTGGGTATTAGTGATTTGATCTGAAATGAACCCACTCTTTACTGCTGTTATACTTCTCCATTTGCACTTAAGCCTATAGTCACTCATTAATCTGCAGATTAACATCTTGCATGAAAGAAAATAGGATAATTTGGTGAAAACAAGGTAATTAAATATTAAACTTGGGGGTCCCAACTTGTTTGTCTTATGATCCTTTAAAATAGTGTTTGGGGGGTCGTTTCATTCATCAACCCTCTTTTGGTTTATCATGTGACCCTTTGGAGCAGCCCAACAGTTAAATCAATTATTTTCTTACTTTTACTTTAGTGGGACTGACCCTGATTTTTATAGCTCTAAAAAACACACACTGCCGTTATTGGACTTGTGTGCGTGTCTGAAGACCAAGGCCACTTCTAAGTGAATGTAGACTTTGTCCAGTTGCCCCCACCTTAAATGCTCCACCCCTTTGCACCCACCCACCCACCCACGTACACACAGACACGCACTCGCACGCCGGTTTTGGCCCACATTGATTGTGAGTTAAGCTGGTGCTGAGGCCATTTTGTGACTGGTAGCATGTGAGCTTAAGTGTGTCTTTTCTGTATCAGCCTTTAAGACGCGGATAAGATTACCTCGCTTTGGCAGCCACACATTCACACATACAAAACCACACAGCACACTGCACAGATGGGCCAAGAGAGAGTGTGTGTGTGTGTGTGTGTGTGTGTGTCCCACCGCCATACACTCCCTCCTCCACACTGAGCCTCATCTCTATTGGAGAAATAACAATGACCCCTTTTCCCACAAAACGTGTCAGTAAAGCAGACAGCGTGAAAGCAGAGCGCCTCGGGCGAGAGACCCGGCGGCTGTGCGCAGGTGAACAGTCACACACTGCTGCGTGTCATGTATTGTCTAGGATGATGCATTAATAAAACAAAGGCTTCAGCAGCACAAACTCAGGGCTGGATCTCACACGGCTGCAAAGCACGGCCTGTTCCCGATACAAGCCTGCAGACATAAATAAAGAATCGGCGGGTCTCTCCATGTATGTGGGCCTGCCGCTGCGCGTGGAGAATGTCTGTATGAATATTATCTTATCAGTGATAACTAAACAGCATAATATACAACATTTTTCTTTGAATGACACAAATCAGAACTTACTTTAAAAAGTCTATGTACGAATTTTGGTACCACTGATTAATGATGCGTGGTAAACTAAAATAATTAGTCCATTAATAAGTCAATTTGCAGAATAGAAACGTCACAAATAACTTATCATGAAAATAATGATTGTTGGCAGCCCAAAATGGGAATATAAATGTTTATCAACGAATTTACTAATGCTCAAGATCATTTATAAACCATTATGCACGATTTTGGGGTTGCTATGTCATTCTTAGCTATGTTAGCGCTGAATATCGTAAAGACAACAGTGCACAGAGTTAAATGATGAGATCTATATCATAGATACGATCAACACCGCTGTCAATGTGAAGCCACAGCAGCAAGTTAGCTTAGTTTAAAGACCGGAGACGACTGCGGGGCTCTGCCTACTAGCACCTCTAAGACTCACCAAATGACGTATTGTACGTTATTGTTAAACTGTTAAAACTACATATCTGCTTCAGAGGTCTTACACGTGTCACTTTGTGTTAATGTACTAGGCTATTCCTTGGCCGACTAGTTGCTAGGCAACCAGAGGAGACTCTCGGAAGAAACAGGCACAAATAAACTGCCTCATGCACTTATTGTTTGAACAGAATGATAAAATATGTTGTTATATTTGTGAGCCTTTTTAGTCTTTATTATGAAATAAGAGTGTTATTTTGTCATCAAACACCCGATAAAATTGCACCAATAAGCACATTTCCCTAAACTATTCCTTAAAGGTATAGCCTATTAAATAATCCATCTATTAACAACGTTGTGACGAATGCATTTCCTTTTTAAACAATTCAGCTAGCTAAAAAGAAATGAATGTCAAGCTAGAGGAGGATTTTCAACAACCTGGCAACCTGGAAGTTATTCTTTTGAATGGCTGATACTGATCTACAAAGCTTTGGTAAATTATTTGTTATTTATAAACTCGATGTGTCGGGTGACTCAACAGAAAAAAATGTCTGGCACTAAATTGTTATGTAGAGGAGACAATAAATACCACAATGTGAAATAGATCATTCACTGGGCCGTATAGGTGACAGAGGTCATTGACCCAGGGGGGGATACACTACCACAGAGCTAGATGTCCCACATGTCCTCAACCTGACTACATTCTGAGAGATGTTACCTCATGTCCATCGAGCTGGAGAAACACGTGACAGCTAGTGGCAGAATGACCACCTGCGACATTTACAGTCTTTAGGGTCAAATCCCGATACATACCTTTGCATGGGACGTCGGTATTCTGGTTAGCAGCAGGAATTGAAACATTCCTAGAATAACTTGAAGCATAATCCCCATTGTGCAGGAGTCAAAGGGCAGCACAGAAAATATATGGCCTATATATAAAAAAATAAAGAGGTGGTTTTCCGTCCGTTTTCTTCCTTCGCTTCTGTGTCCGACTAAAGGCGCAGAAATCCGGCGTTCATTTCATTCCCCGGGCTCCCTTCCTTGAAAGGACCCCCAGGGTGGCATCCTCGGTCTGGGAAGAATAACTTTATCTTGTTGCATCGGAGATGAAATGGTCGTGAAAGCGAGCAGGAGTCCGTTCCAAACCTTCTCTCCGATAACAGTTTGTATTTTCAATTGCTCGGTGACCAAATAAACCTCATTCCACTGATACAAGTGATAATTGCATATGTATCTCCATCTAATCGTTGCACCACAGCCTTACATTCCAGATTGTTTTTTGTTTTTTTTCTTCAGACAAATCAGACTTGTTTAAACTTTGAACGCCTTCCTATATGTAATCTAGCTCTGTCCGCTGGTCCCGTTGATCCCGCACGGGGGTCCGAGGTGACGCGACGTCACGGGAGCGTCCAGCATCCACGTTCCCGCTGGGGACGCGCTGCGACCGCAAAACCTTCTGCGCGGCTGGAAGAAATCACGTCATTCAGCTCGGACATCCATCCCGCGGAGACCCGACGTGCAGAGCTGGACGGTGGCGCATATGCCCCCCCCCCACCCCCCTCCACACACACACACACACACACACACACACACACACACACACACACACACACACACACACACACCCAACCCCCCCAACCTCCCCTCCTCCGGCTCGGTCAGTCCCTCCACATTGTCGCTCCCACGGAAAATAGGATCCTTCCCGTTTTTTGTGTTTTTCTTTTTTTCTTCCCCTCCCTATCCTCTTATAAATATAAATATGACCGGAATAACATCCTCCGCTGACACGGCAGCCGCTACAGCGGGGAGGGAGCAGCGGGGTGGTCCGAGGAGACGTCTGGAGTGCTCGCTCTCTTCATTACTTGTTGTGATCGGCTTCCTCGTTTCCTTTGCCCTTGAGACGCACGCAGCGGAACCATTGCGCTGCCAACTTTTTGTCCAAACGGGACGGGCGGACTGAATACAGGTGCAGCGTCTCTGCTGCTCCTCAAGTAAGGGCGGGGGGGTCGGGGCATGAGGAGGGGCGGGGGAGAATGGGGGGGGGGGGTCATGGGGGGGGCGGCACTCAGGGGCCCCGGTGCAAATGGGGATTAGGGCCGTAGCTGCTGCTGAGGGCAATGAGGTCACGTCCTCGGTTTTGTTTCTGCACGTTTTTTTTGTTTTGTTCTCCTAATGAATGTTTAGTCATCAGTGAGTCCATTCGCAGAAGATGGATCGCAGCTTTTATAATTGATTCATTGTTTGAGTCATCTACTGAGAAGAAAAAGTGCACCAAATAAACTCTATTGTCATCTGATGGTTTTGGACAAAATAAACAATACAACCTTGTTTTCTGGCATTTTATTGACCAAAATTATTAGTTGGGAATTACCAGTTGCAGTTCGGTGGCAAAAAAATCTTAGTATTTATACAATAAAGAGTATGTTTAATATTGAGCTGTTACGCGTATTTCTAACATCTACAGACCCTGGATAGGAAATATTGCATGTGCATTATATTTTGATCCAGTAAAATTGTGGGGGAAAAAATGAAGATTAGGTTCCACTTATTTGATTCAAACTCATTGGAAATGTTTGTTTTTGAACAGTTATATCTAAAAAGGCGGTATGGTGTAAAAGTCTGAGGGTCGATTTCCCATCAATGATTTATTTTCCACTCCTTATCAGTCTACCGCTTTTCCGAATGATAAATAAGAGCGCACCAATGTCAGACAGAGTATTATTCTAAAGCCCAATCCAAGAAACTACCCTTTGCAGCTCATTAGACTGAAGATAAAAGACAATTAAAGCCGTGTTCACAGACGTTGTTGTGTGTGTAGACATGCACAGTCATAACAGTGTGTTTAGGTTACGACGGCACTCACACGAGAGGGTGAGGGCGTCTGTAAGTTCTGCAGGGATATGCTGTTATCTCAGGACACACACACAAAAAAAAAAAACAATGACAGGGAAAAAGGCAACTTCTCTTCTTAAAACACGCTTCATGTGATGGTGCTGAACGGGAGCTCCAGACATTCACTTGCGCATTGGATTCTTTAAAAAAACAACAACTAGAAACTGAGCCTTTTCCCGTGATGTCAGCAGCAAACAAATGTTGTGCTCCCAGGATGTTCTTATGAATCGTTTCGTTATCAAAATGAAATGGAGCTTTCATGTGAATGTAAATATGCAAATAAACACGCTCTGTTGGTAAAGTCCGTTTTCCAGTGAATCACATGTGCAGCTCCAAAATGGATGTTCAGATTCTCTTTAAAAGAGCTTAACGAAAAAAACCTGAATTCTGACGTAGAGGACATCAATGATTATCTATATTATACTTTAGCGCGACTGGATGTCTGAACCTCTTTAACTCTCCAGAGGAAATCATTTTCACTGTAAGATATCACTGTCATGGTTACTTTACTCTTAATGTCCCTTTTCCAACAATAATTTGACATTTATGGATATGAAAACAGAAAAATAAAAATATGCAGTGTCTGCATTCTGTATTAGAAAGCCACAGAGCCAATCAGAACGAGAGACAAAACAAAGACAAGTTAGGATCGGTGAGTTAAAGTTTCTTTTAATCATTTCCCTCTGACATCTCTTAAGGCGACAATCTATAATATTGAAAAACTGAGTGGATCAGCAGATAAGTGCCGAGATAATCAGTATATAAACATTTTCATAGTCCCCTTGTTAAAATAATAGTTTGACTATTTAAATACTCAGCGGCACTCTTTTAAAGTCTTACGATGACTGTTGCTGGAAAGGAAGTCCTTCTCTGTGCTGCATCCCTACAGTAACAGAGGGAACAATGAGCAGTTTCATGCCGATGTCCCGGGAAAAGAAAAATGGAAAACGTAGCGCGTTTGAACCAATTTGTGGAAACGTCCTCTCGTGTGCAAATGAATAAGTGATTTAAATCACTACAAAAAGTCTTGTTCAGCATCAAACACATCGGCATCGCGGCTGCCGCGTTTAGTCTCCACCAGATCATCAACCCATCCGCCGTTAATTGGCCAAAATCTTCGAGCACAGCAACGAGGCGAAGGAAACAGAGGTCGATCACCTGCCAGATCACTACGGGCAGTTTACACGCGTGTTTGTTGTGGCTCCTTTGCACACATGCTGGAAACGTTTGTGTAGCTGGATCACTTTGACCCTCACAATCACTGCAGACATCCTGCAGTAAAGCAAATTGACCGGTCTAATGAAGAAACCCCTGTATGACCAGATGACCCCCCCCCCCACACACACACACACCCCACCCTGCCGCGTGCTCTGTGTGTCCGCAAAGTCCTCATCCTCACAACGGAGGACACACACACACACACACACACACACACCAGCATGTTCAATAAATACAGGTTTAAAAGAAACTAGAAACAAGAACGCAGTCCGGCACCGTGCACCTGCTGGCAGTTCACCACTCGAACCGCTTGGCTCTCCTACTTGTCGTCTCCATCGTTGCGCATGTTGTACTTCTCCAGAAACTCTGCGTGTTTCTGCCGCAGGATCTCAGTCTGCTTCTTAAAACCGTTGGCCCTGAGACACAGAAGACCCATTTAGCTCCGAGCTCCACAGTCAGGCATCACCAAAACCCCAACAAATGCACCGCCACCACCCACGTGTGCGAAAAACACAGATTTGCAGTGAAAGAGCGAGTACACTCACTTGGCCCGCTCTTTGGATTCATTGTAGATTTCGGTGATGACGCGGTCTTTCTCGTCCATGAAGTTATTGTGAACTTCCTCCAGAGTCCTGAGACGGCCGGAAGGGAAAAACACCCGAGTTAAACACGTCGCTCGCGGAATAACTCTGCTTGACCCCGAGAACTCGTCGCACAGAAGACGCCGTGCACGCTCAGCTGTCTTTACGAGCTTGTACAGCTGTTAGAACAGCGCTGCGGATCACAAAGAAGCGACTCTGCACAAACAGAAGTGGCACAGAGTCGGCGTGAAAACCAATAGAGGGACACATGCTGTGAGGTTGTGCCAGCACACATGGCACAGAGACGCGTCCACAAACAATCCCATTCATCTGGACGTCAACGTGCAGCAAAGAAAACAAGGCGAGGAATGTGGGAAATTGGGGACAAGGTGACAGAATTTAGATATTGTGTCGTCTCTATAAAAGGTCCCTTGTTTCCCTTTAAAAAAAAAAAGGTTTCGTACCTGAAGAAGACTACGTGGGCCCCGATGCTGAGCACCATGGTGACGAAGCAGTAGCCCACCAGGCGGAAGTTTCTCCTCCTCCTCCTCTGCGACTCCTCTGCCGTCACCTCCTGTGCTTGAGAGTGACGAAACTGCTCCCAGTAACGAAAGTTCTCCTGGGGATCCGTGCTGATGGTGGAGTAGAGAAGAATAAAGGGTGGTGGACCGGAGGTGGGACGGACAGTGAACGTGTTGAAGACCGTCTTTAACTCAAAGGTTGAGGGATTGTTAAGTAGCAAATTTGGACGAAGTTGTGATGGACCAGAAACCGTTTATATTTCTGACTCTTTAACTTCCAGTTAAATCTCAGTGACTGTTTTTTTCTTCAAAAACGAAATACTGTCTTACAGAATCAAGTAGATTTGAACAATAAAAATGAATTTAAAAAAAAACATTAGCTGAATATTTGCTTGCAGAAAATATCTCAAAAGCAGTTTTTAAACTCAAAAATAACCTGAAACGTCAAACCGCTTAGCATCTCCCTCAAGGATTATTCAGAAATAGAAATAGGACATTCAGCTCCATAATTACAATGGTGCTTTTTCTTCATTGCTACCGTACAGCGATAGATTATCGTTCTGCAGCGCTTCACATATATTTAAAATTAGCATGTCCAATGACAGTGTTACAATATATATACTTGTCTAATTGTCTTTTTCCTTTTTGCATGAACATGTTAGAGAGCGAGGAAGAAGGTCATCTTCACCTGGCTCTGTAGCTGGTGTGACTGGAGGTCGATCCGAAGGCTTGGCCTCCGCTGTATGGACGTCTGATTTTGAAGTCATACTCCTTCCTGCTCGGATCTTTGCTCAGCACTCGATAGGCCTCGTTCAGCTGCACAAACAGGCTGTGCAGCTCTGGGTTGGATGGGTCACTATCTGGGTGCAGCTGCATGATGAATGGGTCAGTTAACAGTCATGAAGGCTAAACCAAATTAAAATAATTAATCAATAGATATATTCTGGTGATTGGGACATGTACACTATGGTATGGTTGCATATTTAACCATTTTCTTAAGGGAGAGTCGTCTCACCCCTCAATCACCCCACAACCACAAGGTAAATACACATGCACATCCGTATTTACACTGGGAGCCACAACATAAAAACAAACAGTCAGGAAGCCCACTGTGGGAACGGGCAAAAAGTGGAAATTAAGCTGTTAAAGGCTGCCCTCGTGTGGCGGAAATCAATCTTTTTTTTAACTAAATAGGAACTTACCTTTTTAGATTTGTTAAAAAATGCATTTTTAATTTCCTCCAAGGAGGCATTGGATTTGACTCCCAGTAGATCGTAGTAGTTCACAGCTTTTCTGTGGTTGACAAAGCAAAGAACTCAAAACCAAACAATCTGCAAAGCACAAAACCCAAAGACAATCTTCAAGATGTTTTCAGTAATTCGGAATCAATGCAACACATTTATACATAAAGTCCACCTGTGTGCGTAGCTCTGGGAGAGGAGACGCAGCCCGCTTTTGCAGCACCAAAGACAACTCTGACAAAGACGCAGCTGAGCCTCCAACTGCATGATGGGAACTTTCTGACGATTCCACTAAGAGGACCAGTGCAAACAGGACGGATGTTAACATTCATTATACAAAGAAGCAGGAAGAGATTTTAAACGATTCAACTAATTAATAAATTGACAGACAAAGGCCTCGAGATATACTAAAGGTATAGAGGTTTCACTTTGAATATATTCTTGTTCATAGTGTGTTATTTACTAATCCAAAGTTTACAGTTACTCCAAAGGCTGATCATTTTTGATATTTCCTAAACTTTAATTTCACCAAAGTGTTAAGAGATTCCACGTGGATTACAAGCATTTTAAAATATATTTATTATTTAAAATGTAATTGAAAGCTTATGTCTATCAAGCCTGGGAACATTCCCTTTACCTTTCAGTGCGTTTCCATTGACAACGATGAAGTCAGCAACATCTGTAGGCACGTGACCTGCCAAAAGCTAACCAGATAAGGTGAGTAGATATACTAATAACAATCAAACAATACTAGCAGCTGGTCAAATGCCATTTTCATTTTTTAAACGATCTGCTAAAACGTATTCAAAACTATGTTACTTTGTGACATTGTGCAACTTTGAATTGGGACCGTGTGGACCCCCCCAAAAAAATCTAAGACAACGTTAACACCAATTCGATACACCACCAACTATTGATTCTGGCGGTTTAAACACGACTCATTAAATGAAATAAGTTGCCAAATAGAGAGCATAAACTGCAACCAGGTTTCCAGTTGGGACACTTTGTTCGGCTAACGCTAGTCGAGGTTAGCTGTTTGCTAGCCTTATTTACGCAACTGTTGAGCTTGCTAATACTTATTTTATTTAGCTGGTAGTTTTGTGTACAAAGCGAAGAACACTTTGACCAGTGCTATAAGGAAGGAACTTAACAAAGAAGAGTGACATACCAGCGGGTTTCAGTTTGGAAACGGAAGGTATCCTGTGGGCCAGTTGCATAAACTCGGCAGTTTCAAGCTAGCCACAATAACAGCAGAATACAAGCAATTTCAAAATAAAGCACATCTTTCCACCACTACCGGGTGGTTAACGACTGAGCATATAGGTCGTACACATCGTACTGTTTGTTGTAATATAACATTCAACACACCAGAAAAATCCAATTGTATTTTATTATTGTGCTGTAATGCATAGGAGGTACAGTCTATATGTGCATGGGAATCTTATTTTGATCATAGCCGGAAGTTGTTGTTGGTTCCGGTTAGTGTAACAAAACAACAAACACGCCCATGCACGCGTCTCAGCGGATTTAACCCTGTTGTCGCTGCATTCACCTCCAGCGGTTAGAATGCATTTTACATTTATTCTACCGCTGTATTTTCAATATGAGAAATCACATGCGTGGCTTTGTAAAAATACGAGCAATCATTTATTTTCTATACAGATGTTGGTGCTAACGTTACATTTGTGACGCCGTGGGGGCGCGCATGTGTGTAGTTTGGAGTCTTGGTCACTTGATGGTGATGATGAACACATTTTACCATTTGTACAAAAAAAGAGCAAGAAACTACACTCATCTTCGTATTGCATACGCTTCCACGTAGGAAGGTAAGATACAAAACAACAACATTCGCGCCAGAATTGAACACATTACAATAGAAACGCGTGCTTTTCAGTGACGTCAGAGTAAGATACGAACGGGAGCGTCGTGTAAACGCTGCATGATACACTTTGTACTTCTGATTCTTGTATCTGAGCACAAGTGCTACAGGAACTGAAAGGAGTTCACCTCTAAAGTTATCAATGAACAGATTGCACATTAACTCCCGTAAAAACGGAAATAATCAGCAAAGTAGCACCCGGCTGAAACTGTCCACGAACCTGGAAACTGAACTAACATTTACGATGTTGTCGCATTTTGCTTCTTTTGAAAGCACCTTTGAGAAAGCTGAGGAGTCAACACGTGTCTTTAAAAGCTAAGACAAACAGTAAAGCGCACACTGCTGCCAGAGTCACTGCAGATGTTTAGATCGATACATTTAAATCAGTACACAATGCAATTTGACACTAAGCATGTCAGGGGTCTCGGTAAAACAATATAAATTAATTGGTAGAAGTGTTTTGACAATATATATATATATATGTGTGTCATTGCCACATAAAGGTTTAAAGTTTCACAAACAAAAACAATGGTTTGTTACTGGCTGGCTTGTTATAAATGAATCACAACAAGGACTTATGCTGCCCAGCTTCACTCCCTGCATGAGTGTTCTTGTGGTGACCGTCTCTGAGGGAAAGCTACGGCCTAAGGTCTACTTCCTGACACCCACAAGTCAGGTCTTTACAAGTCAACAGGCTTTTCTTTCTTTCCCGTGTGAAATGTTATCAGTTAAAAACACGCCCAGAGCTGCAGCCAAGCGAGTGGCGGCGATCGAGAGCCTTGAATGAAAACCCTGGGAGAGCGATGACGGACTCTGAGGTGTCCGTGCTGCTGCACTGTGCCGCCTGGAGCGGCCTGCTGGAGTCTCAAGTACAAGCGGAGCTCTCCGACAGGTAGAACCAGGCCTCTGGGATCTGCTACAATCAAATAATTACAGAATTCGAAGTCCTTTTTACATAAAAGACATAGTGGCTCAAACATGTGACAGGTATTAAGATTTGGGAGTCATGTTTAAACTTTTCCATTGTCAGCCCCACGGACAAAGCGGGCCTGTAATGAAAGCTACTTTTTATGCCAATGATATATAAAACATAATGCAAGTGCCTTTTATCAAAGAGCAACAAGACTCTTTTATTTTGAACAATATTCCGACATTGAAATCTGACAAAGTAAATCCAACAACACTCCTCTCTCATTTGGTTTAAAAAAAACACCAAAGCTGTGGTCGATGAGTCTTATCGTTTGTCAAACCCGATGGTAGGAATGTTTTTTGAAATGGGATTTCTCGACGTTGTTACTAAGCCTAAACTTGCTTCCCAGATTCAACAGGCAGACCGATCCCACCGTGGAGCATCAAATAGAGGAGGTGTGGACGGAACGGGTGTCCAAGGAGCCGTGGCTTTTCAACGGCTCCAAATTCAGGCTGCACTCTTTCCGCTTGGCCTCGTCATCCTCCGCTTCTCCCAAACACCCAGCCGGCACTCACCGGCCCCACGCGGCCGTCTTGGGACGGGAATTAGATCACTGCAGACGAAGCGAGGAGGACGACGACCTGTGCATCAACGACTCGCCAGGCGACGCCATCCAGAGCGGCTCGGCCGAACGAAACGGACCCGTGAGCTCCCAAGAGTCGGATGATCAGAAGGCGGCGCCGCTCCTCACGCTGAGACTGGGCCTCACCTGCTACAAAGATTACCTGGGAACGAACTGGTCGCGTCGAGCGGCCGAGCTGCGTCGGCGTGGGGAAGTGGAGTTCGGGGACCCGCGGGCGCTGCTGGCTCAGCCTCTGGGCGTGGGCGGCGTCCTGTGCACGGACGACGGCCAGGTGGTGTTGATCAGGAGGAGCCAGAGGGTGGCGGAAGCGGGGGGGCTCCTGGACATCCCCGGAGGGCACCCGGAGCCAAAGGTGGGATTGATAAGGAACAAAGTGTTGTTTTTATTACGCGTTATTCACACTGTGGTTGCACCTCCTCAGGCGGTGTGCGAGCGTCTGGGCCGGCGCGTGCGCGAGGAGCAGATCGGCGTGCACATGATGCAGCCGAGGCCCGTCGTCTCGGAGCTGTTCTCCTCCGTGTGCGCAGAGATCAGAGACGAGGTGGGGAGAAAGTAGAGTCCATTCTCAGCACGTAAAGGTCAGGACGTTGATGTTTAAAACGTGCAGTGAGGAGGATCTGGTGGCTTCCAGCAGAGGTCCTGATCTTAGCCCGCTCCTTTATGTACATGTTGAGGAAGTATTTGATTTGTGCCACTAAATACTACATCATTACATTGTGATTGTGCTGCATTTCCACAAATTCGCACAAAATAAGTGCAGTTTTAGATCGCTTCTTTATTCCAGATGATTTCTTGGTAAATAGATGAATTTTTAATCTGATTATAAAAAATGGAAAATAACTTTATAGTCTCTTAAAACCAGTCCCCAAAAAACAATCCAAAGAAAGTCTGCAGGTGAAGGACAAACTCAAGTGACGTCTGACATTTTCAATGAAGATGAACAGTTGAAAAGTTAAAAGGAAATTATATATCCCAGCGAGCATGTTAGCACAACTTAGCAAGGACAGAGAAAAATCTTACAGATACACCCTCTGCAGGTGAATGTTCCTCTGAGCTGCCTGGGGGCGCCGGTCCTGATGGGCGTCGCTCTGAATCACACCAGCGCCGGCAGACCAAGTGCTGAGTTTTACGTCAGGTTATTTCATCCCTAACCTTTGACATCTTATGATGGAACCTTGACCTAATAAACATTTATGGGTGAATAAAGCACTGTGTGTAATTGGTACGCCCTCAGCTGCTCGTTGACGTCTGACGAAGTCAGAAGATTGTACCGGAAAGGTGGAGCGGAGGCCAGCGAGTCTACAGACATTATCTTTCTTTGCAAAACGGTGCGTAACAGTGACAGATATTTGAATTTCTGATTAGAAACTCAAGAATGACTTTCATTGTTTTGGTAATTCCATCAGAAGCAGAGTACCAGTATCAAAAGATGAACCGAACGTCGTCGTTCTTGAATTTTGCAGGAGGTGTTGCAGCTGGACAGACGCAGCCCGCTGTGGTCGGAGCTTTGTCCTTCAGCTAAAGGAGCTGTGCTGCTTTATCAGACGGTGAAGCCAGAAGACAGAGAGACGGCCGCATCAGTAAATACACCCCGATGATCAAATGTACACGACGACCTGAGGAATGTATTACACTTTACTGGTGTTCACAAAGTACTGTGTACTTTTCTCGCCATTTGTAACAGCAGTAAAAGTAAAAACATGATTATTTTGAATAAAACCCCTTGATTGTGAGCTGGTTGCCACTGATCATCTTCGATTGTTCGTATGCTGCGGTCTGTTGTTCTTTTTAATGTTTCCGGCGGATGCAATTACAAAGTGACATCAGTAGAATGCAGTGTTTCCTACCATTATGTCCATATCCATGGATCCGTTACCATTACGCACCCCCGGTGTTGTAAACCTCGGGGAAACACTGAAGTGATTGTTCCTGCAAACACTGTTGAGCAGCGGCGTCCGTTCCTTCACCAGTAACCTTCGTTTCTGTAGTAGCATCCCTGCTCCTGGTGAGGATTACTCCACTGAAACACAAATCACATTAAAAGACAAAAGTCGCTTTGATTAAAAAAGGTAAAGTGGATGTTGCTGACTTAATTCAAATATTTCAGCGGTTTGAGGAGCAGCTCAATGTTTAATCCGACTGGAAACACTCACATATCTTGGCTGCTGCATGTTGGATCTGGTGTCGTTCCACCCTGCAAGGACCATAAAGACCTTAGCTAACATCATAAATATCAAGTCTCCCAACAACCTCGGCCATCTTTTCTCACACTGACCATGACGTCCAGTCCACTGGATCCTGTGTGAGGGCCGAGGGCCGAGAGGGTGGGATCTTTTCTTGTGCGGTCGGGATTTCTTCTTCTCTTGTTTGGGGATGGGGGGCAGCAGCCTGCGAGCCTCGTCGCGGTACTCTTCCAGGAGCGTCCGTGCCCGATCCTGAGGCAGCTCGACGTACTGCAGCTCCTCCAGCAGGTTGCTGCACTGCTCTGGAAGACTGCAGCTCACTGGAGACCAGAGGGACAGTTTGAAGTTGTAGACGCTGGTTTAGCTGATTGTCAGAATTTAGAGACTTATTCAAGAAGTAAAAAAAAACACTGACTGCCAGTTTTTTCAGTGATTTGAGTAGAATGATAACAAAACAATCAGGCTAAAACACCTCTGCTCACCCACTGGATTACATGGTCATTTTCTCCTGTTTATCTCCATGGGAAGTAGGTCAAACAAGATGGTTAAATGCAAATACGGACAAATGTTCCACCCTAAACAGAGACGCAGTTTAGATCGCCTGACGCAACCTGTCCGACCCACATCTTTGTCCCTAAATTAGCAACGCCGTTTCTTATGACGACTAACTTACATTTTATCCATCATATAGGGTAGTCACAAGTGATACCTTGGAGTTTGAGCAGGGCGGTCTCGGGGATCTGCTCCCCGTCACTCATCCGGTGCAGAGACAGTCGTCTTTTCCACTCATCCGCCGAGGGAAAGACCACCACCGCCCGCCGGCGGAAGCCTGTGAACAGCTGCAGCTTGTGACGCCGTGCGGAGAAGAGGATGTTGCACTAAAGAGAGATTTGAAAAAGAGACTTGTAAAAAGACCTGAGGTGGAATAAGACGTCCAAGTAGGGTTAAACCCGAGCATGTTTTAGTAATAATGAATTAATTGCACCAGCTTATGACAAGTTCATTAAAAAGGATACTGAACATAACATTATCAAACTGGAATCAAATCTTTGACAAAATATATAAATAGACATTTAAAGAGTTTCCATTTCCACCTAAATTCTCTCCGCTGTTAAATGGATTTGTCACCTGGTCGAGGATGTAGTTGCCAGGAGTCTGAGCAGCGATCTTGATCAAATCAGCGAGGCACTGAGAGGCCTGCTGCAGCTCGCTGTCCCTCCGTCCGCCACTCTGCACACAAACACGTCAAACATTCACTCAGAAACCGAGCATCACCTCTGAATGTCGACATACGCACGAGAGCGAAGACTGGAGGTTTGACTGACAATCATACATGCGAGCAGCTCCTCGGTGCCCAGCAGCTTGTAGCGCTCCTCGGGCTGCTGCCTCATGCGAGTCCTGGCCCAGTGGCTCTTCCCAGAACCGGGAAGACCCACCATCAACAACACCTGGATGGAGGATATATTTGATTTACTTTCTGAAAAGACGATCTATCCACACTAGCAGCACGGCTGTGGGACGACGACATCTGTCCGTCTGTTCTGTCCGTTCTAGCACATTCCACCACAGGGGTGAAGGGATGTCCTCGACTAAAAGAATTCCCAGTCTCTTCTCCACAAAGAATAATGCAAAAGCACATTTTCATCACAATCATTTGTTTACTATATTTGTGCTCATAAGTTCCTTGGAAATAAGTCATTCAGCATGAAAAAAACAGCTATTAATTAGTCGATTAAAAGGGGGCACCCTGACCGGGATGCACACTGTGCATGCAGCCTTTCAATCATACACGTTCAGATACTTTGGATCAATAGTTCCTGTCTCTCACCTCACACTGTGCTTTACAAGTCGGAGGCAACGTGGTGCGCACCCTCTGCCCGGCAGGGAGGGCCGCCAGCGGCGTGAACCCCGGAGGACCCGGGTACCAGGGAGCAGCTTTGGGGTCCAGGAGTACTCGTACCGAACAGCTTTTACAGAGGACGTGAGGAACCAGAGGACGACACAGCAGCACAGAGGCCTCCATGGAAAAGGCTTCACCCATGAGCCGACCGTTCTTATGGAAAGAGAGTTCGACAGCCCCGTCTGTGGAGAAGGACTGTCGACACACACACGGTTGGGATCGGAAAACGGGAAATGTCCCGAAGAGTGACCAAAGTAGGTCTTGGTGTGACAAGATAACAACACGGGAGTAAGAATTTTAAAGAATCCGATGAGAAATGTGTCACTCACAGCATAACAGCCAACGATATCTCCCTCCGAGAGGAGTTCTCCAAACGCTTCCTCCTTCCCACCCGACACTTTTTTGCCACGGCCATCATAAGCAAAAGATAACTCATCTTCACCTGGTATGAGAGGGAAAAAGGAAAGCAACCGTAACAACAATAAACACATCTCCAAAAGAGCTTTTGTTCAAATAAATTCTCCTAAAAATGAACCTAGTAATGGAGCTAGTTCTGACCCAGCAGTAGAGAGGTGTTGGGCGTAGACCAGCCCACTCTCAGGCCACAAGGATCCATGTCTTCATGTTCCTCCAGCTGGCTCGCCAACAGCTTCCTCTCCAGCCTCACTTCAAAGCCCACCTTGCCCCGCAGCACCCCGTGGGTGAGCCTGCACCCGGACCACAGCGAGGGGAAACGGGCCCAGAACCGCGGCTGGCCACATGCGCCATCGGGACCCCCCTCGAAGTGCAGGTGACTGTTGTCTGTGTAGCGGGCACATGCTAAACATGCTTATCACGGTTTAACTAAATGAAGTTGGTGTCATGTTCCTTTACCGGGAAGGTGGTTCGTGTTGTCCAAATACTTACATGGATCTAGTTTGACTTTATCTTCATCTTCCTCCTCCTCCTCTCTCTCCACTGGAGGTTGAGGTGATTTGGCTCTGGTTTTATGGTAGAAAGAGACAGACGGGTTTCATTAGAACATTTTTTACATGAACAGATTTTAACCTACAAGGAACGTTTCTCATTTTTCAACCCAAAACCCGTTTAAACAGTTAAAATCCCATAAAGTCCCGTCTGCATTTTCTACATTGTTCTTCTTTTATATAGTTATAACGTTTTTTGAGCCTGTGTGTGCACTGTGGCCCCTTTGCTGCTGTAATCCTGTAAATGTCACCACTGCTTAAGGACTCTCTTATCTTATCTAATTAGTGTTTTATAACCAGTTCACAATTGAACCGTTTCCTGTGAGTTTGGTGATCAACTGCAGAGTGTTTTCTAAACTACACAGACATCCGCAGTATAATACAAATATACACTTGGCGCATGTGTTGGCTGATCCTGAGACTTTTAAACTCCTTCTTTACAAAATCTCTCCGGCGTCACCTTTTGTATCGCATCTCCTCTTTGAACTCGTAGAAAGCTCTTCCTCTGCCCATCTCCTCCGGGGAAACAGGCCTCCCGCCCCCCGCCTCCCGCGCCCGGTTCCCCGGTTCACACTCTGAACCCGAGCCGCTCTCCGGGCCTCGCCGTGACGGCGTGAGGCCGGACTCGCCCTCCGTCTGGGTGGCGCTGTCTGCGTACTCCCGGCTGCGCTCCGGTCCGCCTTGCTCAGCGACGGCGGCTCCTGCCGGGGGGCTCGGGCGCGGGGCGCGCGGGTCCGTGGACTCCGGCGGGGATGTGGGAGTCGGTGGGCCGTTGCTCGCGCATTGTTGTGCCTCTAACGCGGACCACAGCCTCCCCAACAGCTCAGCCTTCAGACCCTTGTTGTCCAAGCCGAGTTCTTTGAGCCTGGAGCGCAGCTCGGCCACTTTTAACTTTTTAATGTCCGCCAGCTTCATTGTGAGCGTTGGAACAATAGTTCGGCGGCGCGATTGTTCTTTTCCCAGTTGTGTGGGAGGTTAGAAAGTACTCAAAGTAAACTGCAAAAGTGAAGCCAAATATCGGTTTGTTTGTTCAATATGGTGCCCTGGTTCGTGATTGGCTCTTCACTTCTTCGTGGTTTTAATTGTTGGCAGGCTACAAACGCGCAGGAGGCTTTGCTGGCGCCAAGTGGTTCAGAGCGGTACTACACCTGTAATCACAGGATGGGTGACCCAATGTCCACCCGGAGCCCTCGGGGTTTAACCGACGTCATCTGGTCAGTGGTTGAGCGTGAGTCGGTGAGGGCTTTAAATGGTGTAAATGTGAATGGGACAGCACTTTGCAAAAATGGCTGGTGAGTCAGCAAGGGTGATAATCGGGATTGGGCGATGACCCATATTTTCCTAGGGTTCATTTATAATTTTCTCCACTATTCCAGTTCAGCTACTGAAAACTGTGAACCTACTTTTTTGGAAGGAGGTAGAGGGGTCCAAATCAAAATAAGAAGCGATTTAAAGCCACATGTTAGAACGTGTGATGATGATAAAGCCTATAAATACAAAAAAAGCAGGTTAGGAGATGTAAAGATTTTCACAGCTTGCCTTTAGAGGGAGCAAACTCAACGTAAAAAAGGGAAACTTATCAGTCAGTATAATGCAAAGCTTTTTATTTTTTGTCAAACAAGACCGATGCAAAAATAACACGAATGTGCACAAACAAGTACAACAGGTGAAAAGCAAGACCACGGTCAGTTATAATACAAAACACCTCATATATTACAATTCATTTCAGATGACATCACCGTCTCATCTCTCTCTACTTCAGATTTCCTGCTCCGCTGTCTGTGTGTCATCACAACCGCACAAATCGTTCTCTCAATATGACGACGACCGCAGATCCCTGAAGGTTTCCCTCCTCACTACGCTCTGCAGGCCCTCAACAAGTGTCATTCCAGAAGATTTGACGGCGCCCGAGAGGGGCCGCCTCCACACAAACAGCATCATGATAAAAGGAAATCTTCACAAGAAGCGAGAGACGGTCAGCGGTGGTTTGTCTGTTAAACAATAGAACATTTGTCTCGTGCTCACACAGTGAGCCGGGTACTCGGTCACACTCTCCCTCCACATGCTTCTCAATAAAAGACGCCTCAGTGCTGCGTTTCAACTTCACAAGTCTATTCTCCCTGATGAGGACACAGCTGTGCAAAAATGTCCTTCTCCTGCAGACATGTACACAACCATGCATATTAAATATATTCAAAAACGGACCGAAGGGAAAACACCATCTGGTTCCTTGTGAAGTCCTTGAAAAAAACCCTGTAATAGATTCATTCAATGAGTCACCATCAAATGAACAGAATTATTATTAGTGTCGGACCAGATGACTGAACATCTGCTTCGGAGCCTTTTTAATTTTCTGTAAAATCATTTTTGTTCCAGCAAATAGTAGAGCTTTGTCCCAGTTAGTGGTTCTTGTGTATCTGCGTTACATTGGAGCTAAAAATAAACATATTCTAGCACAGCTCTGAAAAAAAATAACCAGAGTGCTGCTGTGTGATATTAAATATGTTCTATATCTGATGGCGGATCCAAACAAATTTTGCTGGAAATACAAAATACTGCATTAATATTTTCCATCACGTGGAACAAGCAGGGAGATATTACATGCTACGGTCATATCATTTGGGCAGAAAGGGACAGACAGGAAAACCCTGACCAAAGTAAAACAGTTCTAATTAGCTTATTTTGTTGTGATCAACAACTGCGTGATCTGTTGTTCCTTTCTGATAACAGGGGAACGGGTTAAAATCTTTTTTTTTATCTTAAAGCAAACTGAATAGTTAAAGATTTTGTAAATTGCTTTGTGATCATTCAGAAAACCAGATTCTCGGTTGCTCAAATGCAATAAATACAAGAGGCCAAAACTGTAAACGTAAGTCGTGGTGGTTGAGTGAGACGGGGCCGACTGTGATGGTGGTATAATGGAATTGTTTGCGGCGCTGCTCAGTCATCTGATTACATCACACAGCCCGGCCAGTGCTCTCTGGAGGACAAACGGTAGAATGAAGAACCCGTTTTTAAATGACTTTTCTTTGGCATTTCTACAGCGACGTATCTTATTACACATCAGCAGACACGGTTTGCTATTACACATTATGAACTACATGAAAATGGAAACCTACACTAAATACAAAGTCCCAAGCCATGCCCACGTTCCATACGTGACGTTGTTTATAAGAACCTCCTTCTCTCTCTCAGTTAGGCAGAGATGGTCGGTGTCGCTGGCGGATGTGGAGGCGTGGGGGAGCCGGCGTCGGATAAACTGTGTTCCAGCAGCAGCTCCTTCTCTCGGGGACGACACGGCCGGCGCAGGTGCTGGCTGTGAGAGTGGTAGAGTCGCAGGAAGGCCAGGATGGACTGAGCCAGCCACAGAGCCGTCACAGCCCACAGAGCCGCCTGGAGGACCAAGACCGGTGCTTCATTAAGCTTAAATTCACACCTGTGTAATGTGCACATCAAGGCCGCGGACAAAGACGTTTGTCGGAGTGTGCGGGCGCCAGTTTTTCCCCCTGGTTTAACAAGAGCTAATCAGAAATGTGTTTGTAAGGATTGAAAGTAGGAACAAATGAAACAAATCATCATCCTTGGCAGAATACAACGCGGGAAACTGTTCAGATGAGGTTGACACGGTTATAAAAGTATAAAAGTTGACTTACAAACATAAAAACTTCTTCTGTGTGGACTGGAAATAACTTGTGCCAAATAATAAAGAGCAAGAGCATTTTCATCTCCTAAAAGGGGGCACTTATCAGCCTATTGATCTACTGTAAAACCACAGCGTACCTGTGCCACACTGAGCTCCGTGTAGAAAGAGGAGGTGTTCACATCCAGGTAAAGCGGGACAGACTGGGATTCTGCACAGCTGAAATCAAGCAACGAAAACAGTTGAGAAACAGACTTTTGTTTGTTTGTTTTTGTCAAACATCAGTATGTTCGGAGAGCAGCGAAAAATGTCCAGGATGCTCCATCGTACCTGTATGGCTGTCGGTTGTGATCCGTCACGGTGTCACACCAGGAGACGAGTCCCAGAGACAAGATCACACTGGCCCCTCCAGACAGGAAGAGGACACACACACTCAGCAGCACCGTCAGGAAGGACGAAAACAGGGTGCTGAGCAGAAACACACCGACAGACATGTTTACATCCCTACGTTTGACTATAGGCCTAAGTGTAAAAAGATAATAGTGCATTTACACATGCTTATTATTAAGTTCTTAAGGCAAAGTCCTCATGGAATTGTGCAGAAGGGCCCGTTTCAGAATGCCTTTAAATTAAACTAAACGGCATGCACACTATTTAGTTCACGTGACTCGATATACGTATTGATGCGTAAAGGGAACATATGCAATGACTGTATACACTGTTGGGTCCCGTAACTCATAGAAATGCATCTGTCGTGTATTCGCACGCATGTCGTCAGGGGCTCACTCGTCATGTCGTCCGTGCAGATAGAAGAGGGACCTCCAGCCCTGCGCGGCCCCGTACAGCACCGTGAAGATGCCCACGAAGGTGGCGAGCTGGCAGGCTGCCGGCGGGCCCCACTGCCGCACCACCAGGTAGGACACGTCTCCCTGCCGACCGGTCACCTCTCCCCGGTCCTCCGTCGTCCAGTAGCCGCTGGAGAAGAGGGCGCAGCGGCCTTTGAAGGCGGAGCCGCTGAGAGCCATGGGGACCACCGCCAGCAAGCCCGCCGCCATCGAGAGGGCGTGAGCCGCGCAGTGGGCCAGCAGCAGCCGCCGGTCCAGTTCCATGTTACGAGAACCTAACGAGGAATGTCGTAAAGTGGAAGAAAATATAATCACATTCCTGGTTTTGTTTTACGCACATATAACGTTCTCCAGGGGCGGTGAAGGTATTTAAAGATGTCCGGGTGGGGCGCGAGGAACGGCCGTTACGCCACGCCCCCTTGCAGAGAGGAGGATGAGGAGAAGGAGGAGGTGTCACTCCGCCGGAAAAACACCAAGCGGAATCGTCATCAGTATTTGTTTAAATTGTAAGTATAATATATATAAATAAATATAGAGAATGATTATTCCTGTATACAACAAAACCCTTAAAAAATACAAATACATATTCAAATAAGGAATCCAGAAAAGGATTCAAATATATCACGAAACCAGGATTTACTGTATCCAAACTGCACCAAAAACAATACAAACAAATAAAAATGTCGATAGTAAAAAAAAATGTTTTCAACGTGTCAAGAAATGTGTTGGGTGTTTTGCCAACAGACATTCAAACTTAGCCTAAAACAAAACAAACCACTTCTGAGCTTTTGATTAACTCCGATTTTTGAAGACTGAGACGGGAGAACATCTTTTACGCAAACCATCTTTGATGCTGGAAAGTTCTATATACTGTATATATACACACTTACAATGAAACAAAAAAAATACTCTTGACGTGATGACGTTGACCTGACGTGTTCTTTCACCTACTGGCCTCTTTTAGTCAGCTGGATGAAGAGAGAGAAGGGGCTGATTAACTGGATGCCTCTGTTTGGTGGACAAGAATGCGGGTGGGTGGAGCTGGTGTGGAATTCTTGTCCGTGGAAAAGAGCAGCCTCCTGTCACCGATTCGCATTACTGAAGCCGCGAGGCACATTTTCCTGAAAATTGTCTTCAATGGTGTAGAGATATCTTCGTGTTTTTATGATGCCAATTCAGCAAATTCAAAACCAATGAGTGAAAAGACATCACACTATACAAATAAAAGCTGAAAAACACGTATTTAATTAGTAAATTACAATTGCTATTGAGTTATAATACAAAGCCAATAAATATAGCCTGATATAAAATGATTCTCAAAGAAAAGTGAGTGTCATAATATATGTAAAATATTTCTTCATACACCAAAAAAGTGGAAAGGGGCAAAGGACAAATTCAAATTAGTGCAGGGGTTTAAACGATTTATTTAAACCGTTTGAAAGAAACATGGTATCGTATCTGGCTCTGAAGCATAACCTTGGTCACAAAATATCATGTATTGAAAGAAAACAGTTCCATAGTATTGAATTAACGTGTCTGGGACTCTCACGGCAAGTTGTTATAAAGAAACAAGACGATACATCACTCGAGAATTATGGACAAAAAGGATTGAATAGATAGTTTGTAAACTTTGAACTAATTCGATAACATCGTCATAACAATCTGATGTCTTTATGTGTTGACATCAAAATGCCGAAACCCGGGATCGAACCAGGGACCTTTAGATCTTCAGTCTAACGCTCTCCCAACTGAGCTATTTCGGCGATAGATCTGACACGGAGTGTAGATAGATTTTAAAGACAACTGCCAAGCCATGTATTGTAGTACTTAGGTGATTAGCGTTTACAGGCTATGGAGTCCCAGCCCGTGGGGGGTGGGGGGGGGGGGCCTAAAATCGGCCGCTGGGTTAATTTCTTCCCTCTTCCTTGCTGGTGCGTACAGCACGATGACGTAATTCTGACGCCCACTTTAAGCGCAGAGGCTGCTGGGAAGAAAGGTCAAGAATCGATGGCCGAGGCAGGCGCGGATTAAACGTTACCGCAGCAACAAAGATGAACGCTTAAATATAACTTTAACTCACTTAAAAAGGTACTGGAACAAAACGACTTTGTTATTTCAAATGAGACATGAACGCCTCGCTTCCTGTAATACCGCGAACATTACAATGCGCCATTGTCCGTTTTCAGACTCAGTCGAGCTAACTGCCGTTAGCTGGTTAGCCGCCGCATTGTTATTGTTTTCGCTTCATTAGGCGACCATAGCGCGACTGTTGCACGAGGTTCCCCGGCCGAGGCAGCGGCTCGGACGGCTTTAGTGATGGTTATTTGTCCGCCCCGGGAAGATGGATGACAAGTCCAGCAGCAGCCACCACCGGCTGCTGGTCGTCCTGCTGATGGTGTTGCTCTTTGGCGTCATCATGATCCAGTACGTCTGCCCGAGCAAGTCTGAGTGCCAGATGCTCCACCAGCTGGGAACGTGGTTTAAGGACGGCGCGGCAACCGGGTCCCCGAGAGGCGGCGATCAAATCCAAGACGGGCTCCAAAAGGACCCGTACATTGCGGAAGATGGCGCTCTGGTCCGCTTCGTCCCGCGCTTCAATTTCACCGACGTCGACTTAAATCGCGCGGTGGACTTCAACATCAAAGGCGACGACGTCATCGTGTTTCTGCACATCCAGAAGACCGGCGGCACGACGTTCGGTCGACACCTGGTGCGGAACATTCAGCTGGAGAGGCCCTGCGAGTGCCACGCGGGTCAGAAGAAATGCACCTGCTTCCGGCCAGGTAAAAAGGAGACCTGGCTCTTCTCCCGCTTCTCCACCGGCTGGAGCTGCGGGCTCCACGCGGACTGGACCGAGCTGACCAGCTGCGTCCCGTCACGGATGGACTCTCGAGAGGCTCCCGTGGACCTGCCCAGGTTGGTGTAGGCGGGTACACGTGATGGGGTGTCAATGCATGATGAGAAAGTGTGCTGGATGCTACAGCTGGTGGTGCAATACCTTCTTAATTGGAACAATACGCTTCTGTTAATTTGGTAACTCGATGCAGCTGTTCGCCTTTGTAGAGTGAAGCGGGTGTGGATGTGACCCTCTAACATATTGCCTTATTTATAGAGGGTTTACTATTACTAATAACTCTTCATTACAGTACAACTATGTAGTGCCTCAACTTTCTTTCAACCTAATTCACAAAGCTTAACCAAGCAGGTGCATGCTTCATCCAACCCATCTGTGGTGCCATCTGTCCGACTGGTACATCACAATCCATTTATTGTTAATTTATTATTCGTTATGAACCTGGTGCGATATATGATAAAAATGGCTGCATCGTACCAGACGGTGAAGGAGACGCAGAGGACGGACTCAATGACGGCCGTATAGAATCATCAAATGTGTAGTTGGAATAGGAGACCAAATAATCAACATATCCATTAATAACTTAAGTTGCAGCACTATTTCATTGTGCTTGTAAGGGTCAAGGATTTTTAAGCTCATCAGAATTAGAATCATCTTTTTTGGCCATGTACGTGTAATTTCACCCCGTTTTATCCTTTGCTCTCCAAGAAAGGACCTCACGAAAAGAACATCCCACACCTAACGTTGTCTTTCTCTCTCCAGTAGGAACTATTATTATATAACCATCTTACGAGACCCAGTATCGCGCTACCTGAGCGAGTGGCGTCACGTGCAGCGCGGCGCCACGTGGAGGGCCTCCTTGCACGTGTGCGACGGACGCTCGCCGACACTGTCCGAGTTGCCGAGCTGCTACCCGGGAGACGACTGGTCGGGTTGCTCCCTGCAGGAGTTCATGGACTGCCCCTACAACCTGGCCAACAACCGGCAGACCCGCATGCTGGCCGATCTCAGCCTGGTGGGCTGCTACAACGTCTCCACCATGAACGAGGACGAGCGCTGGGCACTGCTCGTGGAGAGCGCCAAGCGCAACCTGCGCGGCATGGCCTTTTTCGGGCTGACTGAGTACCAGCGTAAGACCCAGTATCTGTTCGAGCGCACCTTCAACCTGGAGTTCATCGCGCCCTTCACGCAGCTCAACGGCACGCGCGCCTCCGGCGTCGACGTCCCCGACGAGACCCAGCGCAGGATCCTGCGGCTCAACCGGTGGGACCTGGAGCTGTACGAGTACGCCCGGGACCTCTTCCTGCAGCGTTTCCAGGTGGCGAGGCAGCAGGAGCGCCGGCGGGCCAGGGCGAGGCGGCAGCAGGAGAGGAGGCGGCGGCTGCTGCGCGGACGCCTCGTCGCGAAGCCAGGGAGGCAGCTGAAGCCCACGGACGCACCCCGGCCCCCTCCGAGCCGCTCTGTGGTAGCCGAGGAGGAGCAGCTGAGGGGAAAGGCTGGTGCGGGCGGCGAGGCGTCCGAGGTGCTGCTCCCGGACTGGTGGGATCTGGAGGAGAACGGCACCATGGAGGATTACATGGACAACGTGGAGCAGTGGAAGTGAGCGACTGGAATAAGCAGTAGCGTGTCTTAATGCTAAGTGTGCCACGTTCTGCCTTTTCTGTTATTTAACCAGTTATTTAGTACGAATTGTCTTTTTTTTTTTTTTTCTCACCATGGAGCGATGACACAAGTGTATTTATTGATTCTGATTGTAGTTCTTTTCCACGACGGACATTCATAATGATTTAATTTCGTTGACATACAGAGGCTTTTTGACTTTACCTTCCAGTGACTGCTGAAGCCTTCAACAATTTTTAACTCTTGTGATGAAGCTTGGGAGGGAAGGAAGCTTTACTTGTTTTCTTTTGTTTAAAAAGAACAATCTTAAAACTTGTCTAATCTATAGATGATATGCTACTGTTTGTGATATACAATCTATGTTTGCCAAAATGTCCTGTCTCAATTGTGTACATTTAAAAACGTACCTGTGTTGTGTCTTTTTAAAGTAACGGCAAAAGGAGAATGGGATTTTCATAGATACCTCATTGTGTAGCATTAACTGCTAATCTGTAAAAAAAATGAATTCAAAAAAGTCTGATTATCTTTTTTGTATTAAAATGCTTTTACAGTCACTGCACTGTTGTCTTCTCTTGGCAACCTTAAATATCTTTTTTTCGTTGTCTTGTGGCCTTTAGTCTGGCCATGTGCACAAAAGGTTGCAAACCCCTGGAACACCAGCAGGACGCGCTGGAACCATTTGAATGAAATCAGAACTTCTTTGGAGAAACTCACGTGTGACCCTCAGTGGATCAATAGACCGGACACTTTACTTATTTAATTTAATTTAATTATTCAGCAATACACTAAAACCCAAAAATGCACAGGACTTTATGAAGGTAATGGGATGGAGATGTTTTTTTTTTGTTTGATTTGCCTCCATCCAAAAGCTAATGCCAAAGAAATCTACAAGACTTCTCGTGACGTCACGTTCAAATTCTGACCGATAACCTGCCGTTGATGTCATAGCTAGTTACAAAAATATTCCAACTGCACTATTAGCCCAAATCCTGTGCTGATACCAATTTAATATTTTATTTTTGGATTCTCTGGCTGACCAGAATGACGAGGCGAAATGTCTTGACGTCTTTCATAGCGGGTGATTTATGGCTCTTAAACGCACAAACCCGGTGTTGGTTAAACTTAACTGAACAGTTCGCTCCTCCCTTATGAAGGCAAATCAACAGCAAAATCCCAGAGCCTCAAACATTCGCCAGCAAAAAAGAAAACTCATTGCTCATGTTATTTAAAACGGTATCAAACGCACTCCGTCTCCCCCGGCTCCACCCTCAAGACCCCCCCCCCCCCCCCCCCAACCCAACTCCAATTAAACCCACCTCCCCCGGGATTCATTCCCATCTGTTATTCGGGGGTCAGCCCGGGTTGCGATCGCGCCAAACGAGTTGCCGGAAAAAGTCCGCGCCTCTCTCCTCCCCCCCGTTTTTCCTCTCTTTGACATATATATTTTTAGTTTGCTTGAGATTTATTCCCCCCCGCTGGGGATAACCGCCCTCTGTGTTTTTTTAATCCCTTTTTTTTGCACCTCACTTCAAACTAAGAACACGTCTCCGTGGGACAAACCCCCGCCCCCACAAATGACCATTGACACCGACGTTAATGTAGAAGAAGAGATCCGGAATCCGGACTGGAGCGCAAACAGGTAAGAGACTGGCGCAGTTTGCAGCAGCAGCGCTGCTCCCCAGTTTTATATTTCACACGTAATTCAAACCCCCCTCTTCCATCCTGCCTGTTGCGTGGAAGCTCAAAGCTGCCGGTGGCGTTGTCAATGTGTTAATTGCGGCCGTAATATTTGCGCGTTACACAAAGACACAACCGCAATATTACGGAGCCGAAATGCTGAGAGCTGCGTGCATTCGTGTTTGTGGATTCGCACTCCTCGGTTTTCGTGAATGCAACGCGCAAGGATGCGGTTGGATGTGCTGAATCTGTAATACTACATTTAATTCACTTACCGTTGCCATAAGAGAAGCTCAGTTTCCTTCCTGGTCATCTGTGCGCGCGCGTGTGTGTGTGTGTGTGTGTGTGTGTGTGTGTGTGTGTGTATGTGTGTGCGTGTGTGTGTGCGCGCGCCATGCCTCCATGCATGCTGTGCAGCGAGGTTCAGTCCTTCTTTGCCCCGAGGGGTCAGACACCATAGCACACTGTTTTGTCACTACTTGCCTGCACTGTACATGCAGCGATGTCCTCACATTCAATCATACACCCGGTTAGCACGAGTTCAGCGCCCTGCAGGACGTGGACTCTGCAGCTGTTGGTCTTTTTCCTTGACTTTATATAAACACTGGTGAAGCTGGCAAGCACACGTGGGCATGCAGCCGCATTTCCCACATTACCAGTTTTTTATTTGTATTATCCCCTCTCACACAGATACACCTGGACTGCCGGAGAAGCTCCCATTTTGGGGCCAGACAAAACGATTCACAATGAAATATCATAATTGTTATACAAGTTATTGTTGAACTGTGATATCTACCGTTTTTCCACACAGTAACGTCCGTGAGCTCAATACGGGGATGTGAAACTTCCAGCTAACAAACCAGCAGAGTAAAATAAATGGGAAACCGTGGTGCTTTAATGAGCTGAAAGGATTACGGATACTTAACCTAATTACTTTGTTCCCTCCTTCCCGGCTGCTAGCTTTCACCCTCATTGTGATTTATGGATCTTCCACCTCGTGCCTTTTAATCAATCACCTGGTCATCAGCGTTATCCTGTTTTGTTCTTGTCCCCGTCGATGCTCCCGAAAGAGCTGACTGTTTACTGAACAAAATAACGATCCATCAGTTGGGTTTTATACAGTAATTGTTAAACACCTGTGCCTCTAAAAAAAAAAAACAGCTAAGCTTTTGGAAATGGGTTAAGTCCAAATTAAAAGAACCAACGGTTCCAACGGTGAGCCAATCTGTTTTTTTGTGTCTAAATGCTAAAATCCATGAATGTTTTCCCAGTTGGTGAAACGTTGAACTCGTTGATTGTTAAGTTCTTCCTGTCAACCAGCTGATTTGTTTCAGTTCCCGAAGTTCATCTGAATTTTAAATTCACTTCTGTCTGAGTTCATTTCAACATCTTGCATGTCTTCAATTCCAGTTGACGTATCAAAATATGACGTTTTCTTCTTTAACCATCTGAAGTTTCAAATACATCATCTATAAATTCACAGCAGTAAGAACACCTTAATTATCTGGAAAAACATCTATTTCTAGTTTTGTAACGCCTTTCTTCTCTCTTTCAAACTGCTCGATTAGCCTTTACGCCTCTTTGTATTCATATTACACATATTCATTAAATATTCTTAACTTAGAGCATTTGAAAAAAGTGCAAATCATACAAACCCCTCTTCATAGACCCCGACAATGATTGTGCAGAAGCAAACAGACAATCGATGGAGTCGACGAGGAGCCGGCTCGCCCTCCGAGGTGGAACCCAGCCGGCCACAATGCCGACGTCAGAGCTCCGGTGAAGGTTACGCTGTCGGTGGCCCTTTGGTGCACTGTGTTTGATGATGGACGCAGTGCGCCGGAGTCAACAGCAACCTCCCCGCTCCCTCGTCCCCCCCCCTCCGTCCTGTTCCACCTACATGTTGACCCACACCTTTGCTGGCTGCTGGAGCCGCTAATCCCTCTGCAGACACCTGGTGGCCCGGCAGCAGCGTGATGACTGTTTAGAACTGGGGCGCGCTACATTTATTCACCGCGCAGCTTCCCCGCAAACAATATGAACAATATTATGCAGCGTTTTAAAGGTCGGACAAGTTCACATGGGCCCGGTTCATTTTCGGTTTAATATGTTTAAGCTGATCAGTCTGTTACAGCTGAAGTTATCATTCTATTTATGACTTAGTTGCAGGGCAAACTACAGCCGGCGACCATATTGTTCAAATGATGCATTGCTAAAGCCTATTTTAATCCTGTCTTACGTGTGGTTTGTTATTGAACCACAACCTAATCATCCGTGTCGTGGGGGGGGGGGGGGGGGGGGGCACGTCGACACAGCACAATAACGCAGCATCTCTAGTGCAGCGTTGTGCTATAAGAGGTCCCCTATCTTCTGTCCCTTCACTGCATCTGCCTCTTAATTATCTGCTCCTCGGCTGTTTGTTATGCTTTGGGTAACTTGGGCCTCCTGGTGATCTATCATGCTGTGGTAGGTAGAGTACTGTTGTGCAATATTGCAGCTTGATAATCTGTGTTTCATTCCACTGAAAGATCTGCATTTGCAAAGAGTGCCAAAAATGTTTCTGTTGTTCTCCTCCATGGTTTCTCACGGGTTTCTGACATCTCTGAGGACACATTCCTCTGAACCTGCTCCCATGTTTTTATAACGACGTTGTGCTGTTGGCTTTAGTTTGCTGTTGTTGATGAAATACACATTGACTACTGGTCAGATTCTACATTATACTTACACATGTCAACACGAACCGTCGGGGAACCGCGCTCACGGTTGCGGCCTTTCGAATTCATGCTCGTCTAGTTCCCATAAAGGCCCAGCCGGAGGCCGAAGGGAAAGCTGGTTAAACAGTTGGTGGACTTTTCCTGAGGGTGGATCTGCTGGAGGGTGAAAGCTGTTTGTATCAGCGAGTGAAAGGTCATTACGGTGTATTGACGAGGGGCACAGCCGGTGTCCGGTGCGGCGAGAGAGCGACGCGTGGCGAAGTGAGCTGCGTCGCCAGGGTGCGCTTGATGTGGACGCCGAATGCAGGACAGGCAAAGCTGAGCGAGGCGCGCTTGTCTTTTCTTGTCCTGCTGAGAAAAGTGTCTATCGATCTGTAGGCCGGCCGGGAGGAGGGGGAGGCACAGACCAGCAGAACGGTTCAGCAAGCAAAGCAGTCGCTGGTACCTGCTCGTCTCTCATTCCTGCCTCTCTTTTGGTTTTTGGGGATGGGATGTGTGTCTTTGTTCCTGCGTCTGAAGGTGGGTGTATCAATGCCCCCCCCCCCATCATCCCTCCTTCTCCTACTCCACTGCGGTGTTCTCCTTCTGGGCTGTCTATCACCCCCCCCCACGTTGGTTCCTCCGCCTGTGTCTGCCGCCATCAGACGCAGGGACCGATCGTATCTGCTCCAGCCCCCCTCTCCTCCTCCTGTACTCCTCCTCTCCTGCATCTCGCCTCTTGTTTATGCCCTTTGTGCATTGACGTTCCGCGCAGGGCGGGGGGGGGGGGGGGGGGGGGGGGGGGGGCTTCTACGGCTCCAAAATACCGTTTGGACTTTGCCCTTCTCTGGTGAAGCTGTAGCGTCTCGTCTGTGCAGTGCAGCTTTATTGAGCCACCTCACTGATTGTTATCTGCATTTGGTTAAGAGTCCCGACACGTCAGTCTGCTCCCTGCGAGCGTCCCGCTGCAGTAAAAGCCCCCCCTCCACCCCCCCCCCCCCCGTCTGCACACGACAGCCCTGTGATTGCTCCTCAACGTCTGCGAGGAGCTGTTCTGGAGTCGGGCTTGTTGTACAGTATGAACATAAGCATGTGGCTCAGCCATGACTGTGGATAAAAGAGAAATCCAGGGAGGGACAAGGACGGGCTTCTGTGGAGGGGAGGAGCCCCGCTGTGGAAGCTGCCCCGCCATTGGCTGGAGACGTGCTCTGCATGCCAGCAAGAGTCTGTCTGATTGGCTGGAGCCGAGCACAGCAGCTGCAGTTGTGAAAAACTACTCCCCCCCCTCTCTCTCTGCCCTGTCTCCCTCTTTTCTACTTCTTCCCCTTCACATGAATGACTGTCTGGGAATCATCAGTGAGGACCACACACGTGCCGGCCAGGTTCCGCTTCAAGGGCACGGCGTTCTGTAAAGGCGTATTGTAGCCTGATTTCATTTCAAGTTGGTCAATTACTTTCTGCTCAAAGCTCAGAGGTCTCTGTCCTGCCTGCAATCTCCCCTCCATCCCGTCTCCCTCTCCCTCTCCCTCCCTCTCTCTCTTGTATCACTTAATCAAGACATAGCTTGCCCTTTCCTGTTCATTGCCGCCTCCCTCCCTCCCGTATGCTCTGTTCCGCTATTTGTTTGCCCTCGCTTCATTCTCTTTCCCTTTGCACGCTCCCGCCTCGTGGTCCTCGTCTCGCCTTCCCGTTCAAACGGGCTCCGCCAGGTTGTAGCCTCACGTCAACGACGTTTGTCTCCTCAACAGGCTGCTCCTGTTTTTCTTCTTCTTCTTGTCATTGCTTTGAATTAATGTTCTGTTTCTTCTTTTTTTTTTTTTTTTGCAGGACATGCAGAAGAGAGGCGAGGTGAGGAGGATGACAACAGAAGCATCTACAACGGCGAGGAAGGGATGAGAAGGAGACTGAAAAAAGAGAAGGAAGTGGAGCTCCGAAGTGCCTGCTGCGAGGGGGTCGTCTGCCGCCGTTAATCTGCCGGATGAGAGCCGGGCTCGGCGCGCGCTCGGCCTTGAACGGAGGCTGTATTTCATCCTGACGGCCCACAGAGCCGTCCGTCCCACGCCGCCGAGCTGCAGCCGCCACCTCGCCTCACTGCTGCAAAGACACCGCCCTCTGTAAGGTTCTGCTTTGGTTTGTCGGGGGGAGTTTTTTTTCCGCGCTCTCTTTCAAACGTAACTACGGCGACTGCCCCCGGCCGCCGGCGATGTTGACGTGAAGCCGACGGCGACTCGCGGGCGGACGTCGGTCGATCCGGGGCGAAGGCCTCCGGGCGCTCGGTTGTCACGCGCCGGACTGATGTCCTCGCAGTAAAGCTCTGGCTTTTCCTTTTTCTTTTTTTTTTTGCCTTCTCGGAGACAGAGCTGGCCTCTGCTCACGGTCTGCCCCCCCCCTGCTCCCCCCAGTTCCCCCTCCTCCTCTATCTCAAACTTCAGCTGCCACTTTTCCCAGGAAGAACTAATAAACATTCCCTAAAACACACCGACCACAAGGACTCGCCGCACTATTTGCACCGAGGAAACACAGAAAATTATCTCTGCTTCGGGGATTTTCTTTTTTCTGCGGATCGCTACTAGTCACCTCCGATGGCCGTCAGCATGACCATGGGACGGGACACCAAATGGCTGACCCTGGAGGTGTGTCGTGAGTTTCAGCGGGGCACCTGCTCGCGGTCCGACGGCGAGTGCAAGTTCGCTCACCCCTCCCGGAGCTGCCATGTGGAGAACGGCCGAGTCATCGCCTGCTTCGACTCGCTCAAGGTAAACGACGCAACCGACACATCGCACGTCTCGTTTGCGTAGGCGGGTGCATTGTGAGCTTTATTTAACGTCGTTGATGCCTTTTATTAACAAACACAGACGGACGGACACACACAAACCTTCCTGTCTATAGTTTCAAAGCAGAAGAGGTCTTTTTTCACTTGTGCTGTAAAATAAATGAAATTAGCGTGATTCTCCCCTCATGATTTCACCTGCTGACTAAATAGCTACTGGTGATGCGTCATGATGCAGGAAGCTCTCCACTTCAGATCAAACTCTCCAACGTGTCAGTTGGTCAGTGGATCCACCCGTTCTACCTCCTTCCATCAAAACCGCTGTCTCCTGGTTCCCCTTCACAGCCTTTGGATCACGTGGTTTTTGATGTTGGGAGTTACGACGTTTGTTAATTAATAAAGGTTTTTACAGAATGATACAAATAATGAGAATGCCATCTAAAAATAAAACTTTTGTTTATATAAATACATTTTTTAAACGGTATTACAATCTTATATCAAGGAAGCTGTGTAGTGCAAGTAATTTGATTGAAAACATATGATGAATTATCTACACGTGACTGCTTTTAGGTTGTACCGTGACACCTGACACAGTTGTTCTTTTTTCATTAAAGGTAATTCTTAATAAGATTGTTAAAATACTTGTCTTTAAAAGACAAAAGAGATTTGGGTTTTTCTGCCATAAAGCAGGCGTGTTTATTGCAGCATTTCGTGCAATGATGTAATACAACCAGTTATATTAAAGGGATGGATACCACCGTGTGGTATTGAAAAGTCTCTGATGGTGAACACATTTTGACTTGTGTTTTATATTTTCACCCAGCAAGTGGTAGCTAATACACATTCAACATGATTGGTTACATAAATAAGCCTGTCACTGACGTATGCTTATTTAAAGTTAGTTATTAAAGTTAAACCAGTCACAACCACACAGCCTCGTGTCAAAAAGTCTCTGTTAATGAAGATATTTAACGTCCATTTTGCTCGGGCGTGAATGGAAACTTCCGGTGAAGCCACTTTGCCGACCGTCCCTCGCTGATGATGAGCTGGTGGATCAGCTTCAGCATCCCTACAGCTGCTCCCCTGACGCCCGTCTCCACCACCAGATCCCACGACACCGGCTCCCCTCGTGCACACGCATTACCGCATTTTGCGCTAAAACGGGCCGTTGCGGTGTCGCCGTTTGTTGTTTCGCTCGACGGGCGTTTTTGATGCAGAGACCGAGCGAGACCCAGACAAGGGGCTCTCTGTCTGAGTGCAGCTGCTGTCTCCTCGCTTATTGAGTTAGAATTTATTATTCAGCCATTTTTCTGTGTTATGTCCTCCAGAGCAGGAGGGAGATGGCGAGGGAGAGCGAGAGAGGGAGAGAGAGAGAGAGGGAGAGAATCGGAGAGGGGGGGCCTAGCAACAGCACAGGAGAGCGTACCCATTGGACGGTTTGATCTTCCTGAGTGGCACGTCTGTTTTTAGCACAGAGCAACAGCCCGGCTCTGTACTGGTTCCATCGATGGGAGAAAGGGGCGAGCTGCTTTGTACTCTCAGGGGCATGAACGAGCATTTAAAGGCACTTTCGATGTCGCAGCCCCGGGGGGGGGGTGGGGTTGGGGTTGGGGGTCACGTGGCTGCAGAAAGAACTGAAGTTGGTGACAGTTGAAGGTCAAAGCTTTTTCTTTATCCGGGGTTTCAGTAACCGGCACGGTGTGTCAGCAGCCGCCTCTTCACGGCCCTGTTTCTGCCCCCCATTGTCGGCCAGGATTGTTCTTCGGCTCGGCTGACTAGAAAAAGCCAAGAAGCAACTCACTCGAGACGCCGGGCGGCGTGACTCCTTCCTCCCGCTCGCCGCCCACCCCTCCCTTCTTTGTTAATTTTATGGATTTGTCTGCTAATGGCCTCCCTCCTCACCGTCCCTCCCATATCTGGCATCCCCGGCCGGCGCGAGCCGACCGCTGTCCTTCCCTGTTGCTCGTCCATTAGCTACGTCTCGTCGGTCTGAACCTGCTGCAGTGGGGGGGACGAGGGGGGACGGGGGGGGGGTTAAACCTCCTAGTTCTTTTTACCTTGTTAACTGGAGTGCTACTGTCATCTCAAATGATTAGTGAGGACGTCACATCTGCTCAACACACGGCAGATTCAACAGCAGTGTGGCTTTTGGACGACACGGCCGGGCAGACCAACAATTATTTCCATCATCTATTAATCTGCAGATCACTTGAATCGATTAATCGATTCATGTTTCGTTTTTTTGGAACTTGCTGATTTTGTGCAAATAACAATTACAAACCCAAATCATATCATATCACATCAGGGGCTGGATTCAGCATATTTTATGCATTTCATCCAACATCATCATCCATCCAGTACTATAAACGTACTTTCTGTCAATCGAGTCATTGAATGTTCGTTTCATCTCCGAATCATCGTCCCTCATGAGAATGAAGCCAAACTCCGCTAACTGAAGGTTGCGCTTGTTCCATATCAATTTCAATTGATTTATTCATCATTAGATTTAATCAACGTCTCACCTCTCTTTTCTCTCTGAATCCGTCAAACAGCACACAACCGTACCGACGGGGGCTTTCTCTGTGTGGCGTAGCGTGTTGCTATGGCAACCGAAGGGAGATTCCTGACCCAATACTCTCATCAACACCACGTTTCTTTAGCCTCTTTCTCCAACCCACATTTGATAGATTTTTTACATTTTTCTGTTTCCCTTTTCAACATTTTACATAAAGCATAAAGTGCGTCATTATGCTCCTCTTTGATTGTGAGTTTGAGCACGCTTGCTGGGCCCACGGGACTCGCTCCCCCATGACGGAATCGTCTCTAAACGCTCGCTGGCGCAAAGCATCTCCGGTGTAGGCGAGAGTGATTTCCTCTGCAGGCCTCGTGTGCCATTCTGCACTCTTCTCAAGCCGCTACACGTCTTGCCTGTATTCTTTCTGCCTGCGGTTCGTCCTACATCGCTTCCCTGCCGCTGAAGCCTTTTGTTTTGTAAGTGTCCTCATCCCGGCGCGACATCATCCATCACCGTCAGAGTCTCTGCACCATGACGTCAGTTTGTCTGCAGAGTTTATCTTGTTCTCCGACGGCAGTCGTGCGGCACCCTCGCCCTCCCGTAACGTGAGCCGGTCGGCGTGGAGGCGGAGGCAGAGGTGGTTAAGGGGGGGGGGGGTCAGCAGCTCATCCACAGGGCCAGACAGCTGCTGTCGGTTAGGGGGTTTAATGGAGACTGCAGTTTTTGCGTTGACCGGCAGTGTTCCTGCAGCACCATCTTCACCTTCCCCACGGACTCCGGCAGGGAGGAAGGACACCGCCTTAATGACGCTTTGCCACAAAATGAATTGCTTCTTAGATAAGTGGCTCAAAATCTGATTTAGGATTTGACAAGAAGCCAAAAATGGCAACCCTAAAAAGGTTCTTCTGATCGAAATGGTCTGATGCTGCAGGAGAACCCTCAGAGCGACCCGAGTTAGTCTTGTTGAACGGCTTGTTTGGCATCCAGACTTTCACAACACGTTGCACGGTTCACAAGATTGATAAATGAATCATTGACACAGACATTTTTTTAGGGGTAAAAGTCAGTTCCACATTGTTCAACTTTAACATAATATTTAGTTTGCTTTATAACCCACAATATTTCTGAACTACATGACCTCTGGGAATGTTTTTATAAACATTTCTCAGTTTCATTTACTTTCATTATGAGGGAAATCTGCTTTGCTGAAACGGATGTAACATTTGGTTGCAGTCACACACACTTTCTGGGTGCGCTGTTGAAGCCTGGAGGAGATGAATGAGGATTTGTATTTGCATTCAAGACAAATAGAAATGCTTTGACTACGCACACAAGCCCAACTGTCTCCTGAGCTTGAGCCTCATGTTAGCGAGCCCTGTTCTGACCTTCCCAAGGTTAGCAGCAGTGAATAAAAAGTAGAAAGAAACCACTAACCATCTAATTTGATCTAATAATATGATATTCTTGGAATACGCTTGATTTACTTTTGAGTATTTTTTTTGTTAATGGTTTAAAAGTAGGACTTTGACTTTTAAGGCTCACTACTTTGTTATTAGAACATTAAACCATTGTTATTAGAATAAAGTAATTTCATTGGTCTGTTTCCTATCTAATTTTATTTTATCTCTTCTCTGACCATAACACGTGCTGCCGTCATATAATGTATGTTCGTATCTAATAACTGAGGTACCAGGTAGAGACGGACACAGTGAGAGTGGAACATGTGTTTTCACTCTCCAGCTCCATAACCTCTGCTGCAACTCAAAAATGAGTGCAGCTGTTGGAACATGAAAAGAACAGTTTGCTCAGAGGCTAATTTACCTGTAAAAAAAAGACAAATGACAGCTCAATTAGTCCAATTTTCTACTTTTCTGTTTTGCTCAGTGTTGCTGATGCCGGCGAAGCACATTTTTTATGATGTAAGTGGTTGCGCGTTTGAATTATCCGAGACACGGTCTTCAGGGACTTCATTAGCTCTTTATTCCACCACAATTTACCCCACGTAGTTCTGCAAACATGCTTGATTCTCCACGTTCAGTTCAACAAACTGTTCTTGATTAAACGGATCAGTTGCAGCAATACGGGATCTTTTCCACTTCGAGGCGCTCACGCTGACCTTCCCTCCCCCTCAGGGGCGCTGCACCCGAGAGAACTGTAAATACCTGCACCCACCGCCACACCTGAAAACCCAGCTGGAGATCAACGGGAGGAACAACCTGATCCAGCAGAAGGCCACTGCAGCCATGTTGGCTCAGCAGATGCAGTTCATGCTGCCCGGAACGCAGTTGCAGCCTATTGTGAGCAGCTCCCCTTAAAACCGAACCTTTACAATGAGTGTAATGGGTTTGAAAATGTGGTTAATTTATCAAAATACTTACTGTGTACTGTGGGCGATGTTTTAGCCAGCAAACGTCTTTTGTCTACTATTTAAATACTAGTATTTAAATGTTCTTGATGATAAATACTAGTATTTAAATACTAGGTGATTCAGAATATATAAATATATATATATATATATATATATATATAACCCCTCAGTTCTGGTTATGTCACCAGCAGATCTTCTCCTCAAGCTCTGCCATAACTTGTTTTGTCCCTCTGGTCTGTGTCCTCCTCACCCTCCCTCCCTCAGACAACATTCCCAGTGTCGCCCTCCCTGGCAACGTGCCCCAGCATGGCGTTCAGTCCATATCTGAGCCACATGGGCCCGGGCATGGGCTTGATGCCTGAGCTGCTGCCCAGTACTCCCCTGCTGGTCCCTGGGAGTCCCACCGGCCTGGCAGCCATGGGCAACGGCACCTCCGGGCAAAAACATGTGCGCACAGACAAGCTGGAGGTATGCGGCGTGCGCCCCGCAGTTGTTGTGTTTCTATGTCTGGTAGAAGCATGATGAAAGGTAAATGTTGACCCCTCCCCCCCTCTTCCCTCTTCTCTCCTCTCTCTGCCAGGTTTGTCGAGAGTTCCAGCGCGGCAACTGCACACGAGGCGAGAGCGACTGCCGCTACGCTCACCCTCTGGAGGCCGGCATGGTGGACTGCAGCGAGAACTCGGTCATCGTCTGCATGGACTACATCAAAGGCCGCTGCAGCCGAGACAAGTGCAAGTACTTCCACCCGCCGGCTCACCTGCAGGCCAGGATCAAGGCCGCCCAGCACCAAGCGAGTCACAACACGGCGTCGGGCTTGGTGAGTCCAAACTCGGGTAACTCTTTGTTCTTTATACCAGCTTTAATCTTAAAATGAGCTGAACGTACCGGCAATGATGGCCTTGTGGAACGTTGCCTTCTCTCCATGTCATCGCCAGCAAGGAAAACAGTAGATTTTACCTAAGGTTTTAACCTTTTTTTAGGATAATTTAATATAACCGGGTCAATCTGCAGTGCTGAGGCCTAAAAAAAGAAGAAAACAGAAACCTATCAAGTGTTTATACAATATGACATGGCCTTCTATCCACGGTGTTCATGTTAAATAAATGAGGATATCAGTGTAACGACAGCTTCCAATCCAATCTTTTTTATTTATAAAGCACAGTTAAAATGAACACAAAGGTTCCCGTGCTGTACAATAAAATAAACACAATAAAACATAATAAATAAATCAGTGCGTTTTAAAGAGCTTGACATCACAGCCTAATGTCTGTGTAACTAAAAAACTAAAAATCCTCCGTTGTAGTTGTAGATGTTTCACCCCATTGGTGAATCAAATAACAGCAATCCCATTTCGCTCTCGGTCTGACCTCTGTGCCGTCCTCCATCACTTCAGCCTTGTTGCGATACCACAGTGTCCTCTTGTGGTGGTGAACAGAAACCTCCGTGCCACCTGGAAAGAGCACCCGGCGTGTAAAGTGGGGAGAACGAGCATTTGATACACTGCCGATTTTGCAGCTGAGTCTGTCATATATATTTATCACAGGTACTCTTCAACTGTGAGTGACGGAATCTAAAACAAAAATCCAGAAAATCATATTGCATGGTTTAAAAAATGTTTTTTTTTGCAGTTTATTGCATGACATAAGTATTTGATCACCTACCAACCAGTAAGAATTTCGGCTCTGAGCTGAGCCGTCTGAAAGGAAACCATTAGTAACCCACTACGCCGTCATGGATCAAAATCCTGCAGCGCACACGGCCCCCCCTGCTCAGGCCAGCACATGTCCAGGTCCATCTGAAGCTGGCCAATGGCCATCTGGACGATCCAGAGGAGGTACGGGAGAAGGTCATGTGGTCTGATGAGACGAAAATTTAGCTTTTTTGGTCTAAGACTACCTATGATAAAAATGACAGATAATTTGTGAGTTGGAAAACCTGCTAAATCGGCAGTGGATCAAATACTTGTTCTCCCCTTTATATATATTTACTCGGACACCGCACCAGATGACGGGGGGGACTTTTCTTCTCCTTTCCAGGTGCTCCCTCCGGGCGCCATGCAGCAGCCACCAAAGAGGCCGATCTTAGAGAAGAGCAACGGAGCCGCCGCCGCCGTCTTCAACCCCGGCATGTTCCACTACCAGCAGGCGCTGGCCAACATGCAGCTCCATCAGCCAGCCTTCATCTCCTCTGGTGAGTCTCCACCAACACATGTAGGAGGGGAGCCGCAGTCACGGGGTTGTGGGCAGACGAAGGTAAGGGCTGTTCGTGTGATGCGGTAACAGGAGGAAACATTGCGGGATGCAGACACATTTTTAATTTGGAGGTGTAGTTTCAACCGTTGCATGCTGTGGCTCCTCTGCGGTGTAAACCGTCAGTAAAAGGGAAAGACGACGTACCTGCTGGCCTTTCCTCCTCCTATCACGCCACGCTTCTCTTCTGTACACTTGCATTTTGCTTCGCTGCGGCTCTTTGTGCGACGACAGGCGTTGACGCCGTTAACAAAAGTTAAGGACAAATAACAGACGATGAGCTCGTCAGAGTTGAGGCGCTATGTGTGACTGTGCAGGTCCTTCTCTTTAAAAAAAGCAAAGTGTGTTGCAGCTGGAAGGGTGAAGAAAGGAAGTTAGACAGACAAGGAGATAACCAGGTTTTACACTCTATTACGGTTTTCATGTGTTTTTGCCGAAGATTTAAAGGACATGTTTATTGGAGGAAATTACAGCTGAAAGTTTTTGTAATCAATTAGCTTACTGACATTTATTGCATTTATTGAATTTATTGCTGAATATTCCTAAAAGCACTTAATCGTTTAACTCATCAATCAAAGTTAAAATACCAAATATTTCTGGTTCTACCCTCATTACATTTTGCATCGATAAAGGATTTACTGCTTTTCTTTGTTTAATGTACCGATAATTATAATGAATGATATTATAAAAATTCCCCTTTTTTAAAGTGCTTGTCAGAATTTATGTGACACCAGCTTCTAAATATGAAGCAATTCCTTGATTGAAAAAATACGTTATAAGTGTCTCTGCATCATAGCTGGAGATCAGTAAGTGTTCAGAATGTGTCAGCGGACAGGAGTACTTATTGAACGACTAACCGATTAATCGATTAGCTGGAACATTTCTCTGGGAGGTTTTGTCCCGATGACGTCTTCACATTGATGTCCTATTTGTTTAGCGAGTCGTGCTTTGTGTGAGCAAGTCTCCCATTCATTTCTCTGTGCCTGGTATGTTCACATGTGTGCATGCATCACTTGTGGGGCTTATGGAAAGCACAGGGCCCGGGTGCAGTGGTGAGGGGACTCCCAGTAGGTCACGCCTGCCTCCCAGAAGAGAAGCTGAACTGGTTTCAATTGTTCGTCTGGATTAAAAGGAAAACACTCGGTTGCAGAGGTTGGGATATCCTGACTTTTAGAGGCGTGTTTGAGTCCATCTCCAAAATCACTTATGTTTCCCAAAATGCAACCAAGAGCACACAGTTGTTAAGATCTCTGCTCCGGTGGAAGTGAACAGACTCTATGTACTATTAGCACGATGTGTGCTGACCCCAAACACCAAGCCAGCAGAGGTGTGAGGGGTGTGTCCATTCAATGCCTTTTGTATTCGCCACACAGTCCTGAGAACAGGTACGATTGGGCAACATAAGTGAAAGCATCTGTCCTTGCAAAGCTCGCACTGTTAGCTAACGAGTATGTGTTCAACTAGGACAACTGGTGCCTTTTATTTACATCGGAATGTTGTACATTTTCCAGAATTTGAGACCAGAACACAGCCGAAATTTGTACTACCAAAATCCAAGATGGCATATCAAGAGTAAAAAATCTGCAGTAATATACTGATTATCTGTCTGTCCTATTTGAGTCCCATTAAATCAGTCACACTCGTATCTGTGCACATGATGCCACAGCGCACTGACGCAACGTGTTGTGATTAACTGCTACTGCTAATAATAGCAAACCTGGCAGGAGCGAACCCTCACGTTTATACCAGAAGGCAGTTTGACGTCATCCCGTACTCCGGCTTCTGGTTTCTATTAGTTTGTATACATACCAAATCTATTTGTGGCGTTCTAAGTAGTTTTTGTGTTGGAACAAACGGGTTGTCTCCAGGTTGAGCTAAACCCCGCTGACATCGTCATGGGTTACCAATACTCCAGACACCGTTGACGCGCTGCAAATATCTGTTTTCAGGATTCCTGTAGTAGTACCGTATGAATTGCAAACAGAGTTTACCTTTAACATGTCTTACCTGCCAGCTTTGGGGTATTGATTAAAGGTGATTTGTCCGAAGCACCTTCATCACAGGACATTTATCAGTTGAATATCGAAAGTGAGCTCTTGAAATTGATCGATCAAAGTCAGTCACTAAAAAACTGTGACATTATTGAAAAAATAATGATAATAATAATTCAATTTTTCTTTTTTTGGAGAGCAGGTAGTGGAGTGGGGAAGAAGGGGATTTCACTTTAAATATTTTTAGCAATTAGGATGGGTAACAAAATCCAGTACACAATATAAACTAAAGCATAAGCATAATTTTAGTACATTCTAAGTACTCGATAATGAAAGGGAGGTTATTTTAAAACAACATCGTGAGTGATCTTCTGACAATGGACACTCTCGCCTCATATCAACTGCATTTTATACCCCATGCTGGCCGGCCCAGAGTTAATTGCGGAAGGGGGGGGGGGGGGTGAAGACATTTGCCCCCCTGCAGAGCAAACGTGAAACTCCTGACAGCGTCTCCATGTCTTGCACCATAAATGGTGCAAAATTGCAAAAATGGTGAAGCAGCACCATCACTATGACCGGTCGACGGTCTGGCTTTTTGCAGCCACCACGGATCATTTACTCCCTCCATACACATGCTCTGTCCATTTGAATACAATACATCAGATACTACAGTCTGATTAGATTGTATCAGTGTGTATTTCCTTTTGGTTTAACTACCATTTGTTGGTGGAACGATGCATTTTTATTTTGTGTTTTTTGCTGATTAAAAAAAAAAGGTGATTTCCTTTCTCTTTCTCTTCTGTTTGCATGTGTCTTGATATTTGTTCATCCCGGCGGTATCGCTCGACTTGTGCCGTGACTTTTGATCCGACACATTTTTGCCATGGTAACCATATCATTCCTGTCCTCCCTCCCTCCTCCCTCCTCCCCCGCCCACATCTGTCTTTCGTCTGACTCGCCCGAATAAAAGTTCCCATGATGCACGGTGCCACCACCTCCACTGTTTCGTCGGCTTCGACCCCAGTCACCAATGTTCCTTTCGCTGAATCCGCCGCCTCGAATCAGGTTTGCTCTTTTGTTTCAGTTCTTTTATTTTTAGCCCAGTAGGTCTGAGTCCCGTTCGTGGATCTCTTTTTATCAGGCTGCAGAGACACCTGCCTGTAGAGCCGCATTTTATTATATCCACATTTCATCTGTCTTCACCTTGCAGTCTGGTGTGGTCTGAGCGGAATGTAAACGTTAAAATGGGCCGTTGTCCTCATCTAAACGTCCATGTTTGGTTTTATCACGTCTGTCTCCTCCTTCCATGTAATTTATGAACTTGCAGTATGTGGTCTGGCGTTGCCAGCAGCCATGCTATGATTTGTAATTACCCTTTAAATACAATGTTAATTTGCCCCTATATCACACAAGCTGGCTGCATTGTATGGTAAACAAATCTCCAAGTAGCGAGGAGGGTTAGCGGCTTCTTATGTGACGTTAAAAATGTTTTCTTTGCATTTTCATTTAATTATTTTATTAGCTTTAAGGTGTTGGTCACCACTAATCTGAATTCAGTTAAACATGGTTTTGAAATTCGTTTTTAAAGGTTATTTTGTACCTAGATTAAATACGTTTTTAAACTAAAATATACCGGCTGTGTGTCGGCTTTGTTCCAACTATCATAATAACCATCATTCAATAAACATAAACACTGGTCATTGCCTGGCTAACATGTTAAAACCTCTGACTGAATCTTAACGAATCGTCCAGGGTTTTGAAGGTCTTTGTGTCAGTGAGAATTCACCGCTCCTCCCTCTCTCTCTTCCAGTAGACCCCTCCGAGCTTCTGACTCCTGATCCGGTGGAGCTCCAGTGCGTTCCCATGGAAACCCATTTCTGTCCCGTCCCCAAACTGCTGGTGGCCGCTCCGGTGAACCTAAACCCAGTAAGCCTTTCCCGAAACCCCAGTTAGAGCCCCCGAAAGCGTGCGCACCCACCAGGGCGGTCATCTTTTCTGAAAGCAGCAAAAAATGTGCCTCGCCTGCAGCGCACGCCGAACGGGTGCGAGAAGGTCCTGAACGCAGGAAAGCTGCGATGGTTCACGCAATACAAGCTTTAAAGCAGCCGCCCTGAGACGTACTGACGCACTTTGTTCCGTACAGCCATACATGCCCACATCTTAAAAGTGAAGAAGACACAGTGCGCACAGACACACACACACATTGAAGGAAACTTGCCCTTTATGGGATGGAGCCGTCTCGTGACCCGACACCTTTGACTTGTTCCACCGTCAGGAACCAAACTGACAAACTTATTCCGGAAATTGAGAGCGTTCGAGCTGCAAAAACGGACCGGCTGCTGGTCTCCAACCGGCACGCATCGTCAAAGGGAAAGAGGGTCTCATACCATGTCGTGTTCACGTTTCCAGATGGCTATAAATGTGACATTTGTGTTGTACCATGTGATGCTGTTCAGTTTGTTCTCACGGTCTCATCTGGTGGGTTAAAACGCTCATTTGTTTTTGCCTTTGGATTTGTCTGTTCAGCTGCAGAGAAGACTGATTTTAAAGCAGTGAAAGCATACGTCCGTTTTTTTTTTTTTTTTCAATTAGGGGCAATAGCCGTCAACTTATAGCTACTATCGTAAGAAAATGTTGGAATTACAGTGATTGCCACGTAATTCAAATTCCCCTAGTCACTTAGTATCTGGTACTGACGGGATAATATGAATACTACCCGGGAAATGCAACAAAATGAAAGAAATACAAATCGATGGATTGATATAAAACAATCCCTTGTACTCTAGAGAGGCTGAGCAGAAAGATTTCCAACAATCTGGCTTTTCATTTTGGATACAAATGAATTTGAGGGATGCGGCATCTTCAGTGTCTGTCGACCGAAAAGGAAGGTTTTGTTTGTCCGGTTTCCTCCATGATCTGAAAACGTGGCGTTAAAGGATGACAATCTACACGTAGCGCTCACTTCCTCGGCATCCATCACTAACCGTGACACTGTGTGTTTGTTTAAATCACCTGAAGTCATCGAGCAGATGAAATGATGTTTCAGAAAATTGGCCCTTGTTGAGCTATTGCACAAGATGGGAGCTGGATTTGTGTCCGGAAGTTGTGCCTAAAGTTTTCAAGTGCCGCTTGGTGTACGCTAGGAGCTCCCCCATGTAATGCAATATTTTAAAAAAAAGGGTATATATTCCTCTAAAACTCAGATGTGTTTTAAAAAGGCTACTTGTTTGTGTCATTCTCTCCCTTCATGCGGCTTTCGGATGGAACAGGCGGCGCGAGCGTTTGATGTGTTCTGGCTCTTCAGGGAGTGAGTTTAGAACTTGAAAATGTCCCGTCTGACTTTATAACGTCTCGTCTTTTCTACTGAATATGTTAAAACCAGAATTCAGTTATGGCGACGTCAGGAGGAGGAGGAGGAATAAATCACCCGTTTGATGTCTCGTGTAAAAAAAAAAAAGAAAAAGAAAGAAAAAACGACTTTGGTTTACAAATGACTGTGAGGAAACGTCTTTGTAGGTGCGAAAGATTTAGCCTAAAAGCTCTGGAAACCACTTCTCACTTATATCCAAATTCAAATGTGCCTCTTTTAAGTCTCCTCAAAGCACCACTGTCATTACACTGTAAGAACAGACCAGCGCTCAAAGGGAGAAGTGTTGCTTGGTACGTCCATTTCACCGCGAGTCCCAGCTCTCCTCGTCTCTTCTCTCGTTTGTAGATCCGTGACTCATGTCCATACCTGGGTGTGTTGAAAAAGAAGATGAATCACATATTGGGTTAGTTGCAAATGCTGCAGAAAATACAGCATTTCCCACTAAACATTATTCATTCTAAATGATGTTATCGTGTCGTGAATGTATCTATTGCAAAAACTCTTCACATGCTCTTTTAAAAACAGGCATGTTGAAATGTAATGAATCACTATATATAGACTATTTCTGAGGTCACATACAGTAGGTACCGTGCTGATAAGTGTGTTAAGACATTATTAAAGTATGCGTATTGTTATATAGATTTATATTTAATGTCAATGGATGGTGTGACTACTTTTAGAAATATCTTCCACTCTCTGAAAAGGAAGAGCAGAACAGTACTTTTCAAAGGACAGATGTGCACCGTATGATTTCCTGATCATCAGCTGTTACCCCTTTTCCCTCCTTTGAAGCACCCAAAATGCACCTATAAATAATGGTATAATCACGGGGCAAAATTGAGAAAATCTGCATGCTACCCTTTTGTTTAAGAAGTCTTTGTTTTCATTCAGTAGGAGTCTGCTGGCGCTGCAGCATTTCATCCCACTCCGGCTTCCCACCCGTTAACATTGACAACTGTGGGGGGGTTGACCTTGGCTCGGCGTGGGCGAGTGACCTCCAGGAGCCCCGATCAGTGAGCTGCAGTAACTTTAATTAATTCGCTCTCTTTACATTCAAAAATAAAGGTTTAACCGTAGATATGAGGAACGAGCAAACCAGATATTATGTGTTAATCGGTGAGCTGTATAAATGCGGCAGAGCATATTTTTGTAGCTTTGGACTCGGGATAAACTGGTACTATATTTGTGATTTGTGAGACCGATAACGATATTGATTTTATTGAGTATTAAAAAATATATGAATTTCTGAAATCATTTTTTTCAACATTGAAAAAACAGAGGACAAAATGTGACATTGACCGAACTTCTGAATGACCCTCCGCTCAACTAATGTGACTCTCCTGGTTCAAGCTTCACATTTACTGCAGAAATGTGTGATTGACATGAATCATCTAACCTTCTAAAAGAACGAAAATAGTTCCACGAATATCTTACTTTATGTCTACGTGGCGGATCGAGCCTTAGCGTACATCTGTAAAGATTTCTTTTTTTTCGTTGCACCAAAAAGTACTTTTGAGTTGTCTCCTTGTTATTAAGTGTGTTGAGCAGCTACATTTTCTCAAGTCTTTTCTCCTCCTCGGTGAAATTGATGATTTGAATGTTCAGACAATTGAATTTGTCTTAACCTTACAGCTTTTAAAGACTAGCTTTGTCCAGCCAATAACGCCCCTCCATGTAGCCTTTGTCTCCTCCCTCCTTCACTTCATTATGCCTTCACCAACTAATGTCCAGCTGGGAAAAAAACCAGATACTTGATTAATAAACTGTGCCTCTTGAGGGCATTTGAATATTTAAATACATTAAGAAGTATGTATTAATGTACAAGAGCGTGTGGCACGAAAAGAAAATTTGTTTTAACCTCTTTCCTTTTCTTCTTCTTCTTCTTCTTCTTCTTCTTCTCTTGTACTTGATTTCCTTTAGGCCTCACTGTATTTCTCCCATACAGCCATGAATCATAACACTGGAATATGCAAAACGCTCTGATCATTGTGGCCAGTGACCAGATCCTTTAGCATGTGGACAGTTTAAGTCCTGAGCATACTTCTTTTTGCCGGGGCACAAACAAAGGGCCTTATTTCTAGATCACTGTATAAAGATGTGATACTTGTGTATGAAAGTGACATGTAGTATTGGTAAGTTAAGCTTTTTTTTAACTGACATAAACAGCATGGAAATTAAAAAGAAACATAGTTTTTACATAGTTAATAGTTTGTGTAAACCAACAAGGAAAATATATCATGTGGACATAATTTGTATACAATGATGGAGTCATTGTTAATGATAATGGTCACTGTTGCTGTGGCAACAAAAGGACCACATGGCTACCTTCTATTACCGTAATTGTGAATTTCCTTTTTCACATCAATTAAAAGAACATACATCACTAACTTATTTAAAAAAGGGAATGTCTACTTAGTTTGTCTTGTTAATGCGACGTGATTCAATATTTCTTATGAAAACTCATTCTTGTTATACCGAATGGTCCTTGGGGGAGATCAGGTGTTTATTTAGTTTTGTTTAGTTGACCTCAAGTGTTTGTTTGTTTTTTTGTTCTTGTACATTGAGTTTTTGTGAAATAAGAATGAACTTTGGCTTTTAAAGCCAACACCTATCTGTCAGGAAGGTAAAGAGACTTGTGGACTAATAGAAAGATCTTTTTCTGTAAAAATCAAACAAGTCATCAGCACCGCTGGTCGCCTCTTTCCGACTGGATGCCCACCTCGCTCGGTTTGCTCCCAATGGAGGCTGAGGCTTCGTTATCCAGGTTTTTGTTTCCAGTTCTGGTCGAGGAAGTGGTTCAGAAGTCTCTTTGTGCCCAGCTGTGCTGGGTGATGTTGATCCTTGCTGAGGTGTATACGAATGTGTGATGTTCACCTTGTTTGCACTTATGTACATAACTATGTCAAAATACTCAAAATTTATTTTGAATAAAATATAGATAATAGAGTTGATTAAAAATCAAATCAATTTATTGTTAATGATACAAGTGTCTATCATTTATTTGTAGTTTAAAAAGATTGCTCTGAAGGATCGGCCCTTCTGTTTGTTTGCTAGAGCCCTGTTCTTTGCCAAGCATGACATTGCCTAGCTGTAAACCACAGATAATTTGCTTTAAGAACACTTCTTTTCAGTTGATCAACCGTAACATCTGACCCTGACATTGAACCAGAGAGAGGTTGATTGGAATAAATGGTCAGTCTGGATTCTATATACATCCACCAGGCACCTTGTCCTCTCTTCCAGAAACACACTGAGTATCTCCATGTGCGGCTGAACAGAAGCCAGTTAGAAAGGTGAAGCAGGTGATCCATCTGACTACAGAGGGACATGTATGAGAGATGGATTCACTTTACTTTTATCATTTGGTAAAATGGGTTTATTCTTTTCTCCCTCAATGCCATTATCCAAAACAACAATAAATCTGAATTCTCCTCAGGATATTTGTCCAAATTGCTAAAAACCTGGTTTTCCAATGATATTCTTGCTGCAGCAGCTACATCCTTACGCAACTGTGTTATTGCAGATTTGGACATCTGCTATTGAAGCCAGCGCTTTTTGTTGCCACGGCACTTGTCCTGGTGGTGGATTGACTGAGTCATCCCAGTGAGTTGGTTCCTCACATGTGGAGTGGACTTAACATACTGTGTATTTTCAGACACAAACGAGTGAATACGATTGTGATTTTGTTTTTGATTATTGTCATTATTTAAAACAATTAAGTTGTAATTGTGCCTTTATCATGCAACATGTAGTTTTTATTTTACATTCTACATTAGTATTGACTTAAAACAGCACATGTATTGTGTGTAAAACAGATCCCTTTATTTAAAATCCTTTGCCGGTTAGTGATTCGTTATTAAATTGGATTTAAGTGCAGACTGAATGGCAACCCGTGGAAGATGAAGAGGGCCAAAGACTGTTCAGGACTAAGCCATATGAAATATTATCTCTTGTCCCTCTAGGACAGACTTGAACGTGACTGCTGTTTCTTAGTCATCTGTTGTTTCACTCTGTTTTATGCTTGTGGTGCTTGTATGTGCTGCTGGCTTCATGCCAATTTCTTTTGCAGTGTACAGCTATTAAGAGTAAGTTACTGTGCCTATGATGAGTTCTGCAATTTCTGTTTGACCTTTAATAAAACACATGATCGTGATCCTTTCGTGGTCTGTTTGGTTCATTCTCTCTTACCGCTTGAAAGACATTTGCCGTGTATGTCTTGAATTGTGACCTGTTTCCTGTTCATAACTTGAAGATATTCAAGTATCTCATCATATTTTGATGTCAATGACAAAAAAACACCTAGGAAGAGGGATGATTAATAGCCTATGGCATGTAACAAATTGTTTTGCAGTGTATAGCTATAAAGAATAAGTTACTGTGCCTATGATGAGTTCTGCTATTGTAGATGCGGTGCGCCGGTATCCGCAGGGCTTGCAGTTCGAACCCCGGGTGCCCCATGTCCCATGTCGAAGTGTCCCTGGGCAAGACACCCAACCCCTAACTGCTCCCTGGGCATCTTTACGGCCGCACACTGCTCCCACTGTGTGGGATGGGTTAAATGCAGAGAACATTTTCCTGTATGTGTAAAATAATACTTGGCAATACAAATGGTTTCTTCTTCCATGTTTTGCTGCTCCAGTAAATCCTACGAGGTATTTAGGGTTCACTTCTGTCGAGAAGCTTTTATTCTGAAAACAGTCACACCGGAAACCTAGAGGTCGTTAGCGGAAGCCAGCTTGTTAGCATAAGGAAATCAGTTGGTGGAAAAAAGGCTTTCCTTTCTGCTATCGAACCTAAACAGCACAGAGTCAAACGCACATTGGAGCAGCAACAGACTGTTACCAATGGACCCTCGGACTAAGACATTAAATCTGCGGTGTGTCCGGGGATAGTGCGCCTGGGTTCCGAGGTGCCGGGCCGGAACCAGAACTAGGCCCGGACGGACGGACATAACCTGCGCTGCGTTTTGCGACACCGGCGGGCTGGTGTGTGTCTGTGGTTGTTTGTGCAGGAATTGGCATGTTGTTTATAGGGGAAGTTTAGCGTGTTTCGTCGTGACTTGCTGCCTGTAGCTAGACACCACGTTTTTTTTATTGAGTCCCCGGCACTTGTGGTTCAATCGGACGTAACGTCTCGACGCTTGAGCATGGGGCAGCGCGAGACGGAATTTAGCCAGAAGCGAGCTAGCGTCAATGCGAGCTAACGCCAGAGTTAACGTCCACGGACATCAACTTCCACTCGTTAACCAGCGAGGCGACGAACAAAAAAAGCAACGAGCATGAGCGACACTCCCAGGTTTCTGTGAATGAGGAGGACCTGTTTTATATCGCTAAACATTTCGCCAGTTAGCTCTTTGAAGGGCCTGGTAGATGTTCCTGGGGCGAGGATAGCAGTGTAGCTAAGTCGTTAGCTGCTAAGTTAGCCTCGACCGCTCCAATGAAAGAATACAAAGTGGTCGTGCTGGGCAGCGGCGGTGTCGGCAAATCCGCGCTGACCGTCCAGTTTGTCACCGGCACCTTCATCGAGAAATACGACCCGACCATCGAGGACTTTTACCGAAAGGAGATCGAGGTGGACTCCTCTCCCTCCGTGTTGGAGATTCTCGACACGGCGGGTACGGAGCAGTTCGCCTCCATGCGAGATCTGTACATAAAGAACGGACAGGGGTTCATCTTGGTCTACAGCCTGGTCAACCAGCAGTCATTCCAGGTACCTGATGTCACCTCACAAACACCTTTTTAAACCACGCGCATTAAAATGTTCCTAGGTCGGTGGGAGTTGCAGAGCCTTGCAGCATTCAAATGTCGCTGTGTCTTAAAAGACACCGTCGTTTGAATACAGCCCATAACAAGCTGCACCGTTTTACGCAGCTTTATTAGACATCACAACATCATGCAATTAAGAGACTAACAACAAATAAAGTCTTAATCATTCTACGTGTTAACCTGGCGTAAACTATCAAGCGTGTTAATATTGTTCCCGGTTAGAATCTGGGATTTGTGCCGTGTTTAACACAACTTTACGATTTAGCCAACATAAATTTAACAGACAACTCAAAAGGTTGAGCTGCTGCAGAAACGTACTGCATAATATCCCCATAATATACATGTTTTTATAAAGACTAATACTTGTTATGATGGAGTTTTACATGGGAACCTTTCGTAGTGTCCTAGTCCATACTAGATACACAATTTATACAGCATTTTTTGTACAGCAACTTACTGCTGTTCTAATTCTCATTTTATACTGTTTGCAGGTAAAATAGTGCCTGTATCTTCTCTATTAAATGGAAAAGATACTGCATTTTCAATGAGAAAACACTCAAATCCTCTCCCTTTGCATCAGGACATCAGACCAATGCGAGACCAAATAGTTCGAGTGAAGCGGTTCGAGAAGGTGCCGTTGATCCTGGTTGGGAATAAAGTCGACCTGGAATCTGAGCGTGAGGTGGCCGGGTCCGATGGACGAGCTCTGGCTCAAGAGTGGGGCTGCCCTTTCATCGAAACTTCAGCCAAGAGCAAGACTATGGTGGACGAGCTGTTTGCAGAGATCGTCCGACAGATGAATTATTCCACGCTGCCAGAGAAGCAGGAACAGTGCTGCACAGCCTGTGTGGTACAGTGAGAAAGAGGTACAAGCCGTTACATTGACATCCTCCTTTGCATGCTTGCGTTCACATACAGGCTGACCCAAAGACCACAGCACAGTTGGCGGCTCACTCATTTTCAAAATGTGATAAAATGTCCCTGCAATGTAAAATGGTTCACACTCTGGGGAGAAATGTGCCAAACGGATGACTGAGGCTATTCAGTGAAGTGGGAGGGAGGAGAGGTTAGAAGTGAGAGAGGAGTGGGCGGTGCCGCTTCGTGCAAATTGTTGGTTTAGCCTGTTGATATAAAGTATGTGGCATGAAGAACACAACTGTAAGAGCCGCTTAGGGCCGTAACAGACAGCACTGCAAACCGAGCCGGGGACAGAGAGAAAAGTGTGACATCCTGAAAAAATTATGTTCCAAAACAGGAAGTTAATTTTAGATGCTGTGAGAGGTGTTGCCAGTTTTACACGCACAGCTGCACACTGCCAGTTTTAGCCATTTCAACCTGTATTAATAAGCTGCTTTTTTTGCTTTTCTCTCCTTTCTTTTATTTTTAGATTCAGGATTTGTCCGGATCACCACAAGGATTTTGATGAACCATGAACCTCGGGACAAACTAACCAAAACTTACCGCAGAGGGTAGAGCTCCTGTTCAGTCTGGTTTCTAACTTTGTGTCACAGAGCATCTGACAGGAAAGACGTCTGACCTATTTTTGATATCATAACTGTTAGAAGACGTTTCTGCTGCAACCTCAACGGCCTTTTCGATGCTCCTGGATCGAGTAAGACTGACAGACTTATGAGTGAGCACGGCCATCGGTGAATTTCAGTCCGTGTTTGTTCTCATTTTAGTCGGATTGTATGCCAGAATAATAAGCAGGAGTGTTTGAGGTTGCAGTTTCTTTTTAAAGCTGCTTTAATCACTATTATATACTTTACTATTACTTGTATTGTGTCTCAAATTTGGAATCTGACAAAGTATTTCATCATAATGAAACATTTTAATTTTAAGCATGCACACTTCGACCAGTTTGCTGCCCACTTATGCTGCTCGCTGTATTTTGAGGAGGTGTCTATTGAAATTACTCAACCTGACACGAGCAACAGCAACAGTGCGTGCAATTTTTTAGCTTTTAGGAAAATTAGACTGGATGTAGGTGTGGATTAAACCCATAACATCGAGAATTAACCTTTTTTTTTAAATCTCAGTAGCCTGAAGCAGCTAAACTCATCTGAAAACGTGCATGCTCAAAATTGAAAATGTTTGACCAAGTCAACTTGAAGTGATAAGAATGAGCCATATTACTGTTATTAGCCTGAATTCATTCAAAGTCTCTACAAGGCATGAATCACGTGGACGCAGGTCTTCCATTTTTCCCAAGGAGTCTGTGGGGGATGATTTTGGAACGACCAAAGGAAGCTCGCAGTGCAGATTTGTGTTTGACTACATGACGTGTGTGGCTTTAAATTCTGGAGACGCTGATTTCTTGTCATCGAAGAACTCGCAGCAATGTTTGATAAAAGTTCTGGCACAGTTAATCAGATTTAACTTTGTCATTTTATTTTTCTTATAGTAACATATTTATTAAAAACTAACGACATGGGTAGCCAGTTTTAAACTTTTAAACTACTAGTCTTGCTTTTCGTGACTTTTCAGGATATCTGGTACATTGTTTTGTTTCTGAAGCTGAGCATTTAACAGAGCCTTAAATATTTTTTGTTGCACCCAGGTCTCTTGTTTCTTTTTCTTTTTTTCTTAAAGATATAAACATCTGTTGTCATTTGGTAATAAACCTGCTGGTCTTTCTGCTTTTGTTATTGTGCACTGTTAGAGGATTAACCTTTATCAATAAGTGATGTTGCATTAATACACAATATGAAACTAATATTCAGTCTTAACTATATGAGCGGGTCTTTCTGTGCAGAGCAATAAATGCAATACATTTAGAAAAGTGCGTGAGATTAAAGCAAATGCAAACCAACAAAACGCTATCTTCTAATACTCCTTGCTTATTGAACATACAATAACAATAATTTGAGGCCCTTGTGTTTTGTAGCCCAAGACAAGTGAAAGGAAAATCAACTAACCAAAGTCAGGCAATTCATATTTGAATTAGCCTTAATCAGTTGACCAGGTTCATGCGAGGCCGCTCATCACTGGAGGCGCATGAGAGGAAGATCAGATCAGCAGCAGTGTGCTGATGCTTCCTCAAGCTCATCTGTCAGGGGCAAGCGCAAACTTAACGGCACACACTGCTCGGATATTTCTGCTGGATTTTGCGGCTGCGTTTGCTTTTCATAAGTTTCATGAACCGTCATTAACCGGCTCTTTGATGTGACACGCCTGGACTGACATGTCCAGGAAATTGATCTGTGAGTGATGTTGGTGGACTTAATCCAGGATCAGTGCAGATTAGTACAATCACCAGACGTGATTGTCTTTTTCCATGGTTATCACCTCAAGCACTATATCTACCAGCAGCTTTGTCTTTGGTCCAGTCTTCACCTTTCCAGAGTCCAGAAAAACTCTTTAATAGGGAGATGTTTGTAGACACAGCATTCAAACTTTGTACCTCCTCTCTAACTCGACGGGGACCATCCTGCATGAAATGAACAGAGGGTTCGGAATCATTTCGTATAAGAGCTGTGAATCAGAATAATACTCAGCTTGTGATTGTTTCAAAGTGGTCAGATCAAGTGTGACATTGTTCTTTCTACAGAGCAGCCCGATTGACAACACCATCGAAGATTAAACCTCTAGACAAGAAACAAGGATACACACATTTAACCAAACAATACAAAGACAACGATAATCAAGACATTTTATTTGAGATGAAGTTGCATATTAATTTTAAGATTGCCTGTTGCAGAAAAGAATCTGTAGGCCTATTACCTCATCAACCTAATTCGTGGTAACTCTGATTTCATGGTAAGAATTTGTATTCACTGGCCAGAATGAATGTTATCATGGAGGTTTCACAGTCTATGAGGATATCACGGGGCATTTTAATATGTTTTAACTGTAAAGAAGTGATATCTCTATTTCATGCGAAGCTGTGCAGCTCAGAGACATCGAACTAGTATTTTTCCACTGAAGCCGTTACAGCTCCGGGCCTCGGGGGGGCGACGTCACAGCGAACGACCGCGCGTGTGTTTACACGGTCTTGGCTGTGACGTCACGTGCCCCATGCGGAAGTAGCTGTCGGTTCAGAGCTGTAGGACGAAGAATGCGACGTGAGGAAAAAGCCACGAAGTGCTTTGAAAAACAAAAGAAAAAGAAACACTCCTTGTAAACCTGTTTTTATTTGAGAAGTCATGAGGACGGTGTTCGTAACCGTCGGCACCACGAGCTTCGATGACCTCATCGGAAGCATCACGTGTCCGCAGAACGTACAGGTGAGTCATGTTTGTTATCATCATGAGTGAAACGCAATCGCGTATCGATGGCACAGGAAGTCTGCAGAGTACCAGCACCACAGGATGGGGCATCTTAAAAGCAAGCAGAGCGAAATGCACAACAATTTGCTTCTGAAATGCACGTACAAGCATAACTTCGCATATAATGCGTGTACTCAAGTTAATTACGATTAGCTCAAATTTTTACTGGTACAGTAATTGGCATAACATTAATGCCTCTGTTTGGAGCGGGGCAGATTTGTGAACCTTTGACCAGCTTTATAATAAGCTCATTTTATTCTCCCTGCAGGCCTTAAAGGCTCGTGGATATGAGCGTCTGGTTCTTCAGACTGGAAGAGGCTCTATTGTTCCAGCGGCTGACAGCTGTCCAGATGTCAGACTGGAGGCCTATCGGTTCAAAGACTCTATAGCAGAAGACATCAAGCAGGCTGACCTCGTCATCAGCCATGCAGGTTAGTAAAATAGAAAAAAAGCTTTTTCCATAAGCTTAACTGCTATCTACTGTTTGTTTAAAAAAAGACAATGTGTGCATAATAAATATTAAAAGCATCGGCCAGAAGCTGCAGAGAAGACCGGTACGTCAGCAGTGTCCAAACATGAAACACCTTTTTTTGTCCTCAGGAGCAGGAAGCTGTTTGGAGGCGCTTGAGGCAGGTAAACCTCTGCTGGTGGTCGTCAATGACAAGCTGATGAACAACCACCAACTGGAGATGGCCAGACAGCTGCACAAGGACTCCCACTTGTTGTACTGCACCTGCAGGTATGTGTGAGTTAGTAGGTGTAAGGTTGTTGAGCGAAACAAAAGTAACAAGCCTATTTTTTTTTTCCTATATATTTTTTAAATATATTTCAGCACTCTGACAGAAACCCTGAGGACGATGGATCTCTCTGTTCTGCAGCCCTTCTTGCCCGGACAGCCCAAGAATTTCGCAAATTTCCTTGACAAAGCCCTCGGTATTTAGAGATACTTTTATTTTCGTTGTTGTTTTTCTGTTAAAGTGATGCTTGATGGTCTTTTAGAATATTATGTCTTAATAGATATAATTATTTATTATAATTGTACAGCACATCTGACACTATTTTCGTATGCAATAATAATATATCTATTATTTCAAATCATGTGTCGTGTGAATTACTTGAATATTCTAGATTTTGTTTTTATTTATATATATATATATATATATATTATATTATATTTATCTTCATTTTTATATGTAGCCTATATTAATATTGATTTTTTTTGTTTGTTTTCGACTTATTTATAAGGCAAACTAAAAGACATTTGGCATCACAGAAAGGATGGTTGTATTTGTTCTTGCCACTAGGTGAGACGTACCAGCACGTAAACCCCAACTTCTTCTATTCCAAACTGCAAACAACACACGCAGACAGTTGGTAGCTTTTTGTTTGCTTTGTCTTGAGCCATTTTTAAGGGTAGTTGTTGATGTTCTAGGTAGAATCTAACTACGTATATTTATATGCCATGACTACCTTTTTCTTCCCTCTCAAGTCTACTCTCAATCTGCTGAAAAGCTGGAGCAGCAAGCTTGAGTAAGTAGGCTGAATAAGAGGGTGTTGAACGCCGTAGCCTGCAGGAAACTGGTAAATATTGTATTTACGTGCACATGTACATGATCACTGCTGATTCATCATTTTTTCAGTCAGTTTCTTCACATGAAGAGGTTTTGTTCAACAGGAAATGATGGGTTAAAGGCAGCATGTATGGTAGTTTGGCTTCTCAAAGTCTGTGAGTCAGAGCTGGAAACATTTTGGTCCACATTCTATTACTGAGACAGAATGTTTTGGCTTTGCTGACCAGATTTGTTGACCAGATTTAAAAACCGGTTAATGCTTCTGGTACAACAGGTTAACAGCCCAGTTGCTCCAGCATTTAATAATGGTACAGTGTGGTGTTATTTTCCTGTTTCCCTGTCGATTGGATGTCAGGTAGCTTGATGAAGACAATAATCTCTCACATCCCTGTCACCAAAAAACAAAGTAGCGTACTTCCTTCTTAGGAAAGTCCCGTCTGTCTTGTTTCTTGGAGAATTTCTGTGCACTAAGTGAGGCACGGCAGCTCTCAGAGTGTGGATGCACCAGCCAGCTGTCAATGCTATTTCAAAAGAGGTAAGGCAAAACTACCCCATTGAAATACCATTATGCTTGAATGTTGATACTGAAAGGTCAGCAGTATCATTTTAAGTCTGGCCAGGGCTCTGAACAAACCACTAAATTGGCTCCGGCACAATTAATAACACTCCAGTGTTGTCATTTTTCAAGTCAATATCTCTTTTGAATATTTTATATCTAAAACGAAACTGTTTTTTACAATCAATTACACGTTTCCTTTTTTCAGCTTCTCAAATGTGACGATTTAATTTTTAAAACAAATCCCTGACCGAGGAAGCCTCGTATTGCAGTTATCCGTTTGGTGTTCTCCCCTCAATCAATTAGGACAGTGGCTAAGTGGTTTAGACCGGTTCTGCCTGCCGCTCCATATGATTCACATGATGTTTGTGCAAACTGCATGTTGATCTAATAGAAATGGACAATCAAGGCCTGTGTCACTTGTTTTCCCCAGAGCTTCTCAGTCAGCTTTGGTTTTACTCAAGTTTGTTCCGTTTGGAGCATTTGGGAAGTCACTATGAAGCTTTATGATTAAATGAGCACATTAATTAAGTACTTAATGTTGAACTCAAACTCATCAACCACATTTGTTTTCATTTCCACTTTCACAAGACAGAAGTTTCCACAGAACGGAGCATAATCTCAAAAAGAAAATGTAAATTTCGTCAAATTGGGGAACTACATTAGTAGTTAGTGGTAGTTCTGTAACAATTCGAAAAATTATGTATGCACGCTTAACACATGCCGATTGTCTTCAGCAGCAGTTGGTAAGAAAGTAAAAAAAACACAAAGTAATTGATGGGGAGAGAGAACAACCTGATTTTGAAGCAATTGAATTCCGAAATGACTGATAAAGAACAAACGTCCCATTCTTCAAGACGAGACAAGACTGAATAAGTCCACACAAAATGTTACAATTGTGTCAAAGCAAGCCTGGCTGTAGTGGTTGGCTGTGGACATCTCAGTTAATCAATGCTTGTTGTGTTTACTTTAGGACACGAACATCAATGATACTTGTTGTCTTTGCCTTTGTGACGTTGTAAAATCTTGATGTATGACAGCATGATAGTTTAGATTAAACCGTCTCGGGTTAGATGACTTTGATGCAAACGTATCATTGTCATCTAAGAGAGCTATGCTTTATTTACAATTAAGTGCCTTGTAAGTTGTTGTGACATTCTTTCTTTAATGTAAGATGAGTAAAATTAGACCATGTGCTATAGCATTACTATGACATAGTAAAATGTTTTTTATGTGATACTGAAGAAAATTTATTGAATGTTGGGGGAGAAAAAGTATAGGACTCCTTGTATTTCCTTTGCAGAGTCCTTTCAAGATTTTGCTTGATTGTAAGTAGTATGGCTCACCCACACCCTAAAACACTCCCAGAAACGACCAATACGCGTATGACTTATGTGGTAAAGTCACATGCCATCTGATACAAACTGTGTCCATCCCACCCAGCAGGATTATTCGGATGATTTTATGATCTGTGTTCCAGATTTCACGGCCTTTCTGGGTTCGACCACTCGTATCATAACAAATAAAATGAACACAACTCTGCTTTGTGAGACTGTTGTTAACTTTTTCCACATTTCCTCAATGTAAAGGCCAAGTATGTTCTAGCAAAACAAAAAAAAATAAACTGGCATAAAATAAAAAAGGGTAAATCTATCCTCCGAGAGCCAGTTGTCAGTGTGCCCATATGTGGGTGTGTGAGGGGGGGCGGGGGGGGTGCGGTCTTCGCCTCTCTGCGTGGTTGTTTGCAGATGTTCATTAGCATTTTGGAATATCACCCTCCGTCAGGCTCCGCCCACCGCGCGCTCCGATTGGCCCGCGCTGTTACCGGAGCTCCTCGGCTGCGCTCCGGGAAGGTTTTCCTCCGCTCTCTCCCGGTCTCAGTCTCCCGGCTAGAGGCGGACTGACTGCGGCCAGCGGCAGCCCTGCTCCCCCTCCCCACCCACCCATCCCCCTTTTCTTTTTTAAGCTAGCTCGGAGGGCAACCCAGAAAAGACGAAGAGCCGCATCCATGCAATAACTCACTTTTGTTTTTTGTAAAATGATCATCTGTCGGAGTAAAATGGAGTACCCCCTGAGAAGCCAGCGCCAGCGAGCCCACAAACAGGTAACGTTAGTGGGGGTAAAGCCGAGGGAGGACAAAGATGTTAAACACTGCTGGTAGTTTTAACAGTTAAAGCTAGCGGCTAGCTTGAGAACCGTTCATTCATTTGCTGAACGGATGAACGTTATTTTATGTCCAAGATCATTTCTCAGTCAGGTTTGCTGGCTTTTTTTCTCTCCTGTTTTTGTTGTTGCTTAAAATAACACGTTTGGGCAGCAAACATCCGATAATGTAAAGAAGTCTATTTTTCAGTTTTTTCATTTAATTTTTTTTAATCCCTGAACTTTCCAACTTGTCAGGCAGTAACGTCCCGTCCGCTAGCGTTACAGGGGCTGTACGTTAGCGAGCACGCGACGCCGTAACTCAAACTTCTGACCCCGCGAGCTAACTCGGGCTAACGGCCGCTCGCGCGACCACACGAGCGGTTAAATCCCTTCTGTTAGAAAAATGCCCGGCGACTAGTTTTCATTCATTTGATTCAGATCTCTTGACACATTTAGTAGTTTCACACCCCCCCCCGGCCATTGAAATGTCACGCTAAAAGCTCGCAACGTTTCCTCTCCGGTTCTTTTTAAACCGACGTTGGGAAAAGTAAACGTAACGTTATATCTAACGTGCTAATGTAAGTATATATATATATATAGTATAAGAAAGACGAGCCGTTGGCTGTCAGTCGTGTGCCTGCATTCACTGTGATTTAAAGCCTCCCAACGCAACGCAGGGTCTCCCTTTGTTGCTTCTCCATCGATGATCTTAATGTCTGCGTTTCATCGGTGTCTATGCTCGACGTTTACGTAAAGTATTAACGTCCGAGTGCAGTAACGGACCGAGAGCTTTGCAGAATGAGGAGAAATCTGTAGGTGACGATGACATCATCTAAGGATTTGGGACCAAAAGTGTCTTGTCAGTTCGGTGGCTGTGAAGTAATGCAGGGCCCTTTATTACTCATGAATCAAATACGGAAATGCTTTTAATCCGAAAAGGACACCTGCGGATTGCATATTGTTTCTGGCACCAGGTTGCTTCAAATGTTGCCGACTTTTATTGTGCTGGGGTTTTTTTGCTCGCTGAACTGGACTGCCAATCAAAGTTGTTTTTCTCCACTGACGCTGTTTTTCCCTTTTGCAACAGAAGGGGGGCGCTGTCTCAAGTGCAGTACCGAAAGACGTGTTTGCTGCAGATTAGAGTCCAGAAATGGAGCAAAACAGGGAGGAATGTGAGAGGCATTGGATTCAAAACCCTCTACCCTAGTTTAAGAATTTGGGTTTCTTCTGACTGTCTCTGTTTTGCTGTTCACATTTATGTGCATACATTACATTGATGGCATTTGATAACGTAATCGTCTTTAACTGGGGACAAACATTCAGTATTTGAATAAAGATCTATGTTTATGCGAAACCAAATACATACAGCCACAGTACTTAAAGCACTTATTCTGTGGAAATAAACAAGAATTTGGCATCCAGGTCAGCACCACTCCATCTGAGCACCTGCCTTTTTGTTAGGATAACCTGCACGTTCCCGGACTGGTCCGGGAATGAGACTGGTAATAAATGTCCTGCTTATCGGTGGAGGTCCCTTTGGGTCACCGCCCACCCCAGGTAGGGAGAACACCTGGGGTGTCCTTTGACAGGTCCCATAACTCCTCTACTGTGTGCGCATGGCTTTCTTTTATCCTTTGTATCCTGCAGGACAGGCTTTTGTTTGTCTTGGATATGTTGTATGTGCTGTCCTGCCCGGCAGCTCGTTTTCCTCCCCTCGTCTCCTCCCCTCTCCAAACATCTTTGTGCTGCAGCTGGTTTGTTTTGCACTGCTGGCTGAGTTCATGTTGCAGGGCCGAAATCGGCCCTGGGTGCTGGTGTTTTCGGTGATTTGGGGCAGCAGGGTGTGGGGGCGGCGGGGGGTTAATACCACCATGACCCCGGCGCATGATAAGGACGGACCCCTTCCAGGCTCAATCGGAATGCAGATTGAATGTCCTTCTCATGTATCTGCAGCAGCCCCCCCCAACTGCAGCCCACCAACACCACTACAAACCCATCTCCTCTCACGCGGACACATTTACCATTGCTAGGAAAACTGCTGGCATCAAAGTTCTTCTTCCTTATGTGGGATCTTGGTCATTTCTATTTCTTCACTCACCGCGCTGTTGTTTTGGTTGGTAGCCTGCTGTCACAGTCTTTGTCTCCGTTTACCTTTCCTTCCCTCAATTACGTCATCCCTGTTTTTCATTTCATCCTTGCCTCTCGCTCCTCTCTGATCAATAAACCAATGACCTGGTGGGAAGGGATGTTTTTTTCCATTTTATATCAAATCTTCGTTTGTGAATTTTTACCCACAATAGGCCCTTTTTTTAGTTCTGTTCTATGCCACCAGACTACAAGTTTGTCATCTTGTGATTTGAATATAGAAGCGCTCTAATATCAACACTACCATCCCACCCTCAAGCCTGGTTTTTGATAGGAAATAAAGCTACTGGGCGTACTGCACAGAACTGATACCTTTGTGTGCACAAATCCTAATTGTGCATCTCTCATGCTGTTTGCATTTATTGCATAGTTGCTCAAATGTTGATGCGTGCCTTTTGGCTTTATATATCAACCGGCGCGCACTTGTTAACCTTTTTGTTTTCCGTGTGGGTGGACAACAAGGAGCATATCGCCTTGCACTGCTGTGTGCAGAATTTGTGGTTTGTTTTCAGACGATAAAGCAGTGTGGATGGGTGTCTGGGTGTTTTTGTTTTTTTTAGGGGACATTTGAAAAGGCGAAATTCCAGATGGACTCTTTCAAAATCAGGGAAGTTTTAAAAACATCGTCACAACCGTACTGTGTATTGTTTTTAACTGCGTGACTGGCATCATTATAATTTTGCTTTCAGGATAGCAGATGTCAGCAGACCGCGACATATTGCAGTCAAAGTTGTGTGATGCATTTCCTGCTGCGCGACTTCATCAGCTGTAGTTCCTGTTTCAGTTTGACTTTTCTAGAATTTGTCCAGACATGTTGACGCAATTTCACAAAACACCAATTTCCCCTTTGATTGCTCGACGTCGCCTACGTCTGTACAAGAGTAAGTGCGGCCAACTTATTTTACTGTCCTTGTCTCCGCCGTAGATGGAGAATAAAGAGCAAATTGAATGACAGTAGCTTGGTTGTTGCCTTTTACACAGCGGTGTTCTTCTGCATGCCATTTCCACTGGTTGTGCGTTTGGGGAAATTTCAGCCCAGTGAGTCCCAGTGTGGATGGTGCTGTCTCAATGACTCCGGGATCGCTGAATGAAGTCATTTCGACTTGAGCCGTTGCCAACGGTAACCTTTCACCACATTCATTTACATGAAGAAATCCTGTTTTCTTTGACGTTCTGAGCAAAAACTGGAGCAGGTCAAAGTGTCCCAGAGTTATTGCGCCGCCAGGTCGTGTGTCCCACTGCGATAGGGTTGTGTGTTACGGTCTCTGTGGGATCGTCTGGTTTGTCATGAGCACATTTTTCATTCGATGTTTGTCTTAATCTGAAATCAGAGAGATGTATTTTTTTTTTTTAGCTATGGATGTTGTGCTGCCGTATAAAAGTATAAAAAAAAGAAAATAATGTGCCTTTTGTGCATCTTGGTCCCACCTTGGCCTTTCATAATTAGTGTTTCAATCATAGCTTATTCAATGGACAGGAAGGAGGCAGCTAAACAATCTCCCTTCTTAACTGCTTGACGATTTGAACGTGAAGCCCGCTGTCTGCATCGTGTCGAGTAATCCCTGAAATGCCCGTTCGTCTCTGTGACCCCATCAGTCGGTGCTACGTGGAGCAGTAACCTAGATTCTGCAGCTCGGCATGCTAATCGGTAACGCCTGTGTTTGCTGAGAGATACTTCCGTAAATGTGCTCTTGAGGTCTTTGATTGGCAGGCACCCGTGTGCTCCATGAATCCTCCGGACTATTTCTCATGTCTGTTGACAGACAACAGCTGGTCAGGGTCCGGCTCGCAGTCAGTTTCATTTAAGATCCTTCTTCACATTTTTTTGTAGTTTGTCTTTCTCTTTCTGTAAGATAGGCTTCCTCTTTTTGTTGAATAAGTGATGGGAATTTCAAATAATTAGACTCCTTCGTGCAACATGAGGTATGCTAACACGTCTTTCCAGACCGCGGCGTATGTGGGTCAAGAGGTGGAGCCTCGAGCAGGATCAGAAGAAAAGCCTCGTCCACTGCAGACAGAAGTGAAATACCACATGGAGCGATCGGCCACATTAACATGGCGATGAATGTCAGAGAGCGAGGGGGCTCCCTCACACCCAGGGGCCATTGTGTGCCGGTGAGGGCCGTAATCAATGGCTGTGTCTATGAGGGCAGCTTCTCCTCCACATGCCTCTGTTGCTCTTGGCCTCCAGTTGCACCCATGTTTGTATCTTTGGTCCCAACCAACTCTGCGCTGCTGCAGGTTCCCTCTTCAGGGCCTCTTAAGCCCAACTTTCACATTTAGCTTCTTCATCTGTTTGGCCGTTTTTTTGTTCACTGCGTTCCGATTCTTATTTCCAGCACAGTGTTCCGCTTGTTTTACATGCATAAAGAATAATGTAAGGACCTGACTCACTCGCCCCCGTTATCACAGTGTGTAACATGACTCCAAAGCAGGAGCCCGAAGTCCTACCCCTCTTCACCCAACTTGCTTTGACTATAAAATGAGTTCTAATAATTCAAAGGACAGTCGGCCTTCGTTGCTGGTTTTTGCATCCTCTTTTCCGAGGGCCATTGATATGTACGCTGCATTTCCAAGGAAAGATAATCTGTTTAATTATTTCATAAGAACTACAAGTTCAATGAAGAGATTTATCGCTGTCACTTTTAAGCACTTTTTAGCAGTTTATTTTCTTTTGTGATCGCTGGATTATTTTCTTGATTAACCAACCTGCGCTCTGTCCCGGTTTCCGTAGGTGATGGTGAACGGCGAGAACGAGCGAGTGTCGCTGCTGTTCATGAAGGCGGTGGTCAGCAGGGGGAGCGTGGACGCCGTGTCCCAGCAGATGGCCTCTCACCCTCAATACTTGGAGAGCTTCCTGCGCACACAGCACTACATCCTGCACATGGACGGCCCCCTGCCGCTGCCGTACCGCCATTACATCGCCATCATGGTCCGTTTGCAGGCCATCCTCGTTTTATACATGTGCTCCGTAACTCGCTTACGTTTGACTGTGGGGTCACTCATTTTAAAAAGAATAACAATCACTTATTGAGTTGATCATTTTTGTCTCAACGGTCTCCTCTCGTGATTTTCAGGCTGCGGCACGACATCACTGCAACTACTTGGTGTACCTGCACTCGGCCCAGTTCCTGCGGGTGGGCGGGGACCCCCAGTGGCTGCAGGGTTTGGAGGCGGCGCCGCCTCGTCTTCGTCTCCTCGATCACATCAACAAGGTGCTGGCCCACCAACCCTGGCTCACGGCCTGCTCACACTTCCAGGTACAGCGACGCGAACCACACGCTGCCGAGATAAAGATAAAGAAAGCGTGTCCCTGAGCTCGTCACTGACCTCGGCTCCCTTCCAGGCGCTGCTGAAGTCGGGCGAGCAGTGCTGGTCTCTGGCGGAGCTGGTGCAGGCCGTGGTGATCCTGGCCCACTGCCACTCCCTCTGCAGCTTTGTGTTTGGATGTGACACGGACACAGACGCAGACTTTGTCCCGTCGTCCAAATCTCCCAACGGTGTCCCGCCGACCTTCTGCCCCTTCGATGCTGCCAACGGCAACGCCAACGTGCCTCAGTCGCTCGCCACTCCCTCCGAACACAGAACTCGAAGAAGGGTCAGTCTGGTCTTTTAGTGTAATTTGCTTTGGCACGTAGAACCATTTTATCTTGAGACGTTATGAATATACAGAACATAGGACCTCTTACATGAAATATTTCATAGTTTAAATGACATGTTTGGCTAGCGTTAAATGCTAACTAATCTGTGCATACATGACAGAAAAGTGGAAGATGCATTTTCTCATGATAACGATTATTTCTGTCAACTGGCTTTTGCGTCGACAGTCTCTGGACTCCAGTTGTGACATGGTGTGTCTCAAGGAGAGGATCCAGAAGTCCCAGGAGGAGCGCGAGAAGCGAGAAGAACGCCTGCTACAGACACACACACTCCAGCAAACGGGTAACCTTCCTCAGCAGATAACGAGATGACACCGCTGCCATCATCCCTCTCACCTCTCCCGGTTATCTCGCGTGTTACATTAACGCCGGCGTGGTTTTCAAACCGCGATTACTGACGCTCTCTCTCCGCCTCCCCGTCGCCTTTTCTTTCGTCGCCTCTTTTTTTTTTAGATGCGGAGGAAGAAGACGAGACGATGTGCTTCACGGACCCGACGCGATTTATCACAGACCCTGACTTGTGCTACCAGGAGTTTGCCCGCAGAGAGGAGGACCACTTTCAAGTATTTAGAGTTCAGGTGAGGGAGTTTTGTGTCTGTAGATGAGTGGTGTTGTCGGATGACCTTGTATGTGTGTTAGAGGTACAACCTGACAATGACAATGCTTTTTATATAATACCAGGACTCTGACACAAGTTTCCATATTCCCTCATGTATTTGCCGATTTGTGTAGTAAATACAGCCGGTTTTACTGGATTGGCATTTGACGTGTAGTTCTTTAAAGTTACTGTATGCCGAGAACACATTGACTTCAGATCCTGGCTTGTGTTTTAGAAGATGTGCATGTAGGTTTACATTTAGGGTACATAAAGGATTTGGACATTGCTGGACTTTGGCATTTGATGATTTTATCTTTATCATAAACCAAAATCCAAATCTTGCTGGCTGTAAGGACGTGTTTTCTCTGCAGGACTATTCGTGGGAGGACCACGGCTTCTCATTGGTCAATAGGTTGTATTCGGACATCGGGCACCTCTTGGACGACCGGTTTAGGAGCGTGACCACCCTGCCCACGATGCACAGCCCCGACTTGAAGAGGGCCATCTGGAACTACATCCATTGTGTGTTAGGAATACGGTGAGACAGTCAGCGTCCTTTGTGACTCACAGACAGGCCTCTTTGGGCTCAGGAGATAAATCTGATCTGAATCTGTTGGTGTCTGCAGGTACGATGATTACGATTACGGAGAAGTGAACCAGTTGCTGGAGCGAGATTTCAAGCTGTACATCAAGGCCGTCGCTTGTTTCCCCGATGCCACCAAAACTCTGGTGTGTCCGCTGAGTCTGGCTCCACTTAAGACCTCAGAGCGGGTAAGAAGACCGTCGCTCATGACTCGGTCCTTCTAACCCCTTTCAGTCCTCCGTGGGAATCACGTTTCTTTGTCTCTTTTTTTCCCCCCTTTAGATACACGTTAATTTACTAATCATGGAGGCCCGTCTGCAGGCTGAGCTGCTATACGCTCTGAGAGCCATCACCCAGTACATGATTGCCTAAGTGCTCGGAGAGGCCCAAAGTTCAAACTCTCCGCCGGTACAGAGAGACCCAGAGACGCGAGGGAAATCCGAAGTGCGACAAGAGCGGCGCATTCGAAGACACGGAGCTCAGTAGTTTTAGGAGCTTGTGGAGGCGCGTGTCTTTTTCTCACATTCAATGTATTTATACCATAGTGTGCCATGCCCCCCTCCCCCCTCCCCCCCCACCCTCCTCCTCTTGCAGACTATTCTCGTATCAAACATCTCGGCTCTTATATGTTATGTGCAATTATTAGAGTTGTTTTAATTTTTTACATGTTTCGTGTTTTCAACTCGCTCTGTGAGAAGCAGCGTGGTTGTAGCAGCGTGTTAAGGTGGCCAATACTCTTAGTGTCATCGTCACCTTAGTATTAACTATGCTTTCCCTCCCCAAAGAATATCTTTCAGTACAAGGCGAATGGGGGGACCAGGCCCCCGGTTATATTTGGGACAATCCTTGTCAGTGTTGGAGGAGGACACAAAGTGGACCGTGAGGGACGACAGTTTCTCTCTAATATTTGGTATTAAAGCTGGTCAAGAACAAACACGTCAGTTACACTGCTGGAAGTTATCACTATAGTTTCTTTTAATAAGCACTTTTTTCAACTTTATATATTTATAATGCAAGGTAGCTCATTGGTAGACATTGTGCGTGTGTGTGTGTGTTTGTGTGTCTGAGTCTGAAGCCTTTCTCCGATGTATGACTAAAATATTTAGACCGTGTCCTCAAACTTTCAGACTCTACTTTTGGTTTCAACCCCAAATTCCTAAAGTGAAGTACTTTGATCGGGCATATTCCAGTGAATTATTTCTCCAATTGAAGACGCACGCAAGGCTTTTCAAGGCGATGTCGTCCAAACACACGACTTCCATCCAATGAGCGCATTTGTAACCACACTTAAGAGGTCGTTTCCCTACAGTGAAGAGTAAGCTGAGCCATTTGCGTAAAGGTTTGTGTGCTTTTTGTATGGATGTGCTTTTTAAAGAGATCAAACCAGAGACTGATTCTCAGTCTGAAGTTCATTAAAGAAACGCTACAGCAAAGAATTGGATCGACGAGAAGTGTTGATCTTCTTCACTGCTCGGGAGAAGGTTGAGTTCAGATTTTTGCTCCAAGCTGATTATCAAGTCAAAGTTCACGGTACTTTTAGCAAAGCAGAACAATGCGCAAACTAGTTGTTAAAACACTTGTATCTTTTAAAAAATGTTTTTATAGTTATTGTCAACTATAGAGTACTTCTTTTGTTTTGCTTCTGGGTGTATCGGTAGGACCTGCTTGTTGTGCTGCATTCTGGGTAGACGTAGCGGTGTGACAGGCTGGTTAGTTAGTAACTGCAGGACGTAGAAAAGAAACCAGTGCATATCGAGCATATAAAGCAAAAGCGCTGTTAACACAGGTGCCTTCAGTGCTGCTGAAGTGGAGGGATGTGATCACTGGAGGCTGAATGCGGGGTTTTGGTGGTTGCTGGGAAACACCCCGAACAACAAGTTTAAAACTTGTGGCTTTTCCTGCATGAACGGGAGCGTTTTTTTCTTGGTTTTGGTCAGTTATGTTTGATAAATATCACGGCTGTGAACACCTACAATCCCCGGCGAGCCAGCTAAGAGCCTTTTGACGCAGATGGATGTTAAAAATGTTCAACTTGAGCAGTTTTTATAGAAATGATCTATTAAAAAAAAAAAAAAAAAAAAGTGAAAAAGCCAAAAAAATGTTTTTGGGAAAATGTGAAGAATTGTTTTCTATAAAGATGCTCTATGAAAATAACTGCTGTGTTTGGTTTTAATTTCTTCGACATGATACGTCAATAAACATACCAGTGCATCATGTGTTTATTTGCTTTGTCACATTTATTTAACTCTGTTTTAGTTTTACCTCACTTGCAGCTGCTTTCAATTACTGCTGATGTGACCATACAAGCAAATACGTTTAATTTTTTTTATTAACAATCTTACTTTGTTTGCTCTTTCTGAAGCTTTCCGGCTCGGTACATCGTTCGGTCAGCTGATGAGATCACGAGATGCAGCTAAGAGTAAATAGAAGCTACCAGTCACAGTGTAAATAGTTTTGGTTAAACCACTTAGTTTTTTTTCTAAGATCAACAATAATGTCATTACCATGTGTATTAACCAGCTGTATCTCCATGGTACTTATTTGCTGCCATGTAGTTGCAGTAGTTTATTCCCGAACTCCAGCGGCCTCTAGTGGCAGCTGTGCAGAACTGAACAGCCAACTTTGCACCAAAGACAAAGCAAGTTAAACATTTTTATTGATTTATTTCTGATTTTCAGAACTGTTGGTCATCCGTGGCTGAGTTTACACATTTTGAAGAACTTGATGGATTTGGAGGGGGTGGGGGGGCAAAGACTATCAACACAAATCAAAAATCACAAACATAATTGGCTTATGCACAACTCATTATTCCCTGTCCACCCAACGGAAGAAAAGCCCTGGCTGAAAACTAAAATACTGTATCAAATGGGCCATTTTTAACTTTCAAAACAAACATACGTAGACTAACTGCTACTTAAAGAAAAGTGAACAACATATGAAGATAAGTATTCGATAGAGGGGGAAATACAAGGGAAGTAATAACACCACACCAACCCAGTAAACTAGAGACATCCAACCAGGTGCCACGACGCACCTTCAAACGTCAATAACATTCCCAACATCTGCACGTTAGTTGAGAGAAACTGGAGGAGTTGTTGGATTTACAACTTTCTAAAAGAATTAAATGTTGTGATTTAAAATAACAATAAAATCATGCAGCCGGTCTTCTGTTTCCAGATCTACTTAACGACCAGTTCAGAGGGGGGGGGGTTATACATTTATGTAAAAACATAACAAATGGAGAGAGACTGTTGATCTTTGTGTTGGACACAGACAATTCAAAAGGCCTGATATGCAGCCACAGCATCGGGCCGTTCGTCAGGACGCGTCAGAAATGACACCTAGCACCATAAGAAAAGTACAAAAAGAACAGAGTGCTTTATAAAAATCAGAGACTACAATATTCACGTAACTACAGTGAAATAAGTGAAGAGTTTAAACTGCTGGGATGTTATTTCTGATCACAAACACGTTGACACGTGACACGTTACAAGAGTAATTAAATACAAGCACAAAACATAGAAACAGAAGGGGGCGGATGACAGAATAAAGTCATGCTATAGTGTTTTAAATATTGGCAGTCAAAGTAAAACCCAAGGAGTAGTATAGTAATGATACGCATTGCTGGGGAGCTAGAATACATCTCTATAACGGGAGGTCAGATTGGAGGTCCACTCTTTTTAAGAGTGAAAACCAAACACACAGACGTGGCGCGAAAATGTGCACGATAAACGTTTGTTACGTTATCTTCCGATTACATCTGTGCTTTTTCCTGATGTTTCCTCCCCGAGAGGTTGTATTTGCCTCGTTTTGAGATGAGAATGCGACGACGTGTTGAAAAGTGGGACGATGAAGGTTTTTTTTTTATCTTCTTTTCGTCGTGACACGTTTCAGTGCAGATCTTTTAACTTCTATTTACTTGGATTCACAATTAATGCAGAAAATAATGAGGCAGATCATCAGGATTTTTGTTTATCGATGCCTCACTCCACTCTCAAAGTCACACATCACGTTGCAGGCATCTTTTGCAAAGCTTATGTACACCGAGATACTGTCAGGCCCAAGCATCCCGAAATATCATGCAAGTATTAGTGTTCCTTTGGTTACGTAAAAAAATCTACATGCATCTCATCCTTTACAAAAATACAAGTATAGAAAATGACCGTTAAAAATGATCTGAGAATGCTTCCTCCAATGTAAAAAACACTTGTCATTAGTAATATATTTATATGTATTAATATCTTATTACTTCCATCTAAATTGTATATTAAAACTATAATCAAATATATTCTTCTTTTGTACTTTCGCACAGATAATTAGTTTCTTAAACTGAATAATTAAAGTGTAAGCGAATATTTTGACATGAACGAAATATCAGGAAAACTTTAAATAACAAAACCTTTCAAGAAGGTTTTTCTTTCTTTCTTTAAAAAATTTCCTTCAAGATTTCATTTAGTTCTCCTGATAAATCTGCATGGCGTGACGTTGTGCAACCGTGGTTTTTAAATTCTTATTTTTTTTACAGGATTTAAACTCTTTGTGAAATGATATAACCTAATGTGTCTCCTCGGTTTGGGCTCCCTGCGTCACAGGAAACCTAAGTGCTTTGAAATCGCAAAGGCTCGATAAAAAACAAAAAGGGAAGAAGATTCAACACCTGGCCGATCGATCGCTTGTTGGCAAATAAATTTACCCTCGAATGCCCCGTGTATAAATTCACAAGTTACATTTCTTCATGTTGTTAGTTTTAACTGCACGTCGGGGATTTAAAAGTTTAAAACACACCTCTAACTGACATCTACCAAAACACGCTGGATTGAAGTCAAAAATTCCACAATGACTCCTGAATCGCTGAATCGCCAAATTTTCACAGGAGGAAAAAAACCTTTTCTTTACGTGACTTGAACTTAAATCGCAAATCGTGCGAGATGTGCAGTAACTGTGGAGTGGAGCCTCTCGTCCCTCCGGCAGCGCCGTCTTTCCTCTTCGATCCTGCGGTGAAACCGTCCCGCGCTCCCGCAGCGGCGCCCGGTTGGGCAGCTCGTGCCGTACCGTTTCCAACCTGAAGCTGTCCTGAACATAACATGACTGAAATACAAGTTGATGATTTGTCTTTTCACTCTTTTAAAATAAAAACATTATGTCACAAACGTCTCTTTTAAAAGCCACCAGTTCGGATGAGAAGGAAAGAAAAACGGCTAGCAGCCTAATTGTAAAAAAAAAAAAAAAAAAAGGAGATATATGTATTGTGCATAGAAGCCTGCAGCTCCTCCCTGGCCTCCGCATGTCTTGGCACGTGACACGACTGAGGTCTGGACTTAAAAGGTATGAGAGAAGCGCTTCGTTTGAAAAATAGTATCTTGGTCCCGCAGGGAGGAGGAGCAGCGCACCGGTCGTTTTGTGAGGTTGTTGTGATTGAAGAACAGTTCCTGTAAGACAAGAAGATGAAACGGTCATCTGTGTTGACTTGAAGCAAATTGGAGCATCTGAAACCTGCTAAATAAACGTAAACAAAAATCCATTTCCTTTTAATTCCCTAACGCCGATACCGGAATCCAAAATGCCCCTTAAAAAATCTACCTTTAGCATCTCAGAACGTTTCAGCTTTTCTTTGTTTTCTTTAATGAGAAGCCAAATATCTTTGGGGTAAACAAAACTATTCCCGGACATTTTATAGCATAAGGTACATGTAGCACCATCCAAAGTGACTGCGTACCTGGCTGACTGGCTGTGTGGTCAGCTGGGGGAACTAACTGGGCACCCAGCTCTGAGCGGAGCCCTGCGTGGTGGCCGGCCCGGCGCAGCCTTGGCCTCCGGGCAGTATGGGGTCAAAGTTGAAGTCGATGCCGTCTGCCATGAGGTCACTGTTGATGATGTAATCCACGTCACAATCCAGGTTTTCGGTGAACATGTCAATGTCCAAGTCTGTGGGCAGCCGGTCGTGGCCGGTCGCGAAGCAGGGCGGCGTTCCAAACGGACTCATTCCCAGCAGGCTCAGGCCGGGATTGGCTGAGCCGGAGGGGTTGCCGTGGTGAGAGCCCACCGCGGGCACCGCGGCGTGTTGGGCTTTGAGGGCGGCGAGCTGTGACGGGTCCTGAGACATACCTGAGAGGATCATCCCCAACCCCATCTGAGAGTGGTGCTGGTGCTGTTGTGGCTGGTGTTGCTGTTGTTGCTGCTGCTGTTGTTGTTGTTGCTGGTGGTGGTGGTGGTGGTGCAGGTGGTGGTGATGCTGCTGCATCTGAGCCTGCAGCACCATCGGGGCCCCCGTGTTGGGCTCCAGCCCTTTGCCCAGGAGCAGCTGGTTGGGTTTGGACCTCACGCCCAGTCCCAACATGCCCAGTCCCGGGGGGGTGGGGTCCACCTGGCCCATCATGACATCACTGGGAGGAGGGGAGTCGGAGGTGAGCAGCGCCTCCAGGCTGGAAGGCACGTGGGTGCCGTAATGGCCGCCCCCCCCACGCGAGCCGGAGCCGGCCATGGGGTTGAAGAGGGAGTTGCTGAAGGTGGAGGACTCTTCGCTGCCCATCCCACACGGGGAGGCGGCGGCCTGGGTGCCGCCGCGCGGCGGGGCCTGCGGGAGGCTCGACTGCTGCAGCTGGTGGAAGGAGGAGAAGCTGGAGCCACGGGGCAGCAGGGTGGAGGCCGAGGGCAGCGGGGTCGGAGGCGCCGGCGGCGCCGTACTGGGACTGGCCCCTCCCTGCTGCCCGGTCATCAGGGTGAGGCCGTCGATCAGGTCCAGCTCCTCCATCAGGGTCTCGGTGAGGGTGGGGGTCAAGCTGCTGGCGGCGTATCTTCCCAGCAGTCCGTCCTCTGGCAGGTTGTCGTCGTCCTCCTGTCCCGGAGCGATGGGGGACAGGCGTCCGCTCAGCGTGCTGGCGTTGGAGCTGGTGCGCGGGCGGAAGGTGGTCCACATGTCGGAGTCGTCCAGGCTGCCGCGGGACGACGGGCTGCTGTTGTTGACCCCCCACTTGGGGAACTGCTGGGACGAATTGGGGCTGTCTGCCCCGGCTGAGCCGGCGGCGCCGTCGCCCTGCAGGGCCCCCCCGGCGCCGGCCGCTCCCGCCAGCTTCTTGGTCTGCTTGGCCCTCATGCGGCTCTTCAGCAGTTTGCTGCTGTTGTCCATGGAGGCGGCCCGGCGGCGGGGAGCTTTGCCCGTCTTCCCCCCCTCCGGGTTGAGCATCCACCAGGAGCTCTTGCCCGTCGATTCATTGTGCACCCGCAAGAACTTGTTGTGGAGAGATAAATTGTGGCGAATGGAATTCTGAAAAAAACAGACAAAAAAGGAGGGAATTCATGAAAAATACATCGCCAACCTGGAACCTTTTACATCCTCAATTCAGTATTCATTAATCTCCTGATGATGTCCTACGGTGGTCCCAGAGGCCACGGACCACTGTATGAAAGTATTTACTTAAGTCGGACTTATTCCAGGGTCACTTCAGTGTAGGTCTCTTCCGTACCTCGATGTGTTAGTGCAGGAAGGAACCAAAACGAATCGACAAACAACAATAAACCAGTTGAAGAAATTGAAAGATGCTTGTAGAGAATATAAATAACGACGTGCTGAATAGGGACAGAAGGCCGCTGATCATCTGTTCAATATGAAAAAATAAGAAAAAACTCAAAAAGAATAATGTAATATTCTTTAATTATATGATAATATGATATCCCATGACATGTTGCTCTCTTTGCTGGACTTTGTTTCAGCATCAGCAGAACCGGCACCGCAACGGTGTGACGGGAATTGTAAAGCTGTAAATCTGTGACTTCCACCAAGTAAACACGTCCACCTGACACACACTTTACCTTCCAGCCCGCGGAGCTGTTGCTGTCCCCTTTGTCTCTGAAGTACGGCACCGTCTTCACCATCCACTCGTAGATCTGTGCCAGGGTCAACCTCTTCTCGGGCGAGTTCTCGATGGCCTGGCTGATCAGGTCCGCGTAGCTCTGGTTCCCCCACGCGTTGCGCCGGGACGACCCTTTGCGGGGCGTCGCGCCGGCTCCGCCGGGGCCCGCCGCGACCCCTCCCTCGGCCACTCCGTCCGCCCCCGCCGCGGCCTTCTCGGGCTCCGAGATGATCTGCTGCGGCTCGGGCTTGTCGTCGTCCGCGGGCGGGGTCCCGGCGGCGGACTCGGAGCCGTCCGCCCCCTCTGGTTTGACGGCCGTGATGTCGGGCCTCGGCAGGGGCCAAGTGCAGGAGCGGGGTCGGCTCTGCGGCTCGAAATCTGGGTCAATGGGGGGCGCCGAGGACTCCTCCATGGTCGGTCCTCTGAACTTTTCCACTCAACCAAGAAGATGACAACACTTAAAACATCTACCTTCAAAAGTCAACTTTTGGTGTTTTAACAAAAACGAAAAAACAAAACAAAAACAATGTGCTTGAGTCGGAGCGGGGATGTAAACAGAGGGGTCCGTTGAAGAGACGTAATCTGGACACACCAATAGCCTCAGTTAATCCTCAGATTGGAGATTAGGGAACCCAAATAATCTCCTTAATAGTAACTATCATAAACCTTCCGATTTATGTAGAATGAAGAAAAGGCCAGGATGAGAGTCCCTTTGTTTGAATGAAACGAAAACAAAAGTGTCAATGAGCACCAAAACATCTGGCTCTACAGAGGTTTTGAGTTCACCTGAAGATGAATAGAGCTACCAAAAAGGTACACAAATACGAAATAATGCCATTCCTGCCAATAAACACTCAATTTTAACATCTGAAGATGGTAAATATTTTAAAAGAATAAATTTTATAAAGATATTGGAAGAAATCAAAATTAAGGATGTACCACATTTGTCAAACTGTGTGTATATAATTTCTCATCAATGCCGGGACCTTTTGTTTTTTGTCTTTTTCGACGAGGACTACAAATAGGGATTAGCTGGCTACAGTTACAAAAGATCTCCTGAGCTCTTGTCCGTCTCCACTTGTAAACAACGTGATGTCTGGACGCTCCGCGAGCCAACAATCCTTCACACCAACTTTACTAAATAAAAATCTCACACACACAAAAAAGAAATGTAAAAGAAAATGACGACCGATTTAAAGGTTTGGTTAACAAGCTGCCCCCCCTCTCCCCCCCAAAAATAAAATAAAATGTTTTTAAAAACGCAATGTATGAAAAAAAAAATCAAAAAGTAAAAACCAGAAGAGAAGAAAAAACTGTCTTCTGTATCCCGGCAGAGAAAAATAATGTTCTTAAAAGCCCAGTAGAAATGTGGCCGTCGCCTCTTTGGACTTTATTTTAAAAACGCTGGAACTAAACAACCGATCGTCGGCTGATGAACTACTTAACATAATCATGAAAAATAATCAACAGCATTCATGTGTCATTAAACGTGGGAATAGGGGAGAAACGTGCGGCGGAGAAGTCCGTGCTTCAGGTTTGCGCGATGCGCCACATTGGGGCCGGGCGCGTGTCACCATCTGCCATGTTTCTACACTCCTGCCGCGGCGCACGATGCTCGAAGAATCGGTTATTTTAAAAAAGGGGGGAGAAAAAAACAACCTCCACCGAGGCCCGCGGCTCGGATCTAAAGTCCCCCGGACTGTACGAGGACCATCCGCGCGGAGGATTTACCGGGAGTTGAGGGGAAGTTGTGGCGCCTCGGCGGTCTGTCGGCTCCAACCCGCCGCACTTTGAAAGCAGCACGATAGCCTCCGTAACGTTAGCTGCTTAAGCTCCTGCTACTCCAGAGTTTACAATCCGTGGAAAAAGTCCGTGAAAAGACCCCGATAACTTCCTCCAAGTAGCCGATTTTAAGCGGCCACGAGTGTTGAAAAACTTCCCGCAGTTGTGTCGGTCCAAATACTTAATTCTTCAGCATCTTTTTGACTTGTTTTGTTTTGTTTTGTTTTGACTCGAGGCGAAGACTCCCTTCTGACGTCTGTTTACCACTGTCAGGCAGCGCGTCCCGCGCATGCGCCCAGGAGGTTTCTGGGTAATTGAGTCATTCACGTGACAGCGGAGGCGTAAACGGAGCACTCTGTACTTTTAATAGTACATTGTGTAACAGTGTGTGAACTTGTGCTAATCCCAGGTACACCGAGGGCAGTTAGGGTATTACCGGTAATCAGATTACCCATGGACAACTAGTTATGGACTACAACCAGGCTAAACTACACAACAACGTATTATAATTAAATAATAATAGTTATTACAATAATAAAGAAAAAACATGATTTAATGTCTTCTATGCAAAATATGGACCCACTCAAAGTCAATTTTGTATCATCTGTATGCACCTTAGACATTAAATACTTTAACTAAGATTCTTCACAGTTCACTATGATCTAGAAATCAACCATGTACTTCTCGGCTGGTCCATGACCTGTTTTTGTATCTGTAGTATTTGATGAATTATTGTTTTTTTATAGGAATGAGCATCATGTTAGCAAAATACATTTTTTAAATGAAAGGGACTTTTAAACTATTATGATCACTATGGTACATTTTGACACACCGCTCTAAAAGACTGACCCACGATGGTAAAATAATTTAATACCTTAAAGTTAAAAACAGTGATTATTATTATTTATTTTTTTGTGTGTCTTAAAATCTAAATGTATAATCCAGCATCGACCATCAGGGCATTGTTTCTGTATGATGTGAATGTACAAATCTAAATTCACCCGTAACATCATTGAATATTCAATATGCTTTTGCAATCCACCATCAAGTAAGATGTAAAATCAGTAAGTTTGGCTGAAACTTACTGTTTCAGGTTATGTTTCAATTCTTGCTTTATTTTAAATATTACCTCATCTTTTAACTGGTTGTAAAATGAAAACCATCAATGTAATTCTCTGAACTATAACCTTTAATAGTAATAATAATACAAGTTTGAATTCATCAAAATGTATAGCCTCGGGAGGGTACGTAATACCCCCAAAGACAAATTAAAAATATTTCAATGTAAATTGTATATTGAAATTATTGGATTTTCAATCAAATTAGTGATCAAGATTCTGAACGTACACCGAGTAGCAACATTACGGACTTCAACTCCCAGAAGTGTTTGCGGTTATTTTCTCTGTTTACAACCAGCTGACATCCGGCGTCTTCCCGTCCTTTAGCCACCGACACCACAGTCAACGATATCCTAAACCCCAAAGAAGAACAAGTCAACGACGTACATCTACTCTTGATATTTCCTTACGTAAAGCGCTCCTCGCTGATCCGTCAACTCAACTGAATGCGAAATCGTCAGATGCAGGTGAGATGGACAGGACCAAAGTACCCGCTGTACGTTTAGTTAGCCAGCTAGCCAGTGTTAGCAGGATTGCCATAAGCTAACACAGCAGCTAAGGCTAATGTTAGCAGAAGCCCTCTGATTCGCAGCCATCACATTTGACATCAGTCGGGACGAAACTCGGTGCTGATTAGTTGTTGTCCTTCGGGTGAGAGCAAAGCTCCTGTTGTTCACCATCGAACGTCACGCACATCGAGTCGGTAAAGGTCCCGCACGCCAGTCAATGTTACAAACATTAGCCCGCTAGCTTACCTAGCTTAACGTCGGGTGTAATAAATTTAAGCCATCGTTACTAATCTTGCTGCTGCAGCCCGAAGCGCTGTTTTTGTTATTTATTTACATATATATATATATATATAGTTTATATTTTAAACATGGTGAAGTGAGCCGGTCTGTGGTCGGATCACTAACAGTCAGACAACCGAGCGGTCGCGTGCTCTCGTACCATTTAATTGACACTGTTGGGGAGTTAGCTGTGACGCTCGCTGCCTGTTGTGCTGTTGTAATGTATGTGCACTGCAGTTGTGGTGCCAGGCGGTGGGAAGCGTCTTCACACTGTTTGTGTTGTTGATATCAGGGCTCTGGCCCCGTCTCCAGCAGCTGAAGCACACCGGCCCGTCCAACTGTGATCCACGTCCCCCTGCTTCCTCCTCGCCGAGCCATGACCTCTCCAAGGGATCTTGATATGGTGAGTGAGGCTCTGACACCTTTTTTAGGATGTTATGTTCCAGCACAGAGGTGATCGTCCTCCACCGATGGCTCACTGATTTGAAGCCTTGCACACTTAATGTTACACAAACATAATACATTTAATTATTAAGATGGTGTCATTACATTAACGTTTCCTCAAAGTTGAAATCATTTAGGGTTTTGGGGTAGGAGGAGGGGGGTGGGGGTGTCATGGATTAGCAAACGTCCCCACACACTTAGCTGGGACAGTGACGGCTGTCTAACGCCATCTGTCTGTCTAATCTCGGTTAAAATGTTGCCCTACTTTCCTTTCAAGGTTTTTGATTGTACCCTCTTATTAAATCCCAGCAGCAGCCCCCCTCGATATGAACGGACAACGGATATTTAGAAAGGATGGAAGTTATACGTATTGGTTTTATTTTGGTGTTATTTGGTTATTATTATTATTACACTTGTCCTCAATACACCAATCATTTTATTGTTCCAAATGTATATAGCAAAAAATAACTCATTTAACCTTTCAGATTATTGGCTGGCTACATTGGGCATTTTAAATGATATAAAATATATTCAAAGAAGAAATGCATCCCATCTGTTATCTAGGATACCTACATTAGGTAAAAATGTTCATAACCTGACCAACTATTAACCCTTTAGATAATACCAGCGTTTGAGGAACCTGAAGAACATTCGTGCTGCAGGATGTTGCCGTGGGTCATCAGGCAGATCTGCCCTTTGTTTTTGATTTGGTTGGGATGAAAGGGACGGGGACGGGGACAAAGCCTGTTAATGACGACATGGGTATGTAACTTCACATTGAGGTTATTCAGTTCAGGGGGGGGAGGGGAGGGCAGAGGACCACCGAGCGAGGGAGGATTTTATTTGTAAACAGATCAGAGAGTGGGGCTGCCCCACCCCTCCCCCCCTCGACGTCCCACCTCATGGTTAATTGTTGGAATGCATTGAGATGCATTCCAAGTATTGTTCTTCGAATCTTTGTTGGAATGCATTAGATGCATTCCAAGTATTGTTCTTCGAATCTTTATTCCGACTTATTATTATGTTTCTTCTATTTCTTCCGCGCCGCCTTTCAACTCCTTCACATTTTCAGCTATTAAAATCCTTCAAATATTAAAATGTTCAGCTCCTTTCTGGCTTGAGGGCTATGACTTTTCAGCTTTCTACATCTTATGCTTGAATTTATATAAATCAATAATCATTAATATTTTAACATGGTTTTCAAATGGAGTTTTCTTTCAAATCCTCCTAAACTTCTTCAACTTTCAGATTTTTCAGCTTCGCCAATCTTTCAGCTACAGACACCATTTCAACTCTCAAATGTTCACACAAGTCTCAACTATTTTATGAAAAAAACTGCTTGTGGATATCTATTGTACTTTTTTCATAATCACTGATTATGTTTCACTAGTTTTTCGCTCCGTTTCTGACTTTTACATGAGTGTGTATTGCGTCTGCTAGAGGCGGGGCCTCGCAGGCTAGAGTGTGGGGCATCGCAGAAATCTGGTTAAAAAAGTATGGAACTTCTGTCCTTGCAGCCAAAGTATACACTCTAGAGGCTTCATTTCTTCAGATTAATGAGGGTATGGTTGTGCTGATTGGATTAATGTGTTCATGGAATCTCAGAGTTTTTTAGTTTTGGCGCAAGGAGTGTTTGAGTGACACAACCTCTGCCAAAAGCCCCATAGGCTCCAATACAAATCTGCCGACATATTTCTCACAAAAATCCACAAGGTACACGTTCTGTCAACGGCCATAGGAGCCGTATTTATTACCGGACAGACATAAAAACACATCCACGCGTTCGGTAGAGTCTTGGGTCT